AGGGACAGAGTGGGTGGTATTTTTCTGATAGATTTGCCTTAGCAATAATGAGCCACTGTAGAGCTGCCCTCTACTGGACAGGCCAGGGACGAGGAAGAGGCAAAAATGGTTCAGGCCGCCATTTAGTAAAGTGAATCTAGGACGTGAGCTCAGTGCTCTGCACACATGCTACACAGGGTGCGCTACATCTGGGTGCAGCTCTGGATGTTCCGGGCAAGGAAGGACAATGACAGGATGGGAAAATAAAGAAAAAAGAGGAAAGCAGGCGCAGCCCTCTCCGGATAGGTGGAAGGAACTGCTCCACCCTACACACCAGGTTGGCCTTAGTTTCAGTCCTCTGTTTGCAACATTGTATGCCTCACCTGAGCACTAGAACAGCTTGTGTACTCCGCTAGCCTCCCGCTAAGCCTGTTCTTAGCCCCCCATGTATGATACGATAACCGCTAAGCACTAAGCATGTCCTTAGCCCCCACGTATGGTATGATACAATAACTGCCCTGTCCTCTGCTGGTAACTGTGTGGATTCACAGCGCTTGCCAACTGCTTTTGTGTAAATATTCCCTCCACGATGGGTCTCACGTGGTCAATGTTGTGTCACTGAGTACAGAGTTAAGAAAGGAAGCCAGGTAGCACAATGTAGTATGGTTTTCCCACTGTACAAATACAAACATCATTAATAATCTTGAGATTATTATCAGTGAGCATTTTGAGTTATTATAAATTGGATGGCAGTGGTTAATTTTCCACTTGGAAAATCCCTGATTTTGACAACTGACTCTCACCACCCAATACAGAAAAAAAGTAAGTCATTTTTTCAAATGTCACAGGGCCACTTTGCCCGTATCAGCGCCTGCTGGAAGTGGGGCCCCACGTTGGTCCTTGTGCTGTGCATGTCCGTGTTTATGGACCGATGCACGTGGCCATATCACAGCATGTTAGGGCTGCAGCAGTGGTGTGTGCACGATGTGTGCCACACGTCAGTCCTGTTGGAAAGGGACAGAGACATTCGGCCCGGTCAGCAACGGCTGCTGACATCACAGAAGGAGACAGCCTGACACCACGCGCCTCCTGGTGCACGGTTATGTCACAAGATAGAACTCAAATGATTTGATTGGATTTAATACCAATTTAAAGAAAATGAAGCCAGCCGTGGGCACATACCTGTGATCCCAGCACTGAGGAGGATGGAGAGGTCAGGGCCAGCCTGGGCAAGACTGAGTTCAAGCTCAGTCTGAGGAACATAGTGAGATCCTGTCTCAGAGAGAGTGACAGACAGACAGACAGATAGACAGACAGACAGAGACAGAGAGACAAAGAGGCAGAGACAGGCAGAGGCAGAGACAGAGGCCTGACCAACATGTCAAACTATCATCAGAGGGGACGGAATCAACAAAATGCAGGTGTGAGAAACACAACAGGCAAATTACCCATTCTCTTCTACAAGTAAAATCAAGTGGAGGCTAAGCATGGTGGTGCACACCTGTAATTCCAGCACTTGAAGGCTGAGGCAGGAAGACTCTGAGTTCACAGTCTTAAAAAAAAAAATAGGTCTGGGGAGCTGGGGATTTAGCTCAGCGGCATAAGCACCTGCCTTGTAAGCAGGCAGTCGTGAGTTCCATCCCCAGTACCGATAAAAAGAGAAAAGACTAAATATATAAATAAATAAATAGGTCTGGGGATGTAGTTCTGTATGATGGCCCTAGGTTTGATCCTCAGCAATGCAGAACTTGATACATAGATAGATAGACTAGTGCTGGCAAATGTGCAAAGAATTGGAACCCATCACCTGTTGCTATGGGAACGGTAGGAGGTGTGGCCACTTTGGGGAACATACAGTTATCATATTACGCAGCAATTTCATGCCCAGTAGAGGGCATGGAAACATTCACAAATGTTCACAGCAGCTTTATTCATGTTTCAAAAAGTGGAAGCAAGCCGGGCATGGTTGCACATGCCTGTAATCCCAACACTCGGGAGGCTGAGGTGGGAGGCTCACTGCAAATTTGAGGCCATCCTGGGCTACAAAGTGAGTTCAAAGCCATAGTATATGACACATATAGTAAAACCCTGCCTCAGGGGCTGGGGGTTTAGCTCAGCGGCATAAACACCTGCCTTGCAAGCAGGCAGTCGTGAGTTTGATCCCTGGTACTGATAAAAAGGAAAAACACACACACACACACACACACACACACACAAAAAAAAGGAGGCAATTGGAATGTCACCATCTGGTGAACAGATAAGATTTGGTATATCTTTATTATGTGATGTGTGTGGGAACAAGAAGGAATTATATGAGCTTCGTGTGGTGGCACACACTTATAAACCCAGCACTAGGAAGGCTGCAGCAGGAGGATTGCCATGAGTTCAAAGCCAGCCTGAGTTACACAGTGAGGTGGAGACCAGCCTGCACTACATAGTGAGACCTTCTCAAAGAAAAAAAAAAAATTAAAAGAGGGATTATATGAAAATGTAGAGGGGCTGGGGATTTAGCTCAGCGGCATAAGCACCTGCCTTGCAAGCAGGTAGTCGTGAGTTTGATCCCCGGTACCGATAAAAATGAAAAAGACAAAAAAGAAAAAAGAAAATGTAGAGAACTAGCAAATTCCTACAGAGAGTAGATTAGTGGTTGCTTTAGGGCTGGGAAGGGGGGAAGGACATGGGGAAGGGGAGTGAACGTGTTTGAAAATTACACAGGGGTGACGGCTGCAGACATGAGGAACACACTGAACATGAGCCATTTGCTTAGAATGGATGGACCGCACACCATGGGAATTGGGTCTCACTGAAGCTCTTCTAAGAAGTCTGAGGGGAGGGCAGCAGGTCCATGCACATAGGATCTGCTACGGGTTGGTAAGTGTCAAGGCTGGGAGATGAGTACTTGGAGGTTCGTAATGCTGTAATCTCTGCGTGTTTATATTTACAGTGTTCTGGAATAAAAGCGAAATGTAGAGCTAGGCGTGCAGCTCCATGGTATCGACTTTGCAAGGTCCTGGATTCAATATTGAAGAAAACAGACAAGTGAAATGGGATTGTCTGAGGCGTGTACTCGCAGTGCCCTGGCCTCCCAGCCCTGGGCCCGGAAGAGGCCATCTGACCACTGGCCTGATAGGACCTGAGCTTGCCGCCAGCTTCTGCTGTCCCCTGCTCCTCCCAGAGCTGTGTCGCTGCATGTGCACCTGGGCAGTCAGAGGGCCCTGGCCTGGCCATGGTCTTCCTAGCCCTCCTCCAGACCACTGACCTCTCATCTTTCCTTCCCTCCAGCCAACAAAGAGCCTGGTGTCCTCGTCACCATCCTGCCAGAGGGCACACTCACAGCGGAGCAGCTGGGACCCCAGGGCCTAGCCCTTTCCTCCTCCTCAGCCTGCTCTGTCCCCCACAGAGGGAAGGTGGAACCTCACATCGCTGGCTGTCACTGTCACCGTCACAGAGGGCCCAGCTCTCTCCCTGCACACTCAGCTGCTCAGTCGGCCTTGCTGCCCAACGTCTCCCTCCCTTCCTGAAATGTCCTGGCTCTCTTTCCTGCCAACCTTCTTCCAGCAATGTCAGCCCCAGGAAAGATGAAAGCGTTCAATGAAGCCAAATCCCTTCCTACAGGGCTCCCAAGCCTCGAGCAAATCCAGGGACGTAAGCATCTGGTATCTGAGCCAAGCCCTGGAGATGCGCCACCCGCTAAGGAGCCTGGCTCGGCTCTGGCTCGCTCCGCAGCAGGGGAGAGTGGTTCCTCCCATGAGAGGATGCCTCGCACCTGTGGTGTCCCTACCTCAGCCGAGTCCCAGGGTTGCGTGCAGCGTGGAGAGGACCTGGGGAAAGACACCAGGAGAAACTGACCCCGGGCTGGGCTGAGACTTTCCCCAAGTGGAAGCGGAAAGGCCGGGGCTTGGAGATTAGTTGGGTGTAAGGGTTAGGGAGGAGACAGCAGGTTGGGGGTCAGGTAAAAGGCGGTGTTCTTAGCTGAGAGGACCCAGTTCAGGAGGGCTATTGAAAGGAAGGTGCCTGTGAGTAGCTGGGCTCCAGCGCCAAGGCCAGGGAGTGCTTCTGAGTCAAAGGGGCCACCGCAGAGGGAGGCTCCACGTTTAGGGCTCAGAAATCTGGAGGCCCCTGGGCCCGTGTCCATGTACACCTGTTGTCCTGGCCTGGCGGAGGCGGTGAGCACCTCCTCCAGTCTCTACGGTGTCCCACAGATGGCACAGCGTCACCCTATCCACAGGGACTCTGGGGACAGGAGAGGAGGCAGCCTAGGGCCCGACTCCTTTTATGTATTTTTTAACAGTGTGCTTGCTTCTTTGGCGGCTTCGCCCTCCCTGAGGGCTTCCCGTCTTACACCCACACTCTCACCTCGGTTTACTGTTTCTGTCCTTTCTGCCGTGTTTCTCTGCACTTCCCTGGAAAAGGGTCCAGTGGACAGCTTTGTCCCTCAGGTCCCTGGAAGTCGCTGGGCTGGCTGAAGCGGGTGCGGCCATCTCCTGTGGCAGTGGTGTGCCCGGGGCTGGGCTGGGGAAGCGGGCAGCCCGGCGTGGGGTCAGCAGCCGCCTTCTGGCCGCCGCCACTCCTCCTCTGGCCTGCCTGCAGTGCTCCCCAGTACCTCCTCCCTGGAGGAGCTGGCTCATCCTGGCCGGGGCCCTCGTGTTGGAGCTCAGGCCGGGTGCCTGTCACCTCGAAAGGAAGGTTTTGTGTGCGCTCGGCGAAGGTCTCCCCAGGATACGGAGGCCGGGGACGCGAGTCCGCGGAGCCTCTCGGGGGGCCAAGGGCTACTTGGCCAGCTCGCTGCCCACTCAGTCAGCGCAGCTCGCTAAGGGCTGCGCCAGCCCCCGAGCACCTGCAGAGGGCGCTATAGGCACCCCGAGGACGGAGCCGGGCTGGGGGCCGGGAAGGTGCAGCTTCCAGGCTGGGCTTGGAAGGAGGAGAGCAGGCACCAAGAGGAAAGGTGGGGGAGTTAGTGGATGAGAGCGAAGAAGGGACAGGGACAGGGACAGGGACAGGGACAAGGACAGGGACAGGACGAGACAGGAGCCCAGTCCTCAGTTTCCTCATTTCTAAAATGGACAGAAGCACAAGTGACAATCTGGCGACAGGCGCCGCACCGCGCAGCGCTGCGCCGGGCCCGGGGTGATGTCAGGCGCCGGGATTCCTCATCAGCCCCGGTTCACGCCCGGCTGTCCACCTGCCGTCGCCGGGCTGCAGTTTGCCCACAAGCCAGCTGGGGCTCAGGAGGAGTCCGCCTCTCCCGGCTCCGAGAGCGGAGGTCGCACAGCCGGCCAGGACCGGCCCCGGGCGCGGCTCCCGGCAGGTAGAGGGCGCCGGACACTCGGCCGCGGCGGAAAGAGGCAGCCGCATCCCACCCGCAGACGCCGCGTTCGTCCTTCTGCGTTTCCCTCTAGGCTCCGGCTCGGTGTCCTCCGCCACCGCTGTCACCCGGCAGCCAGCGGAGCGCGGCGCTGCGCAGGGGGGCACAGGGGGTCCAGGGGGTGCAGGGGGGCACAGGGGGTGTAGGGGATGTAGGGGGTGCAGGGGGAGCGCGAGGGGGCACAGGGGGTGCGGGGGCCGCAGGGGGGTGCGAGGGGGCGGAGAGGGTGCGAGGGGGCGGCGGGGGCGCAGGGGGTGCAGGGGGGTGCAGGGGGGCGCAGGCGGTGTAGGGGGTGCGAGGGGGCGCGGGGTGCAGGGGGCTGCAGGGGGGCGCGGGGGCCACGGGGGGTCAAGGGGGTGAGGGGGGCCCAGGGGGGTGCGAGGGGGGCCCAGGGGGGTGCGAGGGGGGCGCAGGGCCGCGGGGGGCGCGGGGCCGCTGGGAGGCGCAGGGGGCTGCAGGGGGGCGCGGGGGGCGGGACCCTGGCGCGGCGGGGGGCGGGGCGGGGCCTGGGCGGGGGCGCGGGAGGCCGCCCACGTGACGCCCGCGGCCCGTCCCGCTGCAGGCGGGGAGCGCCCCGGAGGCGGCGGCGGGCACGGAGCCCCGGCCGCGCGGGACTGGCCGTCGGGGCGCCGGGACGGCGGCCCCGGGGCGCCCATGCCATGGAGAAGCTGGCGGCAGGGCTGGCCGGCCTGCGCTGGAGCATGGGCGCCTTCCCGCTCGACCTCATCGTCAGCCGCTGCCGCCTGCCCACGCTCGCCTGCCTCGGGCCAGGTAGGGCGGCCGGCGGGAGCGGGCTCGGCGGGCCTCGGGCGGCAGCGGGAGGAGAGGAGCGGGCCCGCGAGCCGCCGCCGGCCGACTCCCCGCGCGCCTTCCCGGAGCCCGAGCCCCCGGGTCCCCCCGCGGACGGCTCGGCCGGGCCGGGGCAGGCTCGCCGGCCTGGTGTCCGCGCCCGCCACGTCGGGGCGCCCTCCCGCGCCCTGCCCCGGCGGCCGCGCCCCCTCTCCTTTGTCCTCCACCTCTCACCTCCATCCTCTCGTGTCTCTGGGGATCCGACCTCGTCCCTCCCCGCGGACCCCTTTTGGGCTTTTCTCGGCGCCCCGCTAGTCGGCCTCGTCCGGGCAGGCGAGACCTTCGCAGTGGCCGGCGGGCAGCGAGCGACCCCGGGACCCCGCCTCCGCCACCTCCCGTCCCACCTCTCCCGGGGTCCCGAGCCCCAGCTGCTCTGCTGATGGGACCGTGCGTGGGGACTGGAAAACGGGGCGCCCGGAGGCTGCTGGACAGGGGACCGTTGGGGGGAGGGGGCGGCTCGGCTGGGGGAGGGGAAGGAGCCAGGCTGGCAGCCCGGCCCGGGGTTTTGTGTGTGAGAAGAATAGGGGTTTGGCCCGCGTTGGCACACTCGCTTCCCTGAATGCTAATGGGGCGCCTGGAGCGCCGCTCTCGGGCCGGCAGCCTCTGCTCCGATCCGCCCAGCAACCAGGGGGCACAGGGAGCGGGCTCGTGGGGGCCCCCAGACCCTCCCGTCGGGCAGGGGTGCCTGGCAGTTCGGCTCGTGGGGTCGTCACGCCATAGTTCACGTGTGATCGTGACACTGTCCTTGTCGTTGCAAGGCTGTATCCCTATGTGAACGCGTTAGGCCACCCTAGGTTTTTTCCTGGCTATTCTAAGTCTTCTTTGACTTCTCCCCACCTGGGGGTCTTTTCTGAGCCCTTCATTCTGCCTAGAGCTCTTTTGGGGTCCCTTGACATTTGGGGCAGCTCTGTCTTGTTTCCTGCTGTGCACCTCGTTACAAAGCTCAGCTTCTTGTCTTCCTGAGCTGCAGGTTCCTTGAGGAGGGAGGGTGTCCCTGCCTAACAAAGGTGCAGAGCCATCGTTTGATGGCCCTGCTGCTGGTGACAGCACCAGCACCCAGCAGGAGACTGTCTACGGCTGTGGTCTTCGTTGTAGTTTGGATGTGTGGTCAAAATTGTGTCCTTGAAGATTTCTGTGTGCCTGTGCACAGAAGGGAGGCGGGGGCGGGGCTCTTGGTGGAACCGTGAGAATGGCTTGTACGGTTCGGGTGACAAGTACCTGTTCCCATGGGGTTGCAGTGGCTGAACTGTTGGTGATTACGGCCATTGCTGCTGGTGTGGCTTTGGCCTGTATCCCCGTGGAAGAGTGACTGGGCTTAGGCAAGCTCTGGAAAGAGGTCCTGTGCCTTAGGAGGAGAGACAACAAGGATGAAGACTCAAGACAAAACACCCTGCATACACACATGTACACACACGTGTACACACGTGTGTGCACAGTGCACAGTGGGAACAAAGCCCATCCTGCAAGTCTTGAAGCCCCCTCCCCATCCAGTGTGCCCGCACTTTATGGAGTGCCAGCCGTCTGACTAAAGCGTTTGGGGTTTGGTTGGCTGGCGGAGATTTAGCCCACTGTACAGTATCTGAAGTTGTGCAGCTGAGGGTGAGGTGTACCCCGCCCCCACTCTCTGCCAGCTGCATCCAGGAGACGCCCCTTGCTGGAAGCTGGGCTGCCCTTCCTGCTCCCCTGGAAACCGTTGCTGGGGCTGAAGCCTGCTGGGCCCAGGCCTCTCCCAACTCCCAACACCTCTGCCCCAGGCTGCTTTCCCTGGACTGGGCTCCCACCTTGCCTACAAAATCTAGGGGTGTCTGGGCTCCTCTCCTGTCTTTCGAGATCTCCTTAGCATAGGAAGCTGCTGTGGCAGCTTAGGGCCTCCAGTCAACTCCGTGAGCCCTGTTGTTCTGAACTGAGCCTTCTGTGACTGTGAGAGCTCCCACAGTGAGGACTCCAAGGGACTGTCCCTTCTCAGCCCTCTCTGCTGCCTAGCAAGGCTCTGCTCACCTCTCCTAGGCCCAGGCTTGGAGATCAAGGATCCTGCTGGTGTGAATGGGTTTGGTCCTGAGACGTGGTACTCTCTGTCCCCCGGCCCCAGCCTAAGCCTCTGCTCCCCACCCCAGCCACACGGATCAAACTTGCTTCTTACTATGTCCCCAGGCGCCTGAGGGTACCTGGAGGACAGGGCTAGCTGGACTCATTCTCTGGGAGCCCCCACCCCCAGCTCCACCAGGGGGCAGGGCAGTGTGTGATCTAATGATAAATGGGGGCCACGCCTGGGCTGGTTGTTAAGGCCCCATGTGGAGTTAGAGCCCCTGGGAGGCTCAAGCCTAACAGCCGGAAGGCCACAGCTGGCAGCCCGCCTGTCCCTTGGGTAGTGCTGACCTGGACAGGGACGGTGCGGAGCTGTCCCCAGGCAGGGTCTTGGTGAGGAGATGAGTCCCCCCCCCGCAGATTTTTCCTGCCCCCTCTAACCCCCCCTTCCCCTCCCTCCTCCTCTGTCTGCTTTTCTTTTCCCAGGGGAATACGCTGAGGGGGTCAGTGAGCGAGACATCCTGCTTATCCACTCCTGCCGCCAGTGGACAACGGTGACAGCCCACACACTGGAGGAGGGCCACTATGTCATTGGGCCCAAGATCGACATCCCCCTGCAGTACCCAGGTACGCCCAGCCCTGGACAGGTGGCATACGGTACAGGAGGGGTGGAGGCGGGAAGGACTGAGCCACATGTAGAGGGGGACACTGAGCTCGAGGTGTTGGTGATCACCTGCCACGGCTGGTGGGCGTGGCTAGGGTTAGATTTAGTTTCTGTGCTTTTCTGTAGAGCCTGGGTTTCTGCGGAGTGGCTCACAGGTTTATAAGCCTTGCCTCACATTTCAAGACAGACTTCCAAGTGGCTCTCATCCCAAATTGCTGCAAATCAAATCTTACCCCTAGCTGAAAACCACCAGTGTGCTCTGTCTCTCTCCCCATCCCTCTCCAGTCCTGTTTCTCTCTTGTCTCTCTGTCTCTGTGTCTGTCTGCTCTCTCTGTCTCTTTTTTGTACAATGAGATTGTCTTCTGCCAGGTTCTTCTCAGTGTTATGTAGTCAAACTTCAGAAAATGAAAGGACTGGGGGGCTGTTCAGTGTTGTTCAGGGGTAGAGCGCTTGCGTAGAATGTGGGTTCCGTTTCCAGAACCCCTGCTCCTGAAGAAAGGAAAAACTTCAGAAACCAAGGGTTCTCAGGCTGATTTCTGGCTCCCCTTGACCTCTGATGCCCCACCCGCCCAGGGTTTGTGTCAAGCTGTTACCATAGATTGGTTTTATAAGTAAATGTTAATGTCTTAGACTTCTAAAGGTTATTCTAGCGAGCTTTTATGTGTTTTATGAATGATACTTATAGAAAGGAGTTTGTTTGAAGAAGATAGCCTGCATACCAAGGCCTAAAGAGAGCAGTGAACTGCCCAGAATACACAGTGAGAAAGGCAGGACAGGGGCCACGGTTCAGGTGTCCCAGCTGCTGGGCTGCAGATGCTGTCCCTCACCAGGAATTCAAAGCTGTCGCCCTTGCAGGGGAGGAATAGGAGTCTGGTGGTTCAGGGGCCATGCCTACCTTCTAGACTGGGCTAGATGTCAGCTCATCCTCACAGCTACCCTGAGTCAAGCTACCCCTTTCCTTTAATTCAGACTGAAGCTCCAGGGGTTCGGAAGCTAGCTGGGTTTTGTGTTTTGCTTTTTGAGATGGGATCCTACGATGGTCCAGGCTGGCTTTGAACTTGCTATGTGGTGTAGAACTTGTGATCTTGCCCGAGCTTCCCAGAGTGTTAGGATTCCAGGCGTGTGTCACCATGCCTGGCAGTTCTGTTAGTGTTCACCGCTGTGTGACACTGCCACCCCTGCCCCAGCAAAACTGGGAACGATTCCCTCCAGAGGCCCCTGCCCCTGTGCCTCGGACTTCCCTGCGTCCACAGGGCACAAGCTGTCCTCAGGCTTTGGCTCCGTGGCCCTACAGGTCAGTGCCTCCAGACCCCCTGTCCCCCTGACAGCTGGTCTTTCTGACTCGGACCTGCAGCCCTTGGGGGCCTGCTCAAGCTAGAAGTGTCCCAACCTGGAATCTGGCATGGGGTCAGGGTCAGATTCCAGGTCTTGGGAAAAAAAAAATAAACAAAATTTGGGGAACGTCTTCACCAAAAGAAACATGACTTTGGTTGTGTCATTCAAACTGGAGGCAAGTGAGACGCAAAGTTCCCGAAAGAACTGTGAGCCCAGTGCCTGTCCTGTGTGTCTTTAGGTGACTCTGTGTGCTGTGTACCAGCGGGCAGCGGTGACAGCTGGCTTGCAGAGTGCAGTCTCACTGCGGCCAGTGTGGGGGAGGGGAGAGGAAGGGGAGGGCAGCGGCCTGCCGTGGTTCTCCAGGAGGCCCTGAGCGCAGGCTCCAGCCCAGCGCTCCGATGAATTAATAATGGCTCTGCCTGGTGGGGGAGTGGAGGTGGGGTGGGGCTGGGGTGCTGCCCAGTGACCTGAGTCTCCAGGCTGCTGCCCGTTGCTGCGGGAGGCAGGGAGACCTGGCCCATCTGGGACAGTGCCTGATAGGGCTGCAGAGGGGCTGGGGACCAGGGCTCTTCCCCAGGCTGGGTGCCAGTTCCAGAGCATTGGTCTTGTGCCCGGCATCGGACTTGTGGATGCGCCCGGGAGCCCCATGGTGTGCTTCCATTTCACAGGTGGGAAACTGCACCTCAGAGAGGTTAATTTGCCTGAGATCCCAGAACAGGCCGGTGGCAGAGCTGGCATTCACCCAGGTCTGGTCTGCCAGCAAAGGCCATGCTGGCCGAGTGTATTCATGCACAGCTCTAACCTAGCACTCAAGGAGGGTCACAGATAGAGCCCAGGCTGTTGCAGTAAGTTGTTTACTGAGACCCTTGTGTCACAAAAAAGTAGGGACTGTTGCAGGGAATGTAGCTCAGAGTAAAGGCCTTGGGTTTGCTCCCCCGTATCTGCAAAGTAAATAAATAAAGCTTAGACTTCTTTGGGAGAGTGTTCTGGTGGTCAGGATGGGGAAGGGCAGGGCAGGGCAGGGCAGGGCAGGGTGGCACAGTTGCTGCAGTGATTTGGGGATGTGGAGGAAGGCAGCGAGGAAGCTGCTGGGGAGAAGGCTTCCAGCGGCCGGAGCATGGCTCCCCGGGGGTCTCCCTTCCTTCCTTCCTCCCTCCCGTCTGTGATGGCCGGCACTGGGCATCCAGGGACTGTGCCGGGTGCCATGGTTACATCGATCTTCCCAGCCACATCCTCCGCAGGCTCCCTTCTCCCTACAGGGGGCAGTGGCATTTCTCTGTCTACGGCCACTCAGGTTCGGGGGCTGTGTGGCTACGGGAAGGGGCTGCTCAGCTTAGGTGTGGGCACACGTCCTGCTGTCTCACCCCATTTTGTCCCTGAAAAGCTCAGGGAAGTCCCTTCCAGCCGTGGCATGGGAAGCCTTGTGTGTCCAGGGAGAGGACCAGGTGGCCCTTCCCAGTCCCCACCCCCGCCCAGGTTCCTGGTGCTCATGCTCTGCACCATGGATGCTCCCTCTGCTCTTCTCATCCGCCCCCAGCCGGCTTAGTCTGGGTCTCTGGGTGGGATCTGGGGGCTCCAGGAGTACCCTTCTCGGCACTGTACTAAATGGTGCTGTGTGTGTGTGCGCGCACGCGCGAGCAGCTAGGAGCACATTGGGGGGGGGGGGTTCTGGGATGTGAATGCCCTAGATTTAGATCCCTCAGCTCTTCCCCTTCATTGCCCCAAGCCGCCGTGTGCAGGCATTGCTCTGACCAGGGGCCCCAGCTCTGGGCCCACTGCCTGCACCTGCGTGCCCTCCCTGGGCCCCTGGGCACCGTCCTGTCCCATCTCTCCCACTGCCCCCTGCAGTGCCTCAGCCCTGTGTCTGAGGGGCCTTCCTGACAATGTCTTGCGGCCTGTTTGGTCTCGGCTGCTCCTTGACTCTTCTCTGGAGCTTGGTACTGGGCTGTGTACTCGACTTCTCTCCCAGGTACCTTCATGGAGTTCAGTCTGGCTCGTGGTATTTTCTTGCTCAGATCGCTTTAACGGATCTCACAGACGAAAGCCTGGTCCCAGGCCTGCTGCTGTCTGCTCCTGCTCATTTCCTCCCCTCAGTCATGCATGACTCGGGGCGGGTGGTTGGCTTTTGTGTCCGTGAAATTGCTCAGGTCATTTCTGCCAGGTGGACTGAGGGGTCCCCCTCACAGTCTGCTGGGCGGGTGACTCCTAGCCTTGCCGTCTTCCAGCTCTCCTGCTGTGAGTCTTAGCACCTGTCACATCTTGCCATCTTTGGGGACTCACGGTCTCTCCCACCGAGTCTGCATTTCCTGGGGCACGTGCTGTTTTACAGAGCTGTGACCTCTGAAGGGCCCGGCGTTGTGACTCACATATGGCCAGTCGGTCAGCACAGTTTGGGGGGAGTGAGCTGAGACTGAAGCACGATCCAGGGACCTGCAGGAGTGGAAGGGCCACCTGTTCCTGCTCGGCCTGTTGTTTCCTTACCTATCCAAGGCTCTTCCTACTGTAGACAGCTTGGGAAGAGGCTGTCCACCCCATGCTGGGGTGGCTCACAGCTTGTCTTCGTGCTCATGTGGGTGGGCACAGAAAACATGTGGCCAGCGGGGTGAGAGAGTCTGAACAAGGTGTCAGCTTCATGGATTAGCACTGCTTCTTCGAAGACTCTGTCTACTGGGGCATCCTCTAAGTCAGCCAGGACATGGCCTGCACCTCTGGTTAAGAGAGTACCTCCCAGGGTGTTGGGCACAGAGGGACTGAGTGCTGGACAGTGGCAGGATCTGGAAACACAGCTGGGGTCAGAGTTGTCTCTGGGATCTGGGGCTGGGCTCTGGTTTGTCCAGGGCATCAGTGCAGATCAGCAACCCAGCGTATTGTGCAGGAAGCTGCAGCCAGGCAGGACCCAGGTGATCTGTTTCAGCATCTGCAGGGAAGGTCAGAGGCTAGAGAAGGGAAGGGGCTTAGCTAGGGTCACAGCAAGTCAGAGGGCAGGCTGGGACCGAGCTAGGTGTCAGCATCCCCGACGCCACCTGGATGCTTGAACAAGAGGCCTATTGTGTGTCCCAGTGCTGGGGTCAGTCTGCAGCCAGGTCCTTGGGCAGGCAGTGTGGTCTTGTCACACACCCACAAGCTCTGTGCTGGGCTTCATTGCTCAGTGCTCTCTGTGACTCGAGCCAGATGGCCAGCTCCCTGCTCGTCTGCCCATACAACGCACACCTACCCTTCTGCAAACATGAGCTCCAGAGGGACTAGCTGAGATGAGGGAACCAAGAAGCAGGGACGACTCGGGCTCTCTGATGCAGCCAGGCCTGGCTCTGCACCTTGAATGCCCCTGTGCAGGGAAGTTCAAGCTCCTGGAGCAGGCCCGGGATGTGCGGGAGCCGGTGAGGTACTTCAGTAGCGTGGAGGAGGTGGCCAGTGTCTTCCCCGACCGCATCTTTGTGATGGAAGCCATCACCTTCAGCGTCAAGGTCAGTCCTTGTGGCACCAGGTGTGGTGTCCTCACAGCCCCTTCTCTGAGGGGTAACTGGATTCTGGCTGGAAGGTTACCGTTTGGGTGGGGAGGGAGAGCTGAGACAGTTGGGCCATGTCAGAAGCAGGGGCAGCCCTGACTTGGATTGGAGGCCTTTCAGGGTGGCTGCCCAGGTGTCTGTGGGTGTGGGATGGTTGTGGGGGCCCCAGCTGTGCACACAGAGCGCTTTTCTGCTCACAGACCCTTTCCCTGAGCCATTGTTTCCGTTCTCTTCACAGTAGCCTTTATGGATGGGCAGAGCGTTATTACTCCCCAGTTGGTAAAGACAGTGTAATAAAACTGCCATTTACCAAATGCTCTCGGAGTACCTCCCTATGCTCACAGTCTTTAATGCCATAGCAACTCTTGTTAGAGCTGTCACAGGAGGCAACTAAGGGTCTAGCAGGAAGCCTGTAAGTTTGCACAATGACATACAACACCCCCCCACCCCCACTGCTAAATTTGACTAGCTTAAAAAAAAAAAGTTTGCACAGTGACACCTTGGCCTCCCCAGATGGGACTCGAGTCTGCTGGCCCGGCCTGGCCAGGCCAGTGCCCTCCATTTGGGCTGGCTTGTGGCTTTCTTCGGGACCTGGCTAAGGTCTTGCGGTGTCCCCAGGTGGTGTCAGGCGAGTTCAGCGAGGACAGCGAGGTGTACAACTTCACGCTGCACGCGGGCGATGAGCTCACACTCATGGGCCAGGCGGAGATACTGTGTGCGAAGACTACCAAGGAGCGCTCGCGCTTCACCACGCTGCTGCGCAAGCTAGGCCGCGCCGGGGCGCTGGCCGGGGTGGGCGGCTGCGGCCCGGGAGGCGCGGGGACGGCGGGCGGCGGCGGGGGCACCAGGCCTGTCAAAGGCAAGATGCCCTGCCTCATCTGCATGAACCACCGCACCAACGAGAGCCTGAGTCTGCCCTTCCAGTGCCAGGGCCGCTTCAGCACGCGCAGCCCGCTGGAGCTGCAGATGCAGGAGGGCGAGCACACGGTGCGCGCCATCATCGAGCGCGTGCGGCTGCCGGTGAACGTGCTGGTGCCCAGCCGGCCACCGCGCAACCCCTACGACCTGCACCCGGTGCGGGAGGGGCACTGCTACAAGCTGGTCAGCATCATCTCCAAGACCGTGGTGCTGGGGCTGGCGCTCCGCCGCGAGGGCCCGGCGCCGCTGCACTTCCTGCTGCTCACCGACACGCCGCGCTTCGCGCTGCCGCAGGGCCTGCTGGCCGGGGACCCGCGGGTCGAGCGCCTGGTGCGGGACAGCGCCTCCTACTGTCGCGAGCGCTTCGACCCGGACGAGTACTCCACGGCCGTGCGCGAGGCGCCCGCCGAGCTGGCCGAGGACTGCGCCAGCCCGCGCCGCGCGCGCCTCTGCCTGCCCGCGCCGCGCGCCCCCGGCCCCGTCCGCGCGCCCGGCCCGGGCCCTCCGGCGCCCCCTGGCGACGGCGAGCAGGAGTACGTGAGCCCCGACTGGGCGGGCGCGCCCGAGATCCCCTACGAGGAGCTGTGGGCGCCCCCGGCGCCGGCGCCCGCGCCCGACCTCATCTCCTTCGGGGCCGCCCCGCCGCCGCCGCCGCCGCCGCCGCCGGGTCGCGAGCCGGAGCCGCCGCCGCCGCCCGTCCCTCCCAAGTCCGAGGCGGTGAGTGAGCCCGCGCCGCGTCGCCCACCGACGGACGGGGCGCGGAGCGGGCCGGGTCCGCTTTTCGGGGGGCCGAAGAGCCCAGTCCCGGGGCGAGAGGGCGGCAGAGGGGCGCAGGGAAGGAGAGGACGGGAGCCGAAGGGGCGGGGGTTGGCAGGGAGGAACCAGGGCAGCGGCGTGGACGGTCCGGGCTCAGCCGGGCCCGGCCTGAGAGTTCGGGGTGAGCCTGCACACGGGTTTCCGGAAGATTCCGCAGAGGGGACCCGTGGGCTGTGCGGGGAGTAGGTCCGGGGACCCTGGCGTCCCGCGCCTGCCCGCTCCGCACCTCGAGACCTGGTTCATCCCCCCACATTTACCCGACCCGCAGCCTGTCGGCACCCCGCGGGGAGCATTTGGGGCGCATGAGCCGCAGGGCATCCGGATGCCAGGGCCTTTTCCCTGGCGCCCGGCTCTCAGTTTCCTTTCACTCTCCTTTTCCTCCGGAAAGGAAGGCGGCTGCCCTCCCGCGTTTTCCCGTTTCCCTCACTGCGTTTTGGGGGAGCCGGAGACAGCGTGCGGGGGATAAAACAGGCAGGCTGGAGGGGGCGGGCAGCTGGGGGGCAGGGCAGGGCGGATGCTTGTTTCAGGGGGTCGCCGTGCCCAGCGCAGACTCCCCGCTGGCGGCTGCGAGTGCGGGCGGGGACGTCCCAGCCCGGGAGCCCGCCCGGTCACCACGCTCTCCCCGCAGGTGAAGGAGGAGTGCCGCCTGCTCAACGCGCCCCCTGTGCCTCCCCGGGGCGGCGGTGGCCGGCCGGCGGCGGGCAGCCCCCCTGTGCCGCCCCGCTTCCCCAAGCTGCAGCCCGTGTACTCGCCCAGCTCCAGCCTCTCCTACTACTCCTCCGGCCTCCCGGATGGGTGAGTCCCTCCCTCCCTCCTGGCTCTCGGGCCGCGAGGCTGGGGTCCGACCTGGGGGGTTCTCGGGGCACAGGGTCCCTGTGTTGCAGGCAGTAGCCGAGGAAGGGCCTGGGGCCTGCGGTGCCCTGCGCCGTCCTGCGTCGCTGTTTCTTCTCTGCGTGGTGGGGACAGGGCGGGAGCCCGGTGCCCAGGCCCTCTGACCAGGCTCTGCAGCGGAAAGGGGAGAGAGGGCGCCTTGCTGCTGCCCTTTTTATTGAATTCAGTTGGTCGCTCCGGCTGCCTGTTCTCACCTGGGCTGGTGGTGCTGGAAGGAGGACCAGGGCGCTCTGGAAAGGTCTGAGGCCGTGGGGGCAGGCATGTCACTACGGCCGCCCTGATCAGAGTCCTGGCGCCTGACCTGGCGGAGCCGTGGTGTGCTGGCGACCCTGTGTGTGTGACCTGAGAATGCGCCCTCCAGCTCTGCTTACCTTTCTTGTCTGTGCCAACAGGGCGGGTTCCCGCAGTGGCAGTGGCTCCCCGTCGCCGGATGCCTACTCCCTCTATTGCTACCCCTGTACCTGGGGAGACTGCAAGGTGGGCGACTCTTCTAGCCGCCCACCCCCGGGACCCCAGCCCTCAACAACCACACAGCCCAGCCAGGCCTCACGGGCCCTCGCAGAGCCTCTGAATGGGAGAACCACCTCCCTCTTGGGCGGTGACACGCTGGTCAAGACCTACCATGGCTGCCCGCCTCTTTTCAAGTCCTCTCACCCCCAGAAACGATTTGCCCCACTAGGGGCTCTCAACCCTTTCTCTGGGCCCAGCTACCCCTCGGGCCCTCCTGCGATCTCTGCTGGGCCCACAGCCACCTCGGGCTCCCTGGCTCCCTCCAGCCCTGCTCATTCCCCTGGACCAGCCTCACCAGGTCGAGCCTACTCCGCTGTTCTGCCCACTTCCCAGGCGACCTCTGAGTGGCAGGAGCCAGCCTTGGAGCCCTTGGATCCCTTCGAGCTGGGCCAGAGCAGCTCTCCGGAGCCTGGGCTGCTGCGCTGCCAGGAGCCCAGAGCTGTGGGGGCACCTGGGCCTGGACCCCGCCTTTCACCACTTGGTCCCCCCAAGGTTTTTGAGCCCGATGGTTTGGTGCCAAGGCAGGCACCCACACCACTGTCACCAGCAGCTCTGCAGGGCTCTGAGGCAGGAGGAGCCCGCCTCTTTCTCAGCCAAGGGTGCCTGGAAGGGACTCTCGCCAGTCCCAGGGACACCCCCTCCTGGCAGCCCCCTGCGGACCTGTCTGCGCTCTCCCTGGAGGAAGTCTCCCGAAGCCTGCGCTTCATCGGGCTCGCGGAGGACGTGGTGAACTTCTTTGCCCGAGAGCGCATTGACGGCAGCATCTTTGTGCAGCTCAGCGAGGACATCCTGGCTGACGACTTCCACCTCACCAAGCTGCAGGTCAAGAAGATCATGCAGTTCATCAAGGGCTGGCGGCCCAAGATCTGAGCTGCCAGCTCGGGCCGCACCGCTGCAGTGCTGGCATGGGGCTCTGGGAGCAGTGGAGGGTCTGTGGGAACCACCCTCCTGGAGAGAGGGGTCCTGCCTGTTGTAGGGAGACTCTGTACCAGGACCCAGTCACTCTGCAGCCGCTCAGCGATGCACAGACCCACAGGGCACCTGCTGTCTCTGGGCAGGGTGTGTGGGAGGGGAGGCACTGCCGGGAACTTGGCCTGTGATTCAGAGGGTGTGTGTGTGTGTGTGTGTGTGTGTGTGTGTGTGTGAGGCAGTGGCCTTCACGGCGATGGATCACCTTTCCTGCCCTGCCCTGCTGCAGCCCTTTTGCAGCAGATGGGTTCAGGTTAGAGAGATGGGAAGAAAATGGCCCATAATTCAAGCACAGATTCCCAAGTGCCCACTGCCTTTGTGCTCCATGCCCAGTAAGGGGTGCAGCTTCTTGTTGCTGGGTGGCCGTTCTTCCCCCGTGGTGTCCATGAGGTAGGTCCCTGACCCTGAGCACAGATGACTCAAGTACTAACCTGTGCTCGGCACCTCAGAGGCCTCACGCCTGGGCCCCGTTTCATGGGCGATGACGTGGGAAGAGCCCTGTTTTGCTGCTGATTTCTCTGGTTGGGGCACCTGGCAGGTGCTCCCTGGCCGCCTGGTGCCCTGGGTCCCTGCTGTCTGTCCTGTTGGCTAGGACTCCAGTCTCCTGACTGTGTGGGGAGAGCAGCTGGATTTAGGACACTTGATCCCAGAAACAAGCAACCCCCATTCCCATCATCTCTTGCCCCCGGCATTTGGCTCTGAGCGCTTGGTGGCCTCCCCTGGTTTCCTGGCACTGGCATGGGGCACAGTCGGGGCAGATGGCAGCTTGTGGCTTGGGAGACACTGCCTTTCACTCCTGCAGCTCAGTGCTGTGCTGTTGACACGCTCTAGAGACCTTGGTGCCTTTCAGCCTTTCCTTTATACTGGGGATTGAACCCAGGGCCTGGTGCGTGACAGACAAATGCTCTACCACTGAGCTCCATCCCTGCCCAGCTCTTTTAGATTTTCTGTTTTGAGATGGTCTTGCTAAATTGGCCAGGCTGCTTCAAACTTAAAATCCTCCTGCCTCATCCTCTCCAGGAGCTGGGACTACAGATATGTGCCACTGCCTGGCCAAGTGCCCAGCAGTCTTGAGCACGGCGACCTGGGTAGGATCCAGTGCTCTGGTCGTTGTGTACAGGCTCCCAGCCAGAGCACACTGCTCCTCCCACCCGCTGGTATCAGTGCGCAGAGTGGACAGCCCTCTCTTCTGCCTTAACTGGTCTGCCTAGGTATTTATTTCCTGTTTCTTCCTGCGAGTAGCTAAGCCATGCTGACACCGGACCCTTATCCCTGCCCCAGCTGAGGGAGCGAAGTCAGAGTAGAGCAGAGACTGCGTGCTCAGATACTGGGTTTTCTCACAGACGGCTTACTGAATCCTCAAGGACTAGTGAAATAAATGCTAGCCCACCGAGGACTGCAGGAAGCATTCTGGGTATTGACTGCTTCCTTCTCTTGGAAGCCTGGGGGGACCGGGGGACAGTATGGATGCCCCTGAGCAGAAGGGGCTTTGGGAAGGTGTGCATGTGGCACAACACTCTGTCCCCAAAGGCAGCCCCTCTGTCTTCTGTAAGCCCCTGCCTGGCCCCGCAAGAGCCCTGCACAGCTCCTGCTAGTGTTCTGAGAAGACCCACACAGCAGAGGTCCGACATCTGCTGGCACCAGGTTCATCTTCTGCCTTGGAGAAAGCCTGACACTCAGGACCCCCCCCACCCTGCACACCCCTGGATGAACCTGTTCGCAGGCTTGGTGCAGGGAGCGACTTCTCTCCTTCCCTTGGCTGTCTCGACAACCCCAGCTCAGAGTGTGTGCTAGGGTCCGTGTTTGGCGGCACCAGAGCTGCACTGCCTGCCAGTCCCTGTGGGAGCGGAGACCAGGGAGGCACAAGTGGGCAGAGGCCGCAGGCAGCGGTGATGGGGCTTTAGAATGCAGAGGGCGGTGGGACGTGAATTAGGATTCCACACACGCTCGGTGACTCAGTATGGTCCTTGTGCCAGACCCAGTTAGGAGCTGGTGCTGTTTACCTCGTGGGCACTGCTGCTGCCCAAGCATGGGGGTGAGCTCCGCACACCAGGGGCCAGGGCCAGGGCGAGTGTGGGGCTGGGAGGACTGGCGCCCCTTACGCTGGCCTCGCTGTGTCCCCAGCACTGCATGCAGCCTGTGCCTGCTGTGCGGAGCTCCCGAGTACAGGGAAACATCTCCATAGCTTCACGTTTAACATGCAGAAGGCACCCCAAGAAAATCAATGGGTACAAGCATATACTGAGGAAATCCAAGTAGGGAAAGAAGTACCTGTGGCAGCCAGGCACACCACCCCTCCTTCCTCCCGTTAACCAAGTCCATGCGCTGCCATGAGCAGCCCAAAGTATCCAGACGTCAGGTGCAAATGGCCACGGGCACCCGCGGCCCTGCTTTCCGGCACCACTTCCTGCTGCCCCCCAGGACTGGCCAGCACATTCCTATGTATGAGGCACAGGGCTTTATTCCACTTCGCTTCCTGAAGGAGAAGCTTAACCAGAAAGGCGAGACAGATGAGAAGGAAACAGACCTGGCAAGCAGAGGCTGAGAGTCTGTTCTTTATTGTTCTGCATTTGGCTGGGTGCAGAAATGCCCTCACCACCATTAGCTGCCGCTGGCCCCCGTGGGAACAGAGATGGCTCCAGATGGCTCTTAGCTGCTGCTCGGGGCCTTGGGCTAACAAAAGCAGCACGGGGTCCATCTTCCAACATGGAGTGCAAACCTTAATTCAGTCACACTTCGCCAGAAGGAAGTGGTCAGCACTGAAGGCACTTTGATCAAGGAGCAAGCTGAGGCCAGACTCGGTCTCCTCCAGCTTCCCAATACTTTACACGGCACAGGAGAATCACAGCACTGGGGTGGGATGTGGTCTGGTCACTAGTAGAACTTCTTGCTGGGGCTGTTAGCATGGTCAAGGAGCAGCTGGCATGGGGTGAACTGATTCCCATAGACTGCCTCGTACTTCCGGAGCCGGTCCACTATCTTCTGGGCACCGTACAAATCCACGAAGCGGAAAGGGCCTGGGCAAAAACAGGACTTTGTTAAAGAACGAAAGAGCCAGGCTGAGAACCAAGGCCTGGACCTGCAGACCCACCTCCGAGGCACGGCGGGAAGCCGAGCCCAAACACCGCTCCAATGTCTCCCTCCGTGGGTGTGGCCAGGATGCCTTCCTGCAGGCACATAACTGCCTCATTCACAAATCTTGTCACCACGCGGTACTGAATGTCTTCATCAGAGGAGCTGTAGACAGAAAGAACAATTTAGCCAGAGGATGAGCAGGGAGGCAGGCAGGATGGGGTGCAGAGGTGAAGTGTGGCTGGATGCTGGGTGCTGCTGACTGACTACACCCACTGTGCAGGGACTCAGCCCAGGAGGCCAGGCCAGGGCTGTGGGAAAGGCTGCCCTTGGCCTGACAGGACACTCAGTACTTGCAGCAGAGCCTCACACGGGATTATCATTATTTCTGCACCAGCAACGTTCAGGTGCTCGAAAATAAAGAGCTGGAGGATAAAGGGGCTGGGATAATCTGTCCTTGTTGCTCTCTGGGACTGTGCCAGGGATGCCTGGAGCGGCAGAACCTTACCCAGGCTTGGCCTCCTCTCGCCTCGGTGCCTACAAGGCTGAGGGCATAAGCAAGGGCTTTGCCCCTGTGAAGCCCTGTGCCAGCTACAGGGTGGGTGATCTCTCTGTTCAGGGGCCATGAAGAGAATAAAGAGAGGTGAAGGAGCTCTGGGCTTCCAGAGATACATCCATTTCCTTCCATGCCATCCACCATTCAGATTCACTTACACCTCAGGCTTAGCAGGCAGCTTCAGGCTTGCAAAAATACTATCCATGTCAGAGTTCAAATTCTTATTCTTTGAGCCCTCCTGGTAGATGTAAAAGCCCTTTCCAGACTTGCGACCTGAAAGAGGAGGCGGCAGTGTTACTATTGATTTTTTTTTTTTTTTTTTGGCAGTACCGGGGACTGAGCTCACAACCTTATACTTGCCAGGCAGGCCGTATGCTGCTGAGCTAAATCCCTGGCCCTACTCATGGCTAAGAATCCTCATTTCTGCTGGCCTGCTGTGAGGTTCTAGTCTCTTCTGTGTATTCCTGAGTTTGGGAGTCTTAACCAAATCTAGCAATTTAGTCATCATCAGGAGACCTCGCAGAAGCTGGATATGGTGGCACATTCCTGTAATCAAGCCCTCTGGGAGGCTGAGGCGGGAGGATTGTAAATTTGAGCTCAGCCTGGGGAGCTTAAACACCCTGTCTCAAATACAAAACACAACACACAGACACAAAACTGCTTTAAGTTTACAGATGCTCAGCACCAGGCCTCAGGAGGCCCATGCCAAGTGGGACTTTGCTGCTGCTTCCGCAGATGTAAAGAGGCCTGGGCAGGGCATGTTTGTCCACCTGACATAACCTGGGTCCAGTAGTGGCTGAGATTCAAAAGCCCAGATCTTTGCCTGTTGCCTGTAATCTCCAGGCCTAAGGGAAGAAGAGTTTCTCATAAAACCATTTCTGAGATGCCCACCATCAGTTCCAGGCCCTTGCAGCGCCCTGGTGCCGGAAGCTGCCAAGAACTGTGTAACTGGTTGGGCCAGTCAGGTTTCCTTGTGGCCACTCACCCAGGAAGCCCTTGGCCACCATCTGTTTCAGCAGTTCCACGTTTCCACCTCCGAACCGCTCCCCAAAGGCTTTGCCTAGATCTTCTGCCACATGCTGGGCTACATCCACCCCAACTTCATCGGCCAGGGTGGCGGCGCCCACAGGGAAGCCGAAGCCTGTGGTCAGGGAATCCAGCTTCTTAGGGTCAACTCCTTCCTGGACAGAAGAGAAGCAGGCGGTCAGGGTAAGGCCACCCCACAGCTCCTCACTGAAAGGCTCCCCATCCCAGCCCTAGCCTTGGGTGGGGGGGCGCTGTTCACTCGGGGAAGCACAAGTGGGAATTCTGTGGCACCTGAAGGAAGTTCAGAGATGAACAAATTACCCGCTTCCTTCGCTCCTACAACTGTGACTCTCAGCACTAAGGAGAAACTGTGGCTGAGACTTCATTACTGCCACAGAGCAGGGCTGCTGTGATCCACGTCCGTGTCAGGTCAGAGCCCCGCCGAAAGGATGCCCTGTCCCTCCTTTCCCGCAAGGAAGGACCTGGCCAGCCGTGGAGGGGCCGTGTGCGTCCAGCCCTGTCCTGGAGGCAGCAGCAGTGGGCACATGCGTGCTGAGAGGGCTCTGACCACGCAGGAAGGGGAAGCGAGGGGAGCCCACTTGGTGCAGCCTCAGCCTGTGACTCCCCACTCTGGGGAAGAGGGATACACAAGAGGCCCCGAGGGGGAGGAGGCCTGACCCTCGTGGGGACAGCTTCAGTTTGGAGGACTACATGGAGGAGGGGGAGAGCACCCGTACCTGCAGGATCCGTATGATTTCAGACATCATGGGTGCAAGACACCTCGTGGTGTAGAAGCCAGGCCCATCCTGCAGGGAGAGAGATGTGCTCGCTGCTCCCTCTAGCTGGAGCAACCTGTGTCTGAAACCCCTTTCGCAGACATCATTTGTGTGTTTTTCATTTTTATCGTTTTGGGGGCGTGGGAACTGAACTCAGGGCCTTCTTACTGAGCTATATCCTCAGCTTTTTTTTTTTTTTTCTCTTTCTTGTGAGACAGGGTTTCACTAAGTTGCCCAGGCTGGGCTTGAGCATGTGATTCTCTTGCCTCAGTCTGCAGAGTGCGGGATTACCGGTGCATGCCTCCGTGCCCAGCTCATCATTTCAGGTTTGAGATGGTTTAAAATCTCAATCAGACGCTGGGTGTTGTGGTGTATCCTAGCACTGGGACACTGAGGCAGGAGGACTGCAGTGAGTTTGAGACCAGCCTGGGCGGCATTATGAGTTTAGGCCTAGCTAGCAATATATAGCAAGGCTATCTCAAAAAACAAAAGCCACAGACAAAAACCAAAACGAAAAATCTCCATGTGGATCCTTGATATTAAACCGCAGTGGAAGTGGTCAGGCCCAGCAGTTTCCTGCATGTCTTTAAGGTGTGGCACAGCTAAGAGAACCCAGAGACTCCTGTTCCTGCCTGTCCTCTGAGGAGACCAGCAAGGGACACCATATCAGAAGCTGGGACATTTGCCCTAGGACAGAAATAAGCCTAGAGGTACCAGGACTCTTTCTTTTTTATATTTTTTTGTGTCCCCCCCCCCCCCCGTACCAGGACTGTTTCTAGAGCTGTGGGAATGGGCCAGTTTCAGAGCTCCCTACCTTAACTACAATGATGACCTTGCCCTGCTTGAGACCAAGTGCTATGGCGGAAGCGGTGGTGTCCTGGCTTGTTTTCTCGGTGGTGATGATCTCCAGCAGCTGCATCTTGTCCACTGGGGAGAAGTAGTGCATGCCGATCACCTGGCAAAGGAGCCAAAGCCAAGAGCCTGACGAGCGCCGAGGAGGAGAGCACACCCTGCCTTTCTGCCGGGAAGGCAGTGTGTCGGGGTGCGGGGGAGGTGGCTGCGGCACCGGGAGCTGCTGGGTTGGGCGGGCTGGCCCTGCGGGTCTCGGGTGGGAAGTGCGGCACATCCAGGGCGAGCTCCCAGAGTCCTCCTTCCGGCTGCTTCTGAGGGTCCCTGACATTACCGACAGTCACTGCCAGTCACAGCCAAAGTCCACACTGCATTTATTGGGGAAGGATGAATGAAGGTTCCACTCATAGTACTGATGCTGGTGGTTTAGGGGAGAGGGTCCACTTTTTTGGGCAAGAGCCAGGAGAAGCTGGTTACTATACAGGACTGTCAGAGATGTATTGGCCCTTGAACCAACAGGTCTCCAGGACACTAGGCTTCAGTAACACTTCTCAGTACTCAAATGCACTTAAGATTCATTAAACCAATGATTCCACAGCACAATGCCCAAACCATTAGCGTCAGCATCACCTGCAAATGTTAGACCTCTGGGCCTCTGTTTGCCACTGTCCCACACAGCTCAGCTGCAACCACAGCTGCTAACCCCTGAACTGCTGTACTTACATCTAAATTATTTAGGGCCTGATTGACATGTGGTCACCCTGGGCAAAAGGACTCAGCTTTCACTGACGTAACTTACACCAAATAAAAGGCATGGATCTTTAAGGGTTCTGGTCAGTGGTTCTGACAATGTTCCTACAGCCCCATCATCACTACCCCAGGCAAAATACGTTTCAGTCACCCGCGGCTGTGACAGAGGTGACCTCTTATCCTACACTGCTGGGACTGTCCCGGGTGTAGCACTGAAGGTCCCGTGTCCCAGGAACGATGCTGCCAAGAGAGCCGAGACACGGGCACACCTGTGGTCTGACTTGGACTATGAATGGTGTACGGCGAGTAGGTGACAGAAGCTCTCAGGGCTTGGGGAGGGAGCTCAGTGGTAGAGAACTCCCCTAGTGCGCAAAAGGCCCAGAGTTCAATCCTCAGGACCTCCAAAAAAGCAAAGCAAAGCAAAGCAAAAAACCCCAAACCTGGAGATGTGGACCCCCAAGCGCACGGCTTGCTCCACTGCACAGGGAGGTGTTAGATCAAATCAACAGTAATGGATTCTTCTGTGTGGATTTTTTTTTCCCCAGACAAGTCTCACTTGTAGTCCAGGGTGTCCTCAAACTCCTGACCCTCCTGCCTCAGCCTCCTGAGTCAGTGCTGGGATCCCTGGCGTGCACCACCGTCCCGGCTCTCCTCTATGCTGATGTTAAATGCTGCAGAGGTGCTGTGTCCCTGTCTGCCTGTATAGTCTGTAAGAGCTCTTACACGTTTCTGGTATCTTCCCTTAGAGGCCGACATCAGTGTGACTGCGGCTGCCACTGCTGCCTCTGCGTCATCCCCGGCCGTCCTGAGCCCGCCCCATCAGGGCCGCACCCTCTCAGGCCTGCTGGGCGGTCCAGCACCAGAGACCTCCGAGGAGGGGGAGGCTGTTGTGTCTTTGGTATGCAGACTGCCCGGGTGCTTTCAGCTGCTTACCTTACGCCCTGTGGCTTGGACCACTGGGGGACACACAAGCCGGACACCATCCCACTGGATGGGACTGTCCAAGCATGGGCCACTGGGAGTCCCGAGCTGCTTGCCAGCGAGATGTGAACGTGTTAACAGCTCTCTGTGTTTCCTACGCACCTCTGTCTGGTTCCTGTTAGCTGAGGCAACAAGCAATTCTCTGGAGACCTGAGGTGTCTGCTGTTTCTTTGAATGACTGAACCTCCCTTTCCTTACTATGGGTGAACAACAAGGATAACTTTCTTTTTTTTCTTCCTAATATTGATGTTTATTTTAGTATAGTTAAGTTTAGTATAGTTCCTTTCTTTTCTTTTTTTGGTACTGGGAATCGAACTCAGGACCTTGCGCTTGCCAGGCAGGCCTTGTGCCCCTGAGCTAAATCCCCAGCCCAACAACGATAACATTCTTGGCCTCAGTCTGGACCCTTGCTGGGGGCGCTTCTGCACCAGCCATGTCCTGGTCAGATGGCCTAGGGAAACAGGCGGACACAGTCCCGTTTGCCCTGCTCCCCCACTCCTGGCGTTGGAGCCGAACCTGTCTTACATGGTCACCAGACTCTGCTGTGTAGCTGACTGGTGTTCGGGAGTGGCCTTCTTTATTTAGGGCCCTGCCTGCCAGGAGGAGAAAGGAAGGTTTTCAGGTCTGAATTAAAACATGACCCCCACCAGGATGTGATCGCCCAGGGCGGGGTACACAGCTGTGCTCCCTTATTCCTGGGTCTCACACTGGTGATGGCCTTCGCTCTCCGGTGCCGTGTCTAGGAATTACCCGCCCCTTCGCAGTCCACAGCGGCTTCCTGCAGCAGTAACCATTCAGGTTTCTTCCCACTCAGTTTACCTTCTCAGGTCTTTTGCTGACAGCAGCGATTTCCTTGATTGGCAGAGCGGAAGTGTTACTGGCAAAGATGCAGTGATCTGGGATCACCTGCAGGTGGAAGCATTAGAGAGAGTGTCTCACGGTCTGGGAGACGACAGAGTCCGAAGCAAAGCCGTGAGTGACACGGGCCGGCCCGCCTCCCCCACAGCGGCTCAGGCAGCTGGCACTCGCTGCACACCCAGGTTCCGAGTGGCCATGCACTGCCCTGGGCCTCCTCCCACCCGCCTTCCTCCAGCTGCCCTCTTACTGTTTACATTGGGTTTTTCGCTGCCAGGAATCAAACCCAGGACCTTGCACTTGCCAGGCAGGCACTGAGCCATGAGCCGTACTCTCAGCCTATTGTTTACATCTTTAAAAGTAATTTTTTATAGTGCATGTCTGCGATCCACAATGAACAGCACATTCACCACAGGCTGTCGGTGCACATATACATCATCACACGTCAGTCCTTTTTACTGCCCCTTCCCTCCGGCAGTGTAGATCCTAAATGTCTCCATGAAACTTCACCTTTGGAAGGCGACTGGCTCACTGTCCTGGTCAGTGAGGTCGCCTGGTCGGTGAGGAATTCTGCTGGAGTGGGAGGGCCGGGTCAGAGGGGTGGACCACGGGGGGCATCACTGGAGGGCGCATTCTTGACACTGGCTCCCACTCCTTTCTGTGCTTCCCGGCTGCCATGTGAGAGGCTCACCTCGGCCAGGCCTTTCTACAATGCTGCCTCTGCCTTGGGAGCAGCTGACCACGGACTGAAGCCACTGAACTATAAGCCAGTACAGACCTCTCCTCCAAGCTGTTGGTGTCAGGTATTTTGTCCAGTCATGAGAACACATAGGGCCTTTCAGAAAGTCACTTAATCCTGACCTAAGGACTGTCTCAGCAGTGGCTAAACAAACCCTGAAAAGATGGCTTTAATCTGAATGGACGGATGCCAATTCCTGCGTCTGGATCTGCATTAGGCCGACAGTTTGCGACCCTCCTCCCTCACCTCCACCTGTTCCTTCCCTTCTGCAGACACTGCTCTAGGAGCCCTGGCCTTTACCTGCTCTCTGCCTTCCAGGTTTGCGCTCCCACCTCGTGTCTCCCTTAGCTCTCTGTTCTGCTCTAACTGCGTCTTCACTTGTCTGACTCAATCCCTGTCTCTTCCTGGACTCCTGACTCCCAGGGGCCACCAGTATCCACGGTGACATCGCCACACCTAGATTTTCCAGGAACAAATACCATGTCCTAGTTGCTAAGAGCGCTCTGCTTCATCTTGGTTGTGGGGAGCATGTCCCTGCCTGCGACCCAGCGGTGTCCCTCAAGACCCGGTTACATCGTGTGAGGCTATACACTGAAAGACCCTCGGGCAGTTTTTCCCTCAGCCGACCCTAGCGTTACACTTTGTGTGTTCCATTGTTGCACTCTGCCCTGGCGGAGCTGCCTGGCTTTCTTTCTAACCTCCACAGCGCTGGTTCATGTCAGTCCGTCTCAGGAACTGGCTGTGGAGAGGAGTGGGAGCAGGGCCAGAGTGCATGTCCATGACCAAGCACCCGAGTGTTGCCTGGAGAAGCCACCTGCCCAGTATGTCCTCTGCTGCTGACACCTGAAGAAGTCTGGGTACAACTTGTGGCTAATCAAAAACACTCTCAGGACATCTGGCTGAGTTCTAAGAGGTTCCATACAGGTTTGAGTGACTGATCTCCCACAGGAACAAGGCTGATGAACCCTGGGCTTGGGCTGATAAACACTTAATTTTCCTCCTTTAGGGTTTAGATTTGACCTTTTAAATATACAGAGTATGCAACTCAGTGGTAAAGTGTGGGGCTAATGTGCTTGAGGCCTTGGGTTTGACTTCCGCAACACATCACACTGCTAAAGCCCTGCGTTTGGAAATGAACAGCCTATGCAAATGTCATGGTTTATGTCTGTGGCCCCCACGCCTCATGTATTTGCACTGTGCATTTGTTATTTGTTCATTGTCTAGAGCTTGGATTGATGGTGTCAGTGCTGCACCCACAAAGGGGTGGAGCCAGGATGTGATGTAATGGCAGGAAGAAGGTGTGTCTTGCTCTTTGCTGGTTTGAACTTGCTGTTTGCAGCTGCCAAGAAAGGCGGCCCAGCCATGCCTGCCTGCCTGGGAGCCAACTGAGTGTGGACTGAAACCTCCAAAAACTGTAAGAAATAAACCTTTCCTTTCCCAACTTTGGTCATCAGGTATTTTGTCTCAGCGATGATTAAAAATAACTTAGATAGCAAAAAAATCATGATTTTCCCCTATTGTTCCTTTGGAAAGCAACCCCGCTAGTCCACTGGCTTTAATTAAGCACAGTGGGCTCCTTACCGCTTCTACTTCCTTGAGCACTTTGTGCTTAATATTGAGGTCCTCGAACACAGCTTCAATCACCATGTCAGCCTTTTCAAAACCCTGGTAGTCCAGCTGCCCAATCAGGTTGCTGAAGATGGAGTCCCTTTCAAATGACGTTAGAGCTTTCTTCTTCACTTTGTCATTCAACCTAGAAAAAGCATTTCTAGTCAGAGGGGAAGGAGACTGGCACTCAGGGTCACTCACTGTGTGCTTCTCACTAGCTCTGGGAGACCCTGTTTTGAAGGGCTGAGATGCTCAAAAAGGACCCAAGGGGCTTGCAGAGACACAGGGCAGGGAGGGCAGGCACATGCAGAGACAGCTGACTTCTGAGTGCAGGCGCTTCTGCTACAAAACGCCTTTAACTGCCCAACATACGTAACTGTGACTCTTAGAAAGCAGCTGTCTGCCAGGAGTATTTAGTAACACAACACGACGGCAGTGACACAGAACGGCAGTCTGCTCATTCCCCCTCACGGGGACCAGCCTGAGCGCGCCCTCAGCACCGGGCTGTCCTCCTTGCCTGTGTGTCACCGTGTTGTTCTCTCACTGTCGTCTTGTGGCGAGCAGAGCCGGGCTGTTTCTCATATTGTCCATCTGCTTCCCACTCAGCACTAACAGCACACTGCGCTGACCACATAAAATATTAACTCCTGCTTTCTCCCTTCCCGCTGGGAGCTAATAAAGATTCCTGCTACTCAGTGGTTAACTAGGCACTGCTTACGGCCAGGGCAAGCAGGCGTTCTTAGGAACAGCCTGACCACACTTTCATAATAAATACCCTGGAGCGCTCCTCTGAAGGAATTATGAAGCTCAACTTCATTCAATGATTTCCTTGGCCAAAGAGTAAAACAAGCATCCAATTCAGGTCTTAAAAAGGGTGTGTTTGAATCTCTTGGTTTCTGACAACTGCAGGGGCAGTCAGCCAACACACTGGTCACGTACAAAACTATTAGCTGCCCTTCATTTTTCCAAGCCAGGATGGCCCTGAAGTCACGAGGTACCAAGGCTGCCCACAGCTACGCTCCTGCCTTACACACCTGGCTAAATTACCCGAATTCTAAGGCCAAATGAAACCATTGCCAGGAGACAGAAGCACGTCCCAAGCGCCAGTATGGTGAGCTGCAGCCTCCAAAACTTAGGTTTGAGACAGAGAGGGGAACCTGCAGAGCGCGAGGCGCTCACAGGGCGAGGCTGTGCCACGGCAGCTGCTTCACACTTGGCCATTACATGAGCGCTGCCTTCGGGTCCGTGTTTGTGTCAGAGCCGGGTGCTGGCGTATCCAGCCTCTGACACTTTTGCACTTTTACTTAACTTCTTTTTATCTTGCAGTCATCTGCCGACATGCCTGGCCCGCCAGGCCCCAGTCAGCAGTGTGTGGGCTTCTCTGCAGGCCAGGGATGACAATGTGCTTACGCTACATAATCCTTTTAGGAAACAAGAAGGCTTACTCAGCTCACAGGCACGAGCAGGGGCAGGATGGTCTGTGGCAGCCAGCTCAGCCATCACGTTTGAGCGGAAGCTCAGTCTGGCCAAGCGGCTGCTGTTTTCCCAATGCAAAACTGGCGAGTGCGTGCGGAGCGGGGACCCAGGAGTCGAGGGAGAGGAGACAGCCGCTGAGTCACAGCAGAGGTAAGGTGGGGACAGTCTGCAGACCCTTGGGTGCTGTCCGCAGTGACGTGCTCGTCACCTCGGCCAGGAGACACAAGGCCCACAGCGCTGATCCTGGCCGGGCCTTGACCCCGCACTTCCCCCACAGGCCCTCCAGCCTCAGCGTCTCAACAGAGAGGGTCCTGCTGGCCCCAAAGTCCACAGCAAGGCCCACAGACCTGAGACTTTCCAGTCTGGTACCAAAAGTGTAAAACAAATGGTTTTTAAAGTATCTACCAAGGACACAACACAAAACGAAAAACAAAGTATCTACTAGAAGAGGTTGCCTCTTCTGCACTCAAAGACCCCAATGATGTTAATGTCCACCAGGCTGGGTGTGGTGGCACAGGCCAGTAAGCTCAGTACTCAGGAGGCTGAGGCAAAGAGGACTGCTGCAAGTTCAAGACCAGCCTGGGCTACAAAGCAAGGTGAAGGCCAGTCTGAACTGCACAGCGAGACCCTGTCTCAAAGACCAAAAACAAGTCATGAAAAGCTATAACAAAATGAAATGAAGACGGAATTAGTGTTTCTAGAAAAAAGAACCTATGATGTTAAGAAAACAATACACACATATATACACGCATACAACCGAATCATGGTACTTCCACCACCTCAAAAAACACCACCACCAACGAAAACCCCCCAAGCCCCAGCCAGCGCCTACCCTTTGAACACCTGCTGTTGTCCGCGGCCCAGCCCGGCTACCGTCGCATCTTTAAGCAGGGTCTTCACTCCCTTATCCACGGAGACCTGCGCGATGCCGGCTCCCATCAGCCCTGCGCCCAGAATGGCCAGCTGTCTGACAGGAAAAGAGGGGTGATTTCCGTAAAGAGCTTTTACTCGGGAGACTGCCCACGCTACCATCCAATGCATCACCTGTGAGGTGCTGCAAATCCTCTCCAGCTACACAAGCCCAGCACTAACAATTTGGTTTTCAGTACTGGGAGTTGAACCTTGTGCATGCGAGGCAAATCCTCACCTTTGAGTGACATTCCTGTCCCTTTTATGGTCAGACAAGGCCTTGCGAAATCGCTCAGTACGGCCTTGGACCTGGGATCTTCCTGCTTCAGCCTCCTGAGTAGGTGGGATTATAGGCCTGGACCCCCATGTCTTTAGCTGACTGATTCTACAGTTGAATGCAAAAATCCACTGTGTCTAAAGGAATTGGTCCTCCCGTGGAGACAGAAACAAAGCCAACTACAGATAAGCTTAAGTGAACACGAGTATTGTTTTCTAAATAAAGGCTGACTTGTAGACCAACTTCTCTTCTTAGGCGTTCATTATTTGCTAGTGAGTTTACATTTTCTAGCCACCTTTCCTTCTGGCAGAAACCCACGGCTGTCAGCCCACATCGGCGTTAGGTCAAAAGTCCTGCGGGACTCTGCTCCAGGCCTCCTCTCCCGGCGCCCCTGCTCCCCCCCCCCCCCCGCCCTGTTCCTCTGCAGCTTCTCAGGGCCACTGATTTACCGCATGGCATTTTGCAATGGGCTCATCTACACCCTTCTGCTCCTCGAATTCTCAGCTTTCTGAGGACCAGGGACACATGTGATAGTTCTTTTGGAATAATATACCCTTTATAAATAGGTAACGAGAATTTTAGAGAATTATTTTCTGCAGTAATGTGGGTGGGTGAAGCAGGAGGACTGAATATTTGAGCCCCGGCTGGGCCAGTTAGTGACCCAGTGAGAGCCTGTCTCAAAAATAAAGAAAATACCTGAGTGTATTTTCACCTGTAATCCCAGCACTTGGGAGGCTGAAGCAGGAAAATCGCTGCAAGTTTGAGGCCAGGCTGGGCGACACAGTGAGTTCAAAGATAGCCCTGACCTACAGACCCTGTCTCACCAAGAAGGAAAAAAGAAAGAAAGAAAGAAAGGCCAGGACTGTAGTTTAGAGCCACGGCCCTCAGGGCTCATCTCCTTTATAAAAGCAGCCCAAGTTCACAGCACTGCAGACCTACCTCAGCGCTGTCGAGGAATATAGTTTGAGTCCTAATTGTTCTGATCATGTTTGAAATCCTAACTTCAAATCCTAACTTCAAGTCCAGGAGCATCTCTCAAGGGAAGCTTTGTGATAATACATGTTTATCAGCTACCTTTTCTTGAATTTCTTCCCCGTTAGGTCAGCTCTTACTCCATCTTGTTTTGTTCTGAGTTGTTAAATTTCTGATTTAAAGTGATTTTTGTCGTAACTGTAAATGCTTATGAAATGGTAGTTTCTTCTGCACTGTGGTTGTTCTAGGGAGAGAATTTTCATAACCTACAGTGCTTTCGTTTTTTTTCTTTTCCATCTCATTTGCTTTAATGGATGTTGCCTTTCTTTTTTGGTGCATTTGGTATATAATACTAATTTCTCCAGGTGGTTTTATACCATCAGCACACAACAGGAAACCCGTATGTAGTCAGGAGTAGCAGGCTGAAGTGGCACACTAGGTCTCTTCACCTAGAAGTACCCTTTCCAGCTGCAGAGAGGCAGAACTGATATTTTTTGTGTGCATGGAGGGATGAGAGAGAGAAGATGAGCTGGGAGGGGTTCACAGGTCTTAGGGTCTGAAACTGTGCACTACTCTTACTATTCTTTGTTTTCTTTTTTTTTCAGTCCTGGGGACTGAACTCACGACCTCACACCTGCCAGGCAGGCGCTTGCACCCCTGGGCTAACCCCCAGCCCAGTTTTCATATTCTTGTTTCTTGCTTCTTTTCCTTCTTGTTGCAATAAAGTCCCGCCTGAGGACCTAGCAGGGGTTCTGACTTCCGTGCACGCTCTGCCTGGAGAGTGGGCTTGTTTCCCTTGTCAGTCTGCCTGGCCTCTGCAGGAAGTGTGGAGAGGCCGAAGTTCAGGTGGTCATGGTTTTGGTACCTTAGCATCAGCGTGAGGGGGGACAAACTCCACCTGGGCCTCACTGGTACCCACGCTCCGTGCTGGGGAAGGTGACAAGGTCGTCTCTGTTTGGAAATCAGCCCTCTTGGCTACAATCTCACCCGTCTCACTCCATGTTCTTACGCATTTACTCTATCTTGGGTTGCAATTTCCTTGCAGATGAGAGGACACGGAGGGCAATAATGTTTGCTGCTTTTCTTCAATCCTTCACCAGTAATTCATCTAGTACAGGGTCTTTCAACTTCAGGACTACTGATACTGTGGACTTGAAAATTTTTGTTTGGGGGGCTGTCCTGTGCACTGTGGTTTGCCAGGAGCAACCCTTCCTCCCCACTTGTGACAGCCAAAAGTGTTCTCACTCAGATGGCCCCTGGAGGTGGCAAAATAGCCCAGGTTGAGAAGCACTGAGCTCGAGGGAGAGTTTCAGGGCATCAGTCAGCCCCATAAGCTGCAGCACTGCGAGGCAACAGAACACTGAGAGGCTTCTGACGTCCAGGCCAAGTGCAGTCTCCACTGCTTAGGGTGTAGGCTGGGAAAAGCACAAAACTTCCCCGATTACAATGAGGCTTTCTGTTTTTTAATGAGGGAGGAGAGCAGGTTCCTAGAGGTGGCACTTTAGGTTGAGAGGGAGACGGCTGACCAGTGTGGAGTGCACGGAGGTACGGGCACGAGAGCGCTCTGAGTCACCGGAGGACCGAGAGAGAGCAGCAAGGCAGAGCTTTCCAAGCCAAGCGTTCCTGGTAGGAGAAAGCCTCCACCGTGCTCGGAACGCGGGCCGCTGAGGCCAGGGCCAGGGTACAATCAGGTCCTGGAGCGCTTCGGAACTGTCTGTGAGCTCGGAACCCAGTAACCTCACGAGGGCCTCTGCCCGAGTTTAACTTACTTGACTTCCTTCTGCGGAGCTCCGAATTTATTTTTCTTGCATAGGACTTGGCCATGATACAGTCCCACCAAGGCCTTTGATTCCTTGGTCACTGCAAGCTCTCCGAATTTCTGGAAAGTAAAGAAAATGAGAAAAGGTAGAGCTTCATTGTCTAGGTCAGTGGTGGTGAACCTGTGTCAGTGGTGGTGAACCTGTGGCACACATGTTACTGTGTTTTTAAGACAGAAAGTGTTAATGTGTGAGTTTTTTGTTTCTAAACTAAAACCTCAGTACTCAGAGTTAATGGCGGTGTTGGTACGTTGCAATATCTTCTCTAAAAGGTTCGCATTACTGGTTTAGGTGACATGCATTGCTTTGGGCCATTTTTCTCGGAGGAGCAGGGTAAATCATACAATGCCTTGGTCCCTCAGAGGCCCAGGGTCTTGGCAGTGCCCACGCTGCAGAAAGCTGTCTCCCACTGAGGCGTCACCTTCTCACTACTCTTGTCTGGTTCTTTATGACCGCTGCTGTGAGAAAGGGCTTTGATTTGTGCAATCACACGCTTAATTCTTTACGGCAGAGGAGTGGGAACGTTTGCCCTAGACCTGGAGTTCAGGGCCAAAATGGGCCTTTATAATTGTCTCAACCACCCTCTCAGACTAAAGACTGGAAAGGAGAGGCCCACAGATACTGTGGGATGCCCATAGTCTCTACCACCTCAAAGCTCAGGAATGGAGCATGAACCCAGGCAGACCCTGAGGCCAGTCCTTGTCCCCCCGCAGCAGGCTGCCCACAGACCACCTACTACCACTTTAGAAAGCATCCCAACGCGTTCGGAGAGTGCGTCTCAGCTGAGTGGTTAATTGCATAAGATCTAGAGTCTAGGTCTGAATCTTGTCTCTGTTATTTCCCCACTACAAAGCTTGCTTTGTTCTTTTTTTTTTTTTCCTTTGGTACGGGGGATTGAACTCACGCCCTCGCGTTTGCCAAATAGGCACTTACGCTGCTGTGTTAACCCCTCACCCACTTTCTTCATTCTCAAAATAGGAAAACCAGCATCTACTTTATGGTACTGTTGTGGGGACCAGATGAGAACATTATGAAAATGACAACTAAAATTATTAGAATGTACCAGTAAGGTTGCATGTCACAAATAGCATTTCCAAGAGATGCCAGGGATGGTGGTCCATGCCTGTAATCCCAGCATTCGGGAGGCCAAGGCAAGAGGTCCCTACGAGTGCAAGGCCAGTCTAAACATTCCACAGAATCAGTGCTTTAATCTCAATCCAGTGTTTTATACGCCTGTGATTTTCTTTTTTCTTTTTTTGGGAAGATACTGGGAATCAAACTCAGGACCTCATGCTTGCCAGGCAGGCACTGAGCCACTGAGCTAACTCCCTTGGTCACACCTGTGATTTTCAAACTGTAGTTAAAAATCCATCAGAGGTCATGAATTTAGTGGGTTATGATACACACTGTTTATATAAAAGAAGTAGAACAGATTTAGCTCAGCGGCGCAATTGCCTGCCTGGCAAGTGCAAGGTTGTGAGTTTGATCCCTGGTACCAAAAAATAAAAAAATAAAAATAAAAATAGTAGAACAGAGAAGCCTCTCAGTATCCATGGGAGAATGACTGGTTTCTGGACCCCTGACAACATCAAAACCCACAAATGCTTAAGTCTCTCATACAAAATGTATTTGCATATCTTCTTGTATATTTTAAATCTAATGCCATAAATTCAGCTGTTACACTGTATTTAGAGAATAATGACATGAGGAAAGTCTATACACGTGCAGTAAAGGTGTGAAAATTTTTTTGCTGAGGCTTGGAGCCAGGGTCTCGTCCGTGCTCAGGAGCCCCTGCAGCTGAGCCAGACCCCAGCCCCTTTTTTCAAGACTTGTGGCCCTTGGTTGGCTGAACCTCTGGATGTGGGACCTGTGGATCTGGAGGGCAAATTTACACAGAAAATGCCAAGTACAATGCACGGTGAGGGCAATTACTGCTTTGTCAACTGTATGCTTCAGTTTTTCTGTAAATATCTGCATGTGTATCTGGTTATGATTTTTTAAAAAAGATCAGAAATGCATAATGAACAATCAAGTACCAGAAAGAGTTCTCTGGAATCTGTCCTGAGCTCTTCAGATCCTTTTTGTTCTGTTATTTTATTATAGGATTTTTCAGATTGGTTAAAACTTAAAAAACAACCCAAGCCAGTAAAATCTCCCATGTCAGGTTGTTAGAGAAGTGGAAGGGTGGAGCTGGTTCTCAAATTCCTACAATCTTTGTCTTTTACTGGGCAGGAGACACTTCATTTTCTAAATCACCAGAAAGAGGCTGGGCTTCAATATTTCATAGCTAGGCCTTAAAAAGTTAAGAAACTTTCCTACGAAGGTAGTCATTTTATCACACCAAGTCAGCTCTCAAGCGGAGAAGGAAGCTGTCCAAATGGCTCACTCTGACAGAATCCTAAGTCTGCTCCTGCTTTTCTAGTTCCGGCCTCATCACAGAAAGTGAGTTCCTGTTCACAGAGATTAATCATAATAACTGGAAGAAAAAACTTTTACCACGTTTTGGATATTTGTCTTAGTTTTTCAGCATTAAACAAAATATTGGCTGACTTCCCTGTGATTCATAATAAAAAACAATCCTACCTGGGACTCAGCGAGGTACCCAGCATCACTCCCTTGTTCCAGTCCAGTCTTTACTGCCTAAAAAACACGAAAAGCGCTTGTTCAGTGTGGGAACGGCTTGGTGAGATGCACCATTTACGCTGAATAAAATGACCAGCATTGTTAGACTTCAAAGAGGAGGTCAGTGGCTTAGATCTGTGAGAGAGATGCGGGCCGAGTGCCCGGCTGCACAGGTGACTTAAGCTTCCACCTCTGAGGTCACTGCTGCACCCGGCAGGAATCGGGGAGAAGGAAAGAGAGGGCCGGGGTCCGTGGCCACCGGCTTCCTTCCATTCCCTGAGGACAGGCACCCTCAGCGTCCACTTTCAGCCCCTTCCTCTGTGCTCTCTTCCTCGGAGGCATGATCTGTGTAACACACTCATCATCGACTCTGTGAAATTCAGCTTCACACCCAGGGGAAGTGCTACCCTCGGACAATGCCAAGGATAGAAGGCACAGAATCCTGAACTCAATCATCATTATGGACATGACAAAAAAATATACATTCTTAACTTTAATTTCCCTGTCTGGACTGCTTTTCCTGTACTGTCCACACTCGGGTAGCTAAACTTAACTGTCAATCCCTGTTCGGCAAGCTGCCTGCTGCCCCCACACCTGTACCGTCACATCTCAGGTACTCAGACGCCGAGCCTAAGTGACTGAGAGTGCAGGCTCATTCCCTGCCTGCTCTACAGTCTCCCTTTCTGTTTCTCTCACTAACACAGAGATGGAGGTCTATCGTCTCCACAGGACAAAGTGAAATCTGTCAACTCACGATTGCCAAACCTCTAAACCCTTCTGCAGACCCATTCACTGCTCCGGAGTCCCAGAAGCTGATCCAAACGCTCCTCGAGCAGCCTTGTGCTTTGGAGCTCCCCAACTGCCGCAAACGCCTGCGCTGCTCAGCACCGCACACTCTCAGGCACCCTCCCTCACTCTCGGGGCTCAGGCCAGGTCCTGCGAGGCTCTCCCTGGTCACGCTGGCTTCCTCCCCTGGACACTTAGCACTTTTCCTGTTCTGACCACCCGGCTGCCTTGTCTCTTAGCGAGGGTACAGTCAACCTCCTCAGCCCTGACCGTGAGACGAACACAGGCAGGGGATCGTGTTTCATACTTTAATTTCAGTTTTTGGGGTGCTGGGTGCAAGGCTTTGCACATGCTAGTGAAAAACTACTGAGCTACACACCTAGTCCATGTTTCATATTCTATGTACTTTGAGGCCTGCTCACAATGCATTTGTTGACTGGTACAGTCTCAATTTTAAAATCTGATCATATGCTCTCTTAATTGTGGACTTTTCCATACTGAAGAGCTTTACGTTTTGAGGTCTACGATTAGAGCTCACTTCAGCTCGGTGCCCTGAACTCCTCCAAACTTCTCTGTATCATTCCATGCTCTTAACAGTGACAGCAATGGGCAGAGTCTGAGGGACTGCAGGAACTGACGGTGCTTTTGACTAATAGCAGAACTCGGCCTTCAGTTTTGCGTCACCTGCCTCTTAGTGCCCGGTATTTCCTGTTGTGGTTACGCTGGTATTACTTAGTTCCTTTCTTGCTCTCTTACTGATAGCTTTAGAACTCAGTAGCCAATGAGTGTGTCTAGCACTCTCTTCACCCAACCCATAGCTTTATACAAGTACCGCTTCTGTGCTCGTCCCTTACTTAGCTCAGTATGTACTTCACCAGCAGAACTAAGAACTTTAGCTATGACACGCAGGTCCGGAAGGCAGCGGGGCCCTGCTCTACAGAAGGGCAGGGTACGGCGAGGCGGGCGTAAAGGGGAGACTCACATCGATTATTTTCAGAGGTGCAGGATAAAGGCCTTTGGTCTGCTTGCGCACTTTTTCTTCCACTTTTTTGTAAACCTGCTGCCTGACAAATGGAATACTCATGGCGTAGGACGTCAGTTCTGGAAGGTAGAATGATTTTTAGACACCTACTGGAAAGGCCTGGCCTCCCTTATTGCTTTGCTCTGTGACTGCCATAAAAATGCAGTAATTCCAGACAGACAAAAGAGCTGCTCTCTATTCTAACACACATAATCTAAGTGTCAACCATTGCACTGCTTCAAATATACTTTAATTAGTGGATAAATGTTAAAGCTAGGCCTTGGGTACTGTGTGTTTATTACATTGTTATAGTTTCAACTTTTGTATTAGTTTAAATTTTTCCAAATTAAAAAGTTTGAAAAAATTATTTTAGCCAGGCAGGGTGGTGCAAGTCTATCACCAGCAGCATTCAGAAGGCTGAGGCAACAAGATTGCTGCAAGTCTAAAGCCTGCCTGAGCTATGCAGAGTTCAAGGCCAGCTTTGACTACTTAGCAAGACCCTGCCTCGACACTCCTCACCCCAAAAAGATTTTAACTGGTTTGAGGTTAAGGACTTGATGCTGTAGCAGAGTTGTGACAGCCCTTAAGGTTGACGTTACACTGCGGACAAATAATACACTTCTTCCTCCTTTGCAAATGCAACTAAATGCTTAAGAAAGCAGCTCTGTCCACTCACTTTCCACCAATCCCTTGTCCCTCTTTGGCGTGATCTTCTTATCAGCTAGGCCTTTGGCAAACGTAACTGCAACTTCCTCCAGGTATTCAATTGTCCGTTCCTCCGGAGGTTTTATTCCTGGTCCTGTAAAAATGATTGCAGCAGACTGAATACAAATGAGCTGACAGCAGGCCCGACCCAGGCAGGCCAAAGCCACAGCTCAGCACGGCCTCCCTCCTCAGGCCAGAGACGGGCAGGTGGCAGGCCTGAGCTTGGTCTTCAAGAGGGACCAGCACCGAGCAAGGGCGAAACGTGTGCTCTGAGCAGGGAAAAGGACCCTTCAGCCTGACTGGCACTTCTGTAGGGTGCAGCGTGGGTTAAAATCATTTGCAAACACAGTGAAGACGGGGAAGCACAAGGCCCACATAAACTAAAACTCCAGCGCAGGAAGAGCTATCTCAGGTGAACTGGTGATCGCTGCTTCTTTCTTTCTGAGGTATGCGATGCTTTGGGTACGAGGTAAAGACTGAGCCTGCCTCGAGCTGGAGGATGCCTCTGTGGGAAAGTAAAACCATCAGAATTGCGGTGGTCACATCTGCTGCAACAGAAGCTAGAAGAGGCCGCCAAGTGAAAAAGCCAGTTTCCTCCCATGAATGTTTTCAGAGTCCCCAGGTGGCTTAGGTGGCTGAAGAGACAGGGTCAGAAAGGCGGGGTGAAATCTCAGGGTCATGATGTTTAGCTCATAAAGTACTTTTTTGCACAAAGACCTGCAGCAAGTATGCAACTGGTTTCCCACTCAAGGCCTGTGCCAGCAAGATGCAGGAGATTAGTGAGGCTTGGGCAGTGGGAATAGCTGTGCAGAGTAGATTACTACACGAAAGGGATCCTGAGCGAGGCTCCTGCAAACTTTGGGTTGGATTAATAGCAGATTTCATCTAAAGAGGAAAAGATCAGAAACTCTGAATACTTGGCAATAAAAAATATCCCGAACAAAATCACACTGAAAATAGTTAACACAAACCTTCATTTTGGGACAGTATCAAGTGACCTAACACAGATGAAGTGGAACTTCTGAAAGCTGTTATGGTTTGAGTCTGGATGTCCCTCCAAAGCCTCATGCAGACATGGGGGCAGGCGCCTAGAATCTGTGAGAGATTCATGATCCAAAGCTGGGGTTATGGGTGTGGCCTACACACAATATAAGGGAGGAAAGAGTCTCTGATCCATCCTCTTCCCCTTTTGCTTTTTGCTTGTGCTGTTTCCTGCACCTTGAGCTGCTGCCCTCTGCCATGTGCCACTCTGCCTTGGGGCCAGCTGATTATGGATCAAAACTTCCACAAACTGTGAGCTAAATAAACCTTTCTCTTATCTCAGCAACAAGAGAAAAGTATCCAAGACAGAAGGGGTGAGACAGCCAGGAAATATTTGAAGATGTGATACCCAAAGATGTTCCTAATTTTGATAAAAACAAAAGCCAACACATTTATGTAAAAGGGGCTGGGGATTTAGCTCAGCGGCATAAGCACCTGCCTTGCAAACAGGCAGTTGTGAGTTTGATCCCCGGTACTGATAAAAAAGAAAAAGACAAAACAAACAAACAAACAAAAAAATTTATGTAAAACAATCACTAAAAAACCTCAAACAAACCAAGGTGTAACATAAAACTGCTAAAACCAAGAAACCAAGTTGTGGTGGTAACACATGCCTTAATCCCAGTACTGCGGGAGGCTGAGGCAGGAAGGTTCCAAGTTTGACCCTAGGGAGACTCTGACTCAAATAAAGGGGACCCCCCACTGAGGATGTAGAACGCAGCACTGCTCCACCCCTCAAAAATTGTTGAAACTAGTCGTAAAGGGAAAATCTGACAGCAGGTTGGGGTTAGGAGTAGGGACACTTTATATACACAAAAGATAAAAGCAATAATAAATGTTTTATCAGGAAATTATACAAGCCACAACACAATGGAGACATCTATAAAGTACCAAAAGAAAAACTCTGGCATTCTATACCCAAAACACCTTTCTATAGCAAAAACACCTTTGAAAAATGAAGTTGAAATAAAGACTTCGTTAGACAAATGACAAGATTAGAAAATTAATTGCCACAGGCCTACGCTACAGAATGGTTAAAGGAAGCTCCTCAGGTTCGAGGAAAACCACATCAGATGGATGTGTGGATCTACATAAAGGACAGAGGCCCCAGAAATGATAAATACGAGTGTGAATGGAGAAAATACATCTTTCTCATTTGTCTCTTTAAATAGTAACTGTCTAAAACAAAAATGTCAATATACTGAGGAAACTGTAACATGCAGAAGTCAAATGTGTAACACAGCATAGAGGACAGGGAGAGAAAATCCTCTCCTTTAAGGTTCTGAGTGACACATGAAAGATGAATGGTCTGAAGAAGGGGCTGGGGGAAGTGGAGAGGGGGAGAGAGAGGCAGAGGCAGCGGGACAGGGATCCGGCCCCAGAAACGAGCCAGCTCACACAACCAGACCCGAATGACCGGGAAGCTGAGTCCTGGGGGGAGATTTTACTGTTTACCTTTTCCTAGTCTCCTGAAACGGGCCTGGTCACCTGCCTTGGGGAAAGGGAAATACTGTAATAAAACTTTCTGGGGGTCACTAACTCCAGGGAATCCAAATGTCACTGTCGTCACCAGGGTAGGGGCTCCGGGAGTCACAGGATTGATGAGGTTTTAGACTCAGCTCTGTCATGGTGGCTTCACCGGCTCATTCTGTGCCGCCGTGCCTGCTCCAGAATGTGCATCGGGAATTCCTAACAACCGGCAGGAACCTATACTACTCTACTTGCCCAGTAAGGACTCCTGCCAACGGGAAAAGCCAAGTAACAGCCTTGGAAGCTGCCAGGCCTCAGTACAGTACAGTGAAATGCCACAGTCCCACAGAGACCGCAGAGATCTGCGACACGGGGAGCACAGGAAGTGACTCCTCTGCATCCCCTCTCAACCTGCCTTCTTTGGCCTGTGCAGGAGAGACGGAACCTGTAGAATGACAGGGATTGTCACAAACTTAATCCTGCAGTAACTGCATGGCAGCTGGCGCTCCACACACGATTTCCTGCTTACGCAGATGAACACATCCCCTTGTACCTGGTACTTCATACAGTTACTGACGGGGCAAACGCTTTATTCCTGACGCCAGCTGGTAAAGACCACCAGAGCTTGTTTCCTCCTGGCAAGGCCTGCAGCATACTTCCATGCCTCACCTTCGGGTGGGGGCACAACTCTCCAGACATGTTTCCCGTCAGTCCTCTTGCACAAGACGCGCTGCTCATTACACTGATGACATTACGCTGAACGGATCAGGTGGGCAGCAAGCACCACCTGCTCCAGATAGTCCGGTAACATAGTTCAGTGAGAGACTGGGAAATAGATTCCTCAAAGTATTCAGGGTCTTTTTAGGGATCCAGTCGTAGGGGACACATTGAGACATCCCTTTAGAAGTTGTTGGATTTGGCCCTTTTACTAAACACAAGCAGCACCACATCTGGCGGGCTGCCTCGGCCCTCTGAGACGGCACATCCCTCACTTGGCTATGCCACCAAGCAACCGAAAAAGCTGCTCATCTGCATGGCGCCGGGATGGCAGAAGCAGCTCCGCCCTTGGGCCATGTGACTCCAACCTGCCCGTGCTGGAAGGGCCAGGGCCGGAGAGATGTTTGGAGGCTCAGCAGGCACCTAGAGGTGACCACAGTGCAAGCCTTAGGACTTTAGAAATCTCCGATAACAACAAGCATTCTCTTTTTGGAAAAACAGTTTTTGGCTTGTAGTGAGCCTTAGGAGACTCAAAGCTTAACTATGGGCCATCAGGTGGCCAGCTGACTATCATGAGATGGATGTCACCAGACCCAACAGACCACAAAGCTGGGGTACACAGTAGCACCCCAGCACTAGTGGGAGCTGGGACAAGGACCACGGGCCTCAGCAGACCCTGAAGGCACAGGTCGCAGGAGGAAGTGGCCAAAATGTCCCTGGGCTCCTGTCTTTCCTTCCCGGAGCCTGTACCTGTGGCCTCACTGAGCCTCCCTATGACCAGCTGACCGGGCAGTTCTGTGTGATAGTCAGGCTCCACTTGGGTGTGGCCAACCACCACAGGATAATCCCGCTCTGAGGCACGTGGTGAGTGATGGCCTCCCAGGGTACGTCCCAAGTAGTGCACCTGGTTTTTCATTTGGCCTGGAAACAAAAACAGAGCTGGACTCACACAGGGTGACCAGTGGTTTGGCTGAATGGCCGGGGATGTGGAAGGAGCCTTGAGAACAAGGTATCTGGGGCTGAACTGTGTCCTCTCAAAATTTGTAAGTTGCAGCCCTAACCTTGGTATCTCAGAATGTGCCTGCCTTTGGAGACAGAGCAGTTAAAGAGGTGATAAGTTAAAGTGAGGCTCTCAGGGAGAGGCCCAATGCAGTCTGTGTGTGAACTGGAAAGACCACTAGCAGACACCAAGAAGGGACAAAGTGGCGAGGCAAAGAAGTCTCAGAAAGAGCAGAAACTGTTAACACCTGATCTTGCACTTCTGGCTTCCAGAACTGGGGGAAGTAAGTGTTTTTTTGTTGCTATTGTTCAAACTACCTATCTGTGGTATCTAGTTAGAGAAACACAAGCAAATGAAACACAAAGGCACCTGGGGAACATGTATGTGGGCAGACCCCTCTGAACAGGCACATACGGTGCAGACGGTGTGGTCTGTGTGATTATCCACCTCGGCTAAGCTCCTTGACAGCGGCTAGGCGGGCCAATTCCACGGATTCTAGTCTGCGTGTTTCCGAGGTCATCTGTGTCATCGTGTTACAAAGGAACTGGGCACAACAGGGCAGGTACGCAGCAGGACCTGAGCTTCGCAGCAGGACCTGCCATCAATTGGCCAGCAGCAGAGAAAACGCTGAATCCCCCACATGGAGACTCCCCAGGGAGATCCGGCAGCTCCCTTGGGGGCAAGCTCATTACAGCGTGCTGCTTCTGCCACAGAAGGGGCACCGGAACACAGTGGAACAGATGCTGGAGATCCGCCTTCCTGGACGGCCATTCTTCCGGCAAAGCTATCATCTGCAGGCTTCGGGAACTTTCCCTCCGCGCAGCACTGTGTCTGACAGAGACTCCCTTCACAGTAAGCGGGCTGCAGAAACGGGCGCTGCTCAGGAAACACACAGGTTCCCACCACCAGGAGGAGCTGGTGTGGCAGCACAGTGACCTCAGCTTCTGAGGACTCAGGTAAGTGGTGATATGGAGGGCAGCTCAAGGCCCTCCAGGACTCCTAAATGAGCTTCTAATAAATACTCAGGACTCTGTACTAGCGTGCCCCATGATTAGTCAACAGAAAACTACAACGGTCAGCTCCACATAGGACTGCTAGTGGCCTAGACCCTTCATCAATGCAGGTCCCCTGCAGGCAAGGAACCGTGACCAGCTGAGGCACTTCCTCGGCTCTCTATCTAGATCCGCTGAGCACTGGACAGAAATACCCACTGTAGTGATTAGATTATTTTGTTAAGAATGTTTGTACATAATTAACCATGTATTTGTGTTTTCTTCTCTATCTCCTTAGACAACTATCTCTAAGACACATTAACAGTAACTTTGTTATCACAGCACTTAAATTACAGAATATTACAGAAGAGTGAATTTCACCCAAAGACTTTGCAACACTCGTGTAATTTCAAGAACACCAGATTTGGTGGTGCATAGCTACAATCCCAGCACTCAGAAGGATCACTGTGTGAACTGAACTGCATAGCAAAACCCTGTCTCAAACAAACAAATAAACAACAACAATAACAAAACCCAAAATACCACACCACACCAAAACAAAACAAAGAAAGAAAGAAACAAAGGGGTCTGGGATTTAGCTCAGTGGCCTAAGGGCCTGCTTGGCCAGCACAAGGTTTTGAGTTCCATTCCTGGTACCCCCCCCCAAAAGAAACAAGGACATCATTATAGATACAAGAGTACTGAAATAAGAGCTGGGCATGGTGGCATACACCTACAATCCCAGCACCTGGAGGCTGAGGCAGGAGGATTGTTGTGAGTTTGAAACCAACCTGAGCTACAGAGTGAGCTGTTCAAAAAACAAACAAAGGGGCTGGGGATTTAGCTTAGTGGCATAAGTGCCTGCCTTCTAAGCAGGCAGTCGTGAGTTTGATTCCCGTTACCGATAAAAAGGAAAAAGACCAAATAAACAAACAAACAAGCAAGCAAACAAACAAATCTGTTCATCCATGGGTATCAAGCAATCCTGAGAAATTAAAGATTTCAATAAACAGAGATGATTCTGATGAAATGACTTTTAAAAATTCTTTTTAAATTGATAAATTGTTTCAATGTAATTCCAATCAATGTAGACATGAGACAGGATGATTGTAAAATTTATACACAAACACAAAGAAACTTATGGTATCCAAAATCACTGTAAAAGAAGAAAACCACATTGGAGGTATTATAATGTGTGATTTCACAACTTACTACAAAAAACACAATAATGAAGACAAAGTGATAGTGGCTAGGAAATCCAGATTATTGATCTAAACACACAAGGTCAATTGATTTTTGACCAAGGTGCCAAGGTAATTCACCGAGGAAAGAATCACTTTCTCAGCAAATGGCATCAGAACATTTGGATAGTCACACGCAAAAAACAAAACAAAAAAAAAAAAAAAACAAAAAAAAAAAACCTCTCAGTCCTCACTTAACACCACATACAAACACCAACTTACAATGGAGAACACATCAAAATCTGAGACAAAACTAGAAAACTTCCAGAAGTATAGGAGAAAATCACTGCGATCTTTTTTTTTTTTTTTTTTCTTTCTTTTTATCGGTACCGGGGATCGAACTCACGACTGCCTGCTTGCAAGGCAGGTGCTTATGCCGCTGAGCTAAATCCCCAGCCCCAATCACTATGATCTTGAGTTAGAGAAAACTGTTGCACATCACATGTCTGATACAGAACTTGTATCCTGATACATAAAGAATTCTGGAATCTTGGTAATAAGAAAACCTCAATCAAATAAAATGGCTAAAAAAGATCTGAACAGATACTCTACTAAAGGAGATATATAAAGAGCAAATAAACATATGAAAGATGCTCAATACGACCAGAAAATGTAAAGTGACAATGTGGTATTACAATACTCCCATTAGAATGTGTAAAACTAAAGACTGAGCAGGCGAGTGGAGTGGCACATACCTGTGATCCCAGAACCAGGGAGGCTGAGGCAGGAAGGTTACAGGTTCAGGTGCCATTTGGGCAATCTAGTGAGACCTTGTCTAACATCCCATCCCAACCCGTCCCAACACACCACACCACACCACACAACATACCATAAAATAGCGCTGGGGACGAAGCTCAGTGGTAGAGAACCCCTGGGTCTGATCCCCAGTACCACAAAGGAGACTAACCATACAAGGTGGTGGGAAATGAGAACTCTCCTATGCCGCTGCTGGGAACGCAAACTGATATAACCATTTTGGGAAACTGGTCTGATAGTTTCTTAAAAGCTGCACAGATTGGTCATATGGGCCAGAAAATCTACTCTTCAGTATTCATCCAGTAGAAATGAAACAAATACCCAAGACTCACTGATCCACGTTCATAGAGATTATATTCAGAATTAGCCCAAACAGAAAAAATTCAGATGTCTGTCACTCACTGCACGGATGAGCAAGTCCTAGCCTACAGTGAGCGTCACACAATGCAGGAACACCCAGCGGTCAGGTTAGGAACACGTTGCTGATGTATGCAACGGCACAGATACGTTTCAGAGGTGTTAGGCCGAGACACAAAAATTTATGTACTAGCAGTGGCCTATCGTTTGACTGTAGTGTGTACATAGCTACATACAGGTGGCAAAATTCAAATTGTACATTGAAATTTATAAAGGTATTATGAAGATAATATTTCAATGCTGATTTTTTTTTAAATAGGAATTTGACAAACATAATTCAGAGTAGTGGTTTCTAACAGAAATTGTATGGGGGGAAGAAACAAATAAATGGGTATTATTAATATTCTCGGGTTGGTTGCTGCATACGTTGACTGCATTATAAAAATCCAAACAAACTAAAGGAGAGTTTTAACACAGATAATCATATACATAATTTATAAATTTAAAAAATGATTTGATTGATGTCCTAGTTACAAAGTTAAATAGAAACCAGTATGACAGTGAAAATGATTCGGTAACTTCACCCCTCAAAATCTTGATTTATTTCTTAGGAGTCTGAGTTTCACTTTATGTAGCATTTAAGACATTAACCCTTTTAGAAAATAAGAATTAAGGCCCAACTTTGGGACATGGTGACACTTACCCAGGGGTTCCACCAGCTGGTCAACCAGCCCCATTTTCTTTGCTCTGTCTGCACGAATGTTTCTACCGGTCAGCATCATGTCAAAAGCAGCAGGGATGCCCACCTAACATCAAGGAAGAGTCCGGATACAGGGGAAAATGGGTGACAGTTATCATTTAAAAGTCTCAAGTTAGCAAATATTAACATGAAGAAAACTGAACCAGATTTTTATGCTACATAGCATTAAGTTAAATTTTATACACTGATACACAGTTAGCTTTGGAATTACCTCCAGCTAAAGCAAAAATATTCTTTTAGTTCAGTATGTAGGATTTGTCTTATCAAATTGATAAAATTGAGAATTAATTTCATGTTTCCCAAAATTATGCATATATGTCATTTTGAGCTTCTTTTTTTATAATTTCTACAATATTTTAAAATTCCTATATCAGAACTATATCGCATAGACACTAAGAAACCTAATGGGTTTGATAGTATTGAGAAAGAATTTTAGGATCAAAATAGAATTTGGGATGGGTGTAGTGATGCATGCCCTAAAATCCCAGCTCTTGGGAGGCTGAGGCAGGAGGGTTGATTGAGGCCAGTCTGGGCTACATAGTGAGTTCAAGGTTAGCCTGAACCACATAGTGAGACTGTTCTAGATTGCGGGTGGTGGTACATGCCTTATAATCCCGGCCACCAGGAAGGATGAGGCAGCGGGATCTCAAAATCTGAGGTTAGCCTGAACAATTTCAGAGATCCTATCTTGAAATAACATATTTTATAAAAAGGGCTAGGGGATGTAGCTCAGTGCTAGAGATCATGCCCAGCAGGGTTTAATCGCCAGGACTGGGAGGAAAAATAAAGAAACTTCTGGCAACGTTCAAGTAACAATTAGAGGTTAAAAAAAGAAAAAGAAACAGCAAATATTTTCTATATACTTCTTCATGGCCGTAATAAATCCTCCTGACAGTCCTATGACGGAATATACATTATTTATCATTTGACAACTAAAACCATTATCTTTTTTCCTGATGCTCAGTTTATATTCACTTCTCTGCAAAGACCTTTCCTGTCGCGCCTCCTTTTGTTGGAGGGTCGGGGAGGCTGAGTGGGGCCCCCGCCTGGCACTGAGATTGCTCTGCAGCCCCATTTTGGACTCTCCTTTTCCTCTCCTTCAAGACGCAAAAGCCTAATGGGTCTCTTTCTGTCCCCCAGAGTACAGCGAGGAGACGGCTCAGTCGGGGATGACAGGCCTGCTTCACAGGTATGATGTACACACCCAGGCTCTTAAAACTAAGATGTACTGAGCAGAGAAGAAACAAACCAAAAAGCTCCAGAAAAGCACGATATGTCTTATTTATCCCTCCTCTTCTTCAGAGATTAACAAAGGGTCTGGACCTGTAACTTTGTGGATTACAAAAAGTCTTGGGAATAAATCTGTGCCACTGATCCTACATACCCATATTTTATTTGGTTGCCAAAGTCTACAATCAATGTCTGTACCATGTATTTCATACAATAGGAAATAGACCTAAGGAGCATTTGTGTGGCAAGGTTGAGTACAGGGGGTGGCAGGGGTGAGATGGGGAGTGGTTTAACTCACCATTTTGGGCAGCCTTTGGGTGCCTCCTGCTCCCGGTAAGAGCCCCAGTAAGACTTCAGGGGCGCCTAATACCGTTTTTCTGTCCTTCGTTGCTATTCTGTATTGGCATGAAATGGCGAGCTTCAAACAAATCAAAGGGTGAGAACTTTAGAAAATAAAACTTCCTAACATCTTAGGATCCGTGAGTGTCTCAGGATTACTTACAGCATGGAAATGTGCCCACAGAATAAAATGAAGTTTCTTACGCTAGCACTCGGTGTGTTTTAAAATTTACCCTTTGGCCTCTCTCAGAACATTCTTCCTTTATTTTATTAATCTTTTTGGATTGCAGGTTCCCTTTAAAAGAAATCTACTGGAAGCCATTGGCTTTCTTGACGGCCCATGAACGCGTGGTCTTATATGGACTCAAGTGAAGAAACTGAGCCCGCAGACGGCTTCCTCTGCAGGCAGAGAAGGCTGCTTTGTGGCTTCTTAGTAGGTGCAGCTCTCCTTGCCTTGCTCACACTGTTCCATACGCTTTTCAGCCGTTTCCTGGGTAATAAAGTTGTGGCCTCTTTTAGGACCAGGTCAAGGTTCCCTTCATTAGCACATGGAGTGGCCAGCATGAGGGTCACATGCAATGAATGTTATTTTCTTTCCCGTCCTTCTTTTCTATATGTTCTAGTCTAGTAAGAAGCTCCTCTTTCCAATCTTATTTACATCTTTACTACTCACAAGAAGCTCAAACATACACTGCACTATGCTTGGCGCGTCAACCCGAATTGACATGAAAATGGATCCCACCTCTGAATTTCACCCTGCAAACCTGAAACAAGTTTTTAGATCATAGAGAACCAAGGCAAATCCTCTCAATTTATAAATGAAAACATCAGATCTTGGTGTACATGTTCTATGTCATTTGTTTTATTACACAGTTAAGGATTAAAACCTACTCAGAAGTTTGTTAAAAAGAAATCAGATTCTCCTCTAAAAATGTTTTCACGCACAACAGCAGCCTGTAGGTTAATGGCTGGCAAATGCCATCCATGAACTGGGTGGTGACTGAATAATCAGAACATTGTGTACCTCAAGTCCTCCTCCCAAGCAGGATCCATTGATGGCAGCCACAACAGGCTTTGTGGACTTTTCAAGCTTTTCAAACACAGTCTGTCCTTCCTGGGATATTCTGGTTGCTTCTTGAGGGGTTTTGCAGGCTGCTAACATGCTGACATAGCCCAAAAGTGGAGGCCAGAAAAAAGAAGAAAGACGAAACCATTCAAGACTTTGTCCACTATATATTACCCATCGTATATCTATGTTTGGTAATGAGTCCTCAAATATGAAATGAAAATGAAAGCTGTGTGGCATAATTTATTTTTGCTTCTATTAATGATTAAAAAACAAAGGTCTGGCATAATAACATTATATTCTGTATTCTTTGTTTCATTTGCTACTTTGTTTCTGAACACATTTAAGATGATGGCTTTGTCCTTTGGTGAAAGAGAACTAGTATTTTTCTGAGGTCTTATTCACTGGGAGTTGTTTAGCTGGCCTTATGTGAGTTACAAGCATCTTCTTATGCATATAGGTACCTACTGCCAAGTATGTTGGTTTCTTAGTAGGCTCAAACAACTGAGCTAGAAATAACTGTGCTACAGACAATTTTGCTTTTTCTGAAAAACAAACATTAAACAGAACATTTATAAACAAATTGCTATAGATACACAAGAAAAGGGTACACTTGAAGCACAGTATAAAAAACACACGAACACCTTAAGTTCAAATTACTAACCTACAATCCTGGCTACCATTGTTTAAAATACCAACAATAATATAATACATACCCATACTTTACAGAATTAATGATTGTTAATGTAATTCATTAAATTAACACTGAAATAATTTCCTTTCCTTATGTACACATTTAAAAAATTATAAACAAGTCATAAAATCATATATTTTTGCATTTAAAAAGGGAAAGAAAATACTGGCTACATCTGTAAAGTTTTGCCTGATAAACTGAAGGCCTATGACCTAGTTCACCCTCCCTGAAGCAATCCTTTTCAGATTTTTACCCTGTATCCAAAAATAATACAAAGAATTATTTTATGTATGGTTTAAAGACATTTATATAAGCTATATACTATGTGAGACATTCTACAACTTGCTTTTGGAAAATTTATTAAAAGCCAGGTGTGGTGGTGCACATCCCAACACCCTGGCAGGCTGAGCCAGGAGGATCTCAAGGTTTAGACCACCTTGGGCATCTTGGAAAATTAGGGAGATCCTATCTCAAAATAAAAAATAAAAAAGGAAAGGGCATGTAGCTCAGTGCAAGGGTCTTGGGTTCAGTCCTTGATATTGGAAAACGAACCAACCAAAAAACTCCCGCCAAAAACAAAAATATCCCTTAACATTATGTCACTGAGTTCCAACATTACGCTGTGGATCTAGTTAATTTCTTTAACTATTTTGTAGTATCTCAAATATTTTCCTACCTTATATTTAACTTGTTTCAAATTCTTCATTATTTTAAACTACACAGGACCAAATACCCTCATGCATTGGTCTTTATAAAGAAAGGGTGAGATTTCCTCAGCATTCACAGCTAGAAGAGGATGAATCATTGGATCACGGGTGTAATTTTCAATCTGACTAAACACTTCCAGATTGCTCTCCAAAGCCACCACACCAGCTGCCATTCCCATTAGTAATGGTGCTTTCCTTGTTTCTCTAAGCGCTTGTCACCACACATTTTCAAGCTTCTAAATGTTTGCTGGTCTGATGTGTGAAAAAGCCCCCCTACTTTTTTCTAAGAGTCATGAAAATCACTTAAAAAACTTTGAGAGAATTTATTTCTACCTCCTTTTCAACAGAGGAATTCTCAGGCCTAATCAAGGTAAAAGGTATTTTTATGTTTCCTAACTTACTTGATATCAGCACCTGCAATAAAGCAGCCGGGCTTTGACGAGATAAGGACGGCACTTCGGATCTGATCATTAGCCCAGATCTCATTCATTACTTCAATGAACTCTGATTGTACTTCTCTGTTCAGTGTATTTACCTGCCAAGGGGAAACAGATAAATCAAGGGGTTTCAATTATTAAATACACTCAGTCGCCATCAAATGCTATTTTGATTATGAGGAATGCATTTATCCAGCAGACAGGTACCATTAAAAACAAGAAACAGAAGCAGAAAAAAACAAAACCAAAAAACCCCTTCAGACCCAGGAGTTTTCCGTTCAAGCATTTCTGGCCAGCTATTAGCACCCTTTCTCTTTAAAAGTAGGTCTACACAAAAGAACTTTAGGTCATTCTCCTACGTGTTTGATTCACATGTAGGCTATAAGCAGGTTTACAAACGTTTATTGACTGGAAAAATCTGTGTAATGTTAATGAAAAAAGAGAAAAAGACACACAGACTGGACACAACAGTTCATGCCTGTTGTTATGGCTTGTGTCTAGATGTTCCCCCAAAGCCGCATGCAGTCAAAAGTAGGGCTTTTTCAGAGGTGGCTGGATCTGTAGTGCAATGCCGGGATTAAGGGTGTGAGTGCTGTGCATCCTAAGGGTGAGCAGCCTGGATACAAAGACAGAGAGAGCTTGCTAAGTCATAGTTGGTGGCCTGCTGGTTTTGGCTGTCTTCTGCCTGCCATGAACTGTTCCTCCTCTGTGAGGCCCTCTACCATGTTACCCTGGCTTGGAGACAGCCAGCTATGAACTGACATCTTTACAAACTGTGAGCTAAATACACTGCTCCTCTTTTAACTTGGAGTGTCAGTTATTTTGTCTCAGCCAAGAGAAAAGTAAGTAATACACCTGTAATCATAGCTACTCAAGAAGCTGAGTCAGGAGGATCACCAACATTGAAGTCAGGCTGGGCAACTCAGTGAGACCCTGTCTTGAAATTAAAAAAAAAAAAAAAAAAAAATGGCTACAAATGTATCTCAGTGATAGAACATGTGTGAGTTCAATCTCTAATGTTATAATAAATAAATAACAAGACAGTATTGTCTTATCTTGGTAAATATTATTTTATTATTTGTTGAAACTGGATTAAATATGGTTACTTTTGGGGTTTAGATTATGAACAATTATTATTTTCTTCTTTTTTGGGGGTACTAGGGATCAAACTCACAATCTTGTGCTTGCCAGGTGGGCACTTACACTACTGAGCTAAATTCCCGGCTATTATTTTCTTCTTAATTTTTTGTTTAAAAAATTCTTCTCCCACTCAGAGGTATTGTTTTTATGTTCAGGAAGATTATTCAACCTGATAAAATTCTGAAATAAAAAATACCTTTAGCTTCAATTACTGGTTGCCAAATTTATTCGAACGATCTAGATCTACTCTTACTGCTTTTAATTTGCGAGAATTGTCAGTTGCTTAATTCTAGGTCTTCTTATTTCATCGAGGCCTCTGGTTACAAGGGTTTTTTGGGGTGGGTACCAGAAATCAAACTCAGAACCTTGCGCTTGCCAAGCAGGTGCTGCTCCACTGAGCTATATCCCTGGCCTCAAGATTTTTAAAGTAAGAAATCTAGGGCTGGGGATTTAGCTCAGTGGCATAAACGCCTGCTTTGCAAGGTTGTGAGTTCGATCCCTGGTACCAAAAAAACCCCAAAAAACAAAAACAAAAACAAAACTATACAGTAAGAAATGTTTATCTCAATTTGAGATGGACAAAAGCAGAGGGTCCTGCAATAAAGCTCTTCCTGGTAAAAAACTGGGGTAATGTTCCATGCTTTGCTGAAGTTACCAAAAACAAAGTTCTACTTCGAACAGAACTTGATTTCCAATTTATGAATTCCACGGACTCATTCAGATCCCTCAGAAAGCTTAAACTCAGATGTCCACATTTAACCCAGCCATTTAGTAGGAATAATGGTTTAGGCATGTAGGTAATGAAGAAACATTTAGACTAGTGTTCTTTTACAGTGTGGAATGAGGGGGTGGCTTATTGAGGGGATTTAGCTCAGTAGCGTGCCTGCCTGGCAAGCACAAGGTCATGAGTTCGATCCCTGGTACCTGCCCACCAGAAAAAGAAGAAGAAGAAAATAATAATCATTCATAATCTAAAGCCAACATTTAATAACCTCAAACTTAAAATGGACAGGCAAGTTTTGCTTTGTATAAAGAAAGCGTGTTCTTAGGTTCTTATCTAATAAACACCCCCTTATTCCACACTGTCAAAGAATGCTAGTCTTATTAAATCTTGTTATTGACCTGACACAGTAAAAGGATTACACAATGACCTCTGGTTCAGAAAATTGCATCACTGGGCAATGAGTCAAATCTTAACTAATTTAACTAACAAAAACTTAAATCTCTGTGATAACATTACTGCTAAACTGAAGCATTTCTTTCCCATTCAGAAATGGATTAATAAATGTAGTTTATTAATGCAGAAACTACAGAAGGTTAAAGTAGGTACCTTTGAATTGGGTGAGTTAAACCGAACAACTGCCACATCCCCTTTGATTCCATAGTTAAAATGGGTTCTGGCTAAAAAGAGAAGGGTACTTTATTTGTAAACATGTTTATTGCGAAGTAAATCTAAAAAGCAGTATCAATATGTCAACAAGAAATTAAACTTACTCAGCAAAGCAGAAGACCCTGTGAAGCTGCGGCAAATATAACCTGGAGGGAAAGGATAATTTAAAATCAATTATTTTATAGACCAGAAATTCCGAATGCTTGCTGGGTGTATCCAAGTTGGAATGAAAGACAAACCCCGAAAGAGAACAACGCCTTCTGGGCCTTTTCCATGACTGCCACTGTTATCTTTCTCAGGGCAATGCTCAGGTCATGTGATCATTCAGACAGGAAACAAAGCAGGAGGACACAAGGCTCACAAAGGATGAACCTGTGAACCTGTGAATGTGCTAAGCTACGTGGCAAAGAGGGGTTAAAGCTGCAAAGGGATTGAGGTCACTAGTCAACTGACCTTGATAAAAGGAGAGTATGGCTGATTAGCTAAGAGGATTACGGAGAAGGGAAAGAGAACTGCAGACCTGGCAGTGAGGAGAATGACTGGCCCAGGTTGCTAAATAAGAGAGAAGTCAGCCACACGACAAGAGGAATGGACCCAGCTGAACAGAGTTCTGTCGACACCTTTGATTTGAGCCTACTGAGATCTGTTTTGGACTTACGGCCCTGCACGTATAATATACCTAACTTTTTATTGTTTCAGACACACCAATCTTGTGATCATCTGTCACAGCAGCAATAGGAAACTCAGAACGAAGCAATAAGCAACCTACAAAGTGATTTGCAATATCGGTTCCAAATGTACTCCTAATACATCCCATGTTTCCCAGCCACACTCTCTTCCCTTTTCTGGAGAGATGGATGTCTGGTGTTAGCAGAAGGAAAATCAAGGGGAGCAATTGCTACTATAAATGGAACACCCACATCACACTTTGCTGTATTAGTTCTAACTGAAAACAACGGTACTGCACTCCACCGAGGATACTCCTCTTGTGGACAGATAACAAAGGACCAGTTTTTCTCTCCTCTCTTCCCTCATACTTCGCCAGCTTAGTTTCTCCAGCCTGATTCAGCGATCCAGCCTGACTTGACTACAGCCACTTGGCTGTAACTGCTGCTTCGGTGGAGAGCACCAAGCCCTACAGAGCAGTCATGAGGACAATCAGCCAAGCATGCTGTGCTGGCCACTGGTGCCCAGAGTGGCTCTCAAGTGAAAATGGACATGTTAGCGGTTTTTGAGAAAGGCCTGGTACCTTCTGGTTGGTCATGGCCCAGCACGGGGCAGCACTCTTTCTCCCGTCGTGCTGGAGCTCAGGCACACACCTGCCCGCTGAGTTCCTGGTAAATAACTGTGCCTTTCTGGCTCTGGCTGCCTCTTTCTTTAGTTTTACAGTCCTCCCACCCTGGACAGCCCAGTTCTCACAGACCAGGGCCAGATCTTCTCTGGAGCATGAGCCACTGCGGGGGATACCCCAGCAAGGATTTAATCAGGACTCTAGAAAGAAGCTAAGGAACATTTAGGAACTCTAGGCAAACATTTCCAATTTGCTTGGGGCATTATCCCTTCCCTCCTCCTCCTTTTGTAAAGCATCTCTAATTACAATTTCCAGTCTTCAAACTATCATAGTTTTTCTTCTCTTGCTTTTTGTTCATGGTTCACCTCAAAACATTTCTCCTGCAAATCTGTTCTTTACTCATCTTCCCTGCCCACATCTTTTCCAATTATCTTTGGAAAATTATCTAAAAAACAGGGCAGGGGACCACAGGAATTTAGCTTAGCAGCATAAGCACCTGCCTGGCAAGTGCGAAGTCATGAGTTTGATCCCTGGTAACCCCCCAAAATCATTAAATAAAAACTCTCTTTCCTTCACTCTAAAAATACAAGTAAAAATAAATCAGCCAGGAATGGTGATCCATGCCTGTAGTATCAGCTGCTCAAAAGGCTGAGGCAGAAGGATTCCAAGTTTGAGTCCAGCCAAGGCAACTTAGTGATTGAGTGAGGCCCCTGGCCTTGATCCCCAATATTACAAAACAAATCATCCCTCAATTGATTAGCAGCTATACTCATGAATCACTCGCATCCAGGAAAAGACAATCTTTTTTTCTCTGAGACAGGATCTTGCTATATAGTTCAGACTGGTCTTGAACTCCCTGTGTAGCCCAGGCTGGTCTCAGACTCACCACAATCCTCCTGCCTCAGCCTCCTGAGTGCTGAGATTACAGGTGTGCACCACCGCACCCAGGGAAAAGCCATAAGTCTTACAGTCATGTTAAATATAATAAAGAGCTAATGTTTTAACTCTGTCTATTGGTTCCTTCTTCTAAAATTACACAAACTTCTTAAGATTTGTCTATTTATTTTTGTGGTGCTGAGGGTTGAACCCAGGGTCTTGTACATGCTAAGCAACTGGTTTACTGATAAGCCCAATTATCTCTTAATATTAAAACTTTTTTATTCCTAATTTTTATTGAATTACACAGCATTTACGTTATGTTAGGCTATAGTTTTGGAATCCACAAATACTGTTTAGGACAGTAGAGCGCACTTATCTAATTTAGGATCACTATGAGGGAAAAAAAGGCTAAGATCCCAAGCAACTTCTCAGCGGCTAGAGCTTCTCAGCAGTGACTCTCTCTGTCTATCCTCCCATTCTCCAAATTCTTTCCTTCATACGGTTAATAATTTGGGAGCTATATAAAAAAAGAGAGAGACAAAGACTCTGTTATTGTTTATGATGATACTCAGGGCAATGAACAATAAAATCAAACATTCCCATTATTTTATATCATGGTAGATATTCCAAATGCGACTTTAAATGGCAACTCTACAAAAACACTTTATATGTGATTTGGAAACAAACACTAAAATGGCACCCACTTCCAAGTTGAGGCTGGCCTATATTTGACCAGGAGCTGGGAACAATGATTTATGACTAATGCAGAATATCCAGTTAGACTGGGGCTCCCTAGCAGTGCTGAGAGCTATGTTGGTCATTACAATGACTGGTGAGGTTCAAATGTACTCACAGCTTCACGGGCCTCAACCTAAAAGCACAAATAAGAATTTTTTGGGATGGGGCCTCAGCACCTGTATTTATCAAAAGGTGATTGTAGGGGCTGGGGATTTAGCTCAGCGGCATAAGCGCCTGCATTGCAAGCAGGCAGTCGTGAGTTCGATCCCTGGTACCGATAAAAAAAAAAAAAAAACCAGGTGATTGTGAAGTAGACAGCAACGATGGATATGTGGGACCCACTGACATGGAGAACGCAGTGATGAGGGGAGGATCGTCAGTACTTAGCCAAAGCTCCGGCTTCCTTCTTTTCTCTACCCCACAGTTCTGGAAGGGAAGGAAGAGGCAAAGAAGGGAGGGGAATAATTACAACAACTTTATTTAAGACTGAAAGGCAAGGCAATATAGCAAACAAAACAAAACAAACAAACAACCCTCCTCCCCAAAACCCCCCAAAACCATGTGATGCATCAGAACCAGGGTAGGGTGATCTTAGTTTCTGTCTACATTTATTTTTTGAGCAATCCAAATCAGTATCTTAGAGAAAACACTAAGAGTTGGTTTCAACTGCCAGGCTTATTCACTAGCTACACAATCATGAACAAGTCTCTTGGCGAATTTTAGTGTTCTCAGATGGAAGGAGCCAGGTCGCATCTCACTTCCCAGGGCCTCTGCTTTACTAACGACACCCTCAGTCCCCGCTTCTCCATCACTGAAAGTCTGCATCATCTGTATCTCGGTACTTTCCTTCTTCCTATCTGCATCATGGCTCCAAATGTCCCACAAAACTGCACCTGCGGATTCTGCCTACAACAATCTTCACCTTCACCGCCTGTATTGCAATCTTTACTATTTATGTGTTTTGCCAACTTAAAAATTGTTGTGACTCCACAGGTGTCAGGCACTTTCCTAGGTCCTTGGGGTGAAAAACAACAAAAAAATCAAACATCTTTGTCTTTTAGCACAGCAGGGTCTATGACATCTGGGAAGAATCCATTTCCATTTAGTGGAGATAAAAAGTGAAACAGATGTGGCCTTGCAGAGGAGTGTGCCTGTCACGTGGAGCTTCTAGTGGGGAGAGACGCGGAGCACAGATAATTCTAACTAGAACAGGGCAGAGTGTGCAAGGGAAGGGACAGACTGGGAAGGCAGGGAAGGAGGAAGGAGGCGGCCAGACGGATAAAACCTAAGAGACACAAATATGAAAACAAGGATGTTGGAAGACAGTGCTCCAGTAAGAGAAAAAGAGAGAGCACGAGTTGTAGTTTTAAAGATTGATTATCTGACACAACGTTTGGTGCTCAGTCGCCTGTGCAGCGGTGCCCCGGCGGGCTGTTTATCACTGAAAGCTCGAAGAGGTTCCCCATCACTAGTGCAATTTTAGCCATTTTAAAGCTTGCCTAATAACCTCCTTTTGCTGCTGTAAACACATCCACACACATGTACAAAACCCCTTCGGAATCAACAGAGACCAAAAGCAAAGAGAAAATCAGTAAGCACATACATGGAGAGAAGAATTCCAGATCGCAGTCAACTAAATCAGGTCAAAGTACTGGGTACTTTGCTTTTGGAATCCAGGTCTACTTACTCAGAGCCTAACAGCGAAGCTCTCTGATGGCAGCTGTGTGACCTTGGCCTAACTGACTGTGCCAACAAAAAGAAACCTTTGTCCTACTTTTTAATCATCTATGTATGTAACTCAAGACCTCATAAGAGATTAGTAGGGGAGAGAGCAGGATTATGCTGACACTTTCAAATTTGAAATTTCAAATTTGAATATGAATTTCAAATTTGAAACTGTTACTCTCTCTATAGCAATCAACGTTTTTTTTTTTTCTTTTTCTTTTTTTCCCTTCCTCAAAATTCAACCCTGGGAGAAGGAAGGGATTCAGGAAGTGAGAGCTTTAAAAATGCTACACTGATTACTGATTTTTTTTCCTGTGAAATTATTTTCTAGTAATATGATTAGGAATCCTGGTTTAGGCAGAGTGGAAATTAAATACTGAAGATGTGATTTTTACTTGCTAGTCACATTCAGGATTGTGACATCTGTAGAACTTTAAGAGCTACAAGTCAGTTTCGAGAAAATGTATTTCCTAATATATGTCACTTTCTCCGTATGTTTTTGCCAACACCCTGGCACAGACTAAGAGTAAAGGATCAACCTGAGCTGTAGAGTTTAAATTGTAATCCAAGTGTACATGTCATTTTAATCTCATTTTCTAGAGCTGTTTTCAAAATTCATGAGTTACTATTAAAGGGAGAGGCTGAGTGTGGTGGCCCCTGCCCACAATCCCAGCACTCGGGTGGCTGTGACTGAAGGATGCCATGAGTTCAAGGCCAGCCTGGGCTACGCAGAGAGTTCAAGGCCAGCCTGAACCACATAGCAAAGACTCTTTCTCAAACAAAACAAAACACACAAAACAACCCTCCCAAACCCTGACAGGATGCTATATATACTTACACATAACACACACGTATGCGTGGAAGTACAATGTAAAATATTTATGTGTGTATATATTTCCCTACAGAAAATATATCAGAATTAAGCTGCTAGCTTTTTTTATCTATGTAAAATGGATACATAACTTCTTTGGGAGGAGACAAAGTTTTACTGTGTAGGCCAGGATGGCCTCAAACTTGCAGCGATCCTCCTGTTTTAAGTCCCCCTCTTGCACCGTGCTGGGAATACAGGGACATGCCACCATGCCTGGCTCATAAATGACTTTTAAAAACTCTCATATATATATAGATTCAGGGCTAAAAGAGTTACTAATACTGAGCACTTAACTCCATAAGAAACTACTTTACACCTAACACATCTCCTTTAGACTTCCCAAAGTGGTAATATTCTCCAGTTTACAAAAAAGAAAAGTTATATGAATTAACCGTCCAAGGTCATCAGAGGGTAAATCAGTCAGACTCCTCATTTAATACTTTTAATTCCTTTCATGCTACTTCTCATGCTAAGAAAAATCTAGTTTCAATCATTCATTTTAGAAATAAATAAAATCCACTTAGATTAAGGTATTTATCAAAGTCACACAGCTAATTAGTGACTAGAAACCACATGACTTGACTACCATTTCAGTGCTGGAATATCTAACAGGTGGGCATGGTGGTGCATGACTGTAATCCCAGCACTGAGGGAGGCTGAGGCAGGAGACTTACACATTCAAGCCCAGTCTGGGGCAATTTAGTGAATCACTGAGACCTTGTTTCAAGGTAAAAAATGAAAAAAAGAGCTGGTGGCATAGCTCAGTTCAAAGGCCCTGGGTTCAGTCCTCAGTATCACCATGAAACAAAATCCCTTGCAACAAACACAGGAGGAAATTCAAGAAATAGTAACGATTTGCCAGGTGTAGTGGAGTACATCTATAATCCCAGCACTCAGAAGGCTGAGGCAGGAGAACTGCCAGGAGTTCAAGGCCTGCCTGGGCTACAAGGTGAGTTCAAGGCCAGCCTGAACTACATAGTGAGATCCTGTTTCAATAAACAAAACAAAACGCAATTCATGATTTTTCAAAGTGTTAAATGACAAATATACAAAATAAGGAAAAATTCAAATGCTAAGGGAAGGCATATAAATCATAAGACACTGCATGATTACTTTTTCTTAATTCACTTCCCCAATCTTCACAATATTTCAGCTTTCTGCAATGTGGTTATAGTATGAATGGTGTGCAGAAGCATCCTATGAAGACTAAAAACAGTCGTCAAAAAGAAAAAGATCCTGTTACTGACCTATTGTAATCTCTTACAGTAAAGGAAGACTCCATCTACCTGTCTTAAAAACAAAAAAACCTACCTCACTGGTCCAGGAGAAGGAATTCATATTACAAACTAAAATGAAGGTTTCTAGTTAACTAATGCAATGCACAATTTTAAAAGTCATGTTTGACCTTACAGACTTGGGATGGAAGGAAAATGTTACGTTTTCTACAACCAGCCTCTTCAACCTTTACTATCAGTTTGAAGAAAAGCCTATAGCTAATACAGGAAGATTGCGAGTTGGAAGAAACTAGGTTACAGTTCTTAACATCTAACGTTTTACTCACAGGATATAGATATTTGCGTATTTTCACAATGAAGTCGCAGAACCTCGCGTTTCAACATACTATACGTTCACACTGGGATTATTATAAGCTCAAGAGTTGAATTTTCTTCTTGAAGTACAAAAATGGGTTGGACAGGAGGCACAGAGAGTGGTAGTGATCTACAAGGCTGTAATACTTGTAAGATAGCTCTTGCCAGCAAGGTGCTGCAGAGCCTTAAAGATGTGACAGGGTCCCTGTCCTCCTAATCAGGGTCCGAGTCAAGGTCAAGGCCATCATTAAAGAAAATGAGGGGCGTGAGCCTCTAAGTATGATGCTGAAGATCAGCCGAAAGTGTCGAATGGAAAGCACTCAGAAAACTAAGGAGTCAGGGGGCCAGAAATCGCCGCAAGGCTCGCAATGGTGAGGAAGGAGGTGACAGTGCCTTCACGAAGACACAGGGAACGGGGTCCCGGGCAGTACCCTGCAAGGGTCTTAGGGTGGGGTGGACTGAAAGCCAGGGCACACGGCATTTCGAGCACCCCAGTTCCTGCAGGAGTTCTGCCCGAGGCTCTGGGGCGTCTTCGACCTGGTCTCACCTCGACAGCGGAGGGTCCTCAAGGCACCGAAGCGGCTGAGGCTGCCAATTGCTCGTGAGGCCACCATCTTGAACAGAAGAGGACAAAAGTGGAGAGCCCGTCTGGCCGCAGACGCCAAGAGGAGGACTTCGCTTGCCGAACCCTCCCTAGCAGATTAGCTGCCCAATGTACTGCCTGAGTAAACCCCAGACGCTGAGTTGTTGCCCACCCTTTTAACCTTGTCTCTCGCTCCTCGGGTAACCGGGCCGGAAGATGCTTTCTCCACCAGAGGACGGAGGCCTAGCGCGGAGGGGACAGAGCGCCGGACTTTTAGTCAGGCGGTTGGAGGGCAGCCCGTGAGAATGGCAGCGCCGGTGGGCGGGGCAGGGGTCCTTTCTAAGCAGGACCCCCCCCCCCCCCTTGGTCCCAGGAGTTTGGTCAGTGCAGACAAATATTTCGGCCAGTGGCAACCCCGGGACAAGAGCCGGAACGTACGGGCACGAGCTAAGGTGAGATGGTGCCAGCGCTCCTCTTTGCGCCTGGCCCTTCCCGCGAGCAGTTCCCACTTCTTTCCCATCTGCTGCGCCTGTGCGCGCGGTGGATTCCCGTCCCTGAGTGGATCGGAGTGGAGGGAGCGGAAGGAAGCTCCTCCTGGACCAGGCCAGTAGCCGCCACTGGGCAGTGATCCGGACTCACGTTATAGCTTAGCTTCGGGTCGCAGTGTCACCTGTGTTAATTTACGCCCGCAAATTAACAAACTTTGCGTGTGTGCCTACGATTCTGGACTGTGTTGGATTTTTGTTTCATTTTCTTTACTAATAGGCAGTCGGTGGCTTTTGAAATTCAGGAGGGCGTCACAGGTTTATCCTGAGTTTTGCTACTGAAGGTGTTATTAAGGTGTGGAAAGAGCTGGGCATCCTGCAGCCAGCCTGGTAATCCGGTGATCAGGGACGTTTTCTAATTTGGAAGGAGCGTGGCGAACGTCATGGCATTCATCCCCTTCACTGTATCGGTGAAGAAACTGAACTGCGAATCGGTTGAAGTTTATCTAAGACTACAGGTGGTAGAAATAGGATTGAGTCCAGAGCGCGAAATGTGGGCTTAAGTCCTGGAGTAGTCGCTGATGTTAAATAAAGAAAAAGAAAAGCAATATTGAGGGCCTTCAGTGCTCGTACTTCACATTATTTTAATTCTCAGGATCCCAAAATTAGTACCATTTTTATTTTTGAATGAAGTTTGAGAGTCTCACGGAGGTTAAATTTTCTGGTCTGTGGCAAAGCCAGGATTCAGACATAATATGACCCTCTCAATTCACTAGATTGTTTTGCAAGAGAGAAAACAAAAAATGGCAGGGAAACCGAAGCTTAAAAATGAGAAGCTTGGAACGAAAGAAAAGAGCTGTCTGTTTTAAAGTTGTCAGGGTTTTTTTTTTGGCACTTGGGAACGAACTCACGACCTTGTGCTTGCCAGGCAGGCGCTGTGCCACTGAGCTAAATCCCCAGCCCCTGTTTTAGTTTAAGTCAGATCTTCCTCTCACTGAGAACACTTTATGCAAAAACTGGATGACCACTTCTGAATAAATTGCAAAAAAGATTCTTGAGCTTACAGATACAATTCAACATCTGTATCTTGGCCACAGACAGCTAAATGTATGTGGCACTCATTATTTGCATCAGAAGTGGCAGACTTTTTCTGTAAAGGGCCAAGAAGTAAATAGTTTAGGTTTTTGAGCCCATTTTGGTGTTTGTCATATGTTATTTGCTTTGTTTACAATTCTTTAGAAATGTAAAAAAGGCTGTGAGTGTAGCTCAGAGGTGGTTGACTTGCCCCAGGCCCTGGATTCAGTCCCCAGCACAGCAAAACAAACGAACGAGACAAAACCCCCCAAATTGGTACCATGTAGCCTTTCCATATACTGACATACAGCTTCATGATCTTTTCTGTCACAAAATGGAGTCTTCCTATGCATTTGTTCTATAGTTTGCCACTTGTATTTTATTGTTTTGAACCCAAGACCTTTGCACTGAGCTACATCTTCATCCCTTTAAAAAAAATTCTTTTTTCTTTGGTCAGTCTCCATAAGTGACTAAATTGTCCAGACTGACCTCTGAGTTGAGATCATCTTGTCTCAGTCTCCCATCTCATTCCAGTCACTTTATTTGACATGTGAATTTTTTTTTTGTACCAGAGATCAAACTCATGACCTTGCACTTGCCAGGCAGGCACTTATGACGCTCTGAACTAAACCTCTAGCCCTGAAATTTTGTTCTTTTAGAACATCTCCTTTTAGTTCATACAGACCAGGAGAAGTTAAATCTTAAGGCTTTTATATTATCTATTTCCAGGTGTTATATTATCCCCACATTTAGCAGACTAAAATAATATATGTTTGCTATCCAATAGAGTTTCTGAGGGTCAGTTACAGGGGCACTGTAGCTAACTTGTTCTAAGGAGTCTCTTGTGAGATTGCAGTCAGAATGTTGGTGAGGGCAGTGGTCATTTGAAAGCGTGCCTGGGCTAGAGGATCGGCTTCCAAGCTCACTCACGTAAGCATCAGTTCCTCAGGACACCGGCCTCTTCCTCAGACAGGTGATGTGACAGCTGGCTTCCCTCACAGTGACTGGGGAGCGAGTAACCACAACCGAAGCTACAGTATTTTTATAGCCTAATCTCAGGAGAGACCAACCCTTACTTCTGACATACTCTGCAAACCAACTGCATGATAGCGTGGAAGGTGACGATACAAGTTTGTGGATAGTGGGAGTCAGAGGCTGGTTACCACAAATCCTGTGTTTGTCTTTCCAATTAAAATGCTTCAAAATTAGGAAGTCACTGAAAATGTACAATGAGAAGGCTTCTTTCGTCCTTGTCTCTTAGTTATGCAGTTCCCTTCCTTTCAGTTAATTATTTCTAACCTTTTTTATACTCCTAGGAATATTTTATAGTAATACCAGGAAATGTACATATCACTTATCCTCTTTTAGTATGAGCAATAGCATGCTATATAAATGATTTTGTACCTTGCCTTCTTCACTTAATGATACAGCTTGGAAATGATCCTGTGCTCTTGGTACCTAATCTTTTCCTTTTACACTTGCATGGTACAGTGTGTTACTGGGTTGTTGTAGTGTGGTTAACTTAACTAATTCCATGTTAGTTGGTTATTCTAATTGTTTGCTATTCCGGTGATGATGTACCTCGTGTGTGTAACGCCCGGGAAGTAAATTCATGGATGTAGACTTGTTGGATTAAAAATCAGGTGAAGTTTTTGATAGATACAGTGATTCCTCAGTTGTTGAACCCAATTCACTCTAAATTTATGTTCAAACACCAAAAAGTTCAAGAATGAACACATTTTCCCCATAAGAAATAGTGTAAAACTTACAGGTCTTTGCCTAGGCAGTCGCATGCTGCGGACGCTGGCATCTCCAAGCCCTTCCTGTACAGGTGAAAAATGGCAACCTGGAGGGCAAAACTCATCGCACCAGTTGCAGGAGAAGAGGCAGGGGTGCCAGACAATAAGAACACTGTAGTGCATGTTAGCAAGTTGGTGTGGCCTGTGCTGTCAGCATCCTGGGAAAGGCTCTGGCTGACAAACATGCTCTTGTGGACATTTTGGAAGATACGCTCCCAGGAGAAATGATGGATCTGCAGCCCGAAGCTTATTTCTTCAGACATCTGAAATTGTGACTGATAAAGATTGCTGTGTTACTGCCATTTCGAAGACTGTGGTGGCGACTGCAGGCGCCCGTCAGCAGGAAGGGGAGAGTTGGGTCAATCTGGTGCAGAGAAATGTTAGTGTCTTCAAGTTCATTATTCCCCAGCTTCAGTCCTTACTGCACCGTCATTGAGGTTTCCAACCCTGTAGATACTCCAACATAGGCTGCCTGGAAACTAAGTGGTTGCCCAAGCACCGTGTGACTAGAAGCCAATGCCACCTGGTTTCTGCTGGATTTTGCTATCTTACGGCTGAGAAAGTTGGCATTCACCCCGGCAGCTGCCATGGATGGATTCTGGGAGAACACGGCGACTCAAGTGTGACTGTCAGGAATAGACTGAAGATAGCAGGTGTTTCCCTCCATGAGCTGAACCCGGAAATGTGCATGAACTGTAATAGTGAAAATTGGGAAGGAAGCACATAAGGTGCTGGTGGAAAGTGCCTACAAAGTCATCAGGCTAAAGGCTATTGGCTCAAGTGTGGCTGATCTTACTGAGTCCATCTTGATGAGTCTGACCCAGATTCATCCAGTGTCAACCATGGTGAAGGGCTTGGAGGCATCGAGAATGAAGACTTCCTGAGCCTGCCCTGTGTCCTGAGTGCTTGGGGTTAACCAGCATTATTAATCAGAAGCTGAAGGATGACGAGGTTGCTCACCTCAAGAAAAGTACAGGTAGCCTGCGGGACATCCAGAAGAATCTAAAAGACCTGTGACTACTGTGCTCTAGGCTGTAGAAGTTTAAAGGGTATGCTTCCACTAATCCCGAGCCTTTTTTTTCTTTTTAAACTGGTACCAGGGATTGAGCTCACGACCACGCACTTGCAAGGCAGGCGCTTATGCCGCTGAGCTAAATCCCCAGCCCCTATAATCCTGAGCCTTTATTTAATCTTCATCCACATACATGGGTCATAGTTTGCTGTTTCCTTAATATCTGGTAGGAGCTCACAGAATCAGATCCCACGCTTGGATTAATGCTTGCAATATGAGCTCTTGAACACAAAGAATTAACTATTGCAATGTGGGGGAAAAAATGGAAAACGAAATAATTGCTTCTGAAGCCCAAAACTTACCCTCATAAATTCATTTTTCCAGAACTGTAACACAAAATTAACAGCCCTAGGTTATGGAAATACCCCCTAAAACATCTAAACACAACAAATGCAGTATGTTAAATGTCACAGTACAGTACAGTAAGTAAAACTTTAAGAAGTGTGTACAGGTGCTTTACCTTGACTTGGAGGCTTCCTGCCACAGTGGGGCTGGAGAGAAACTGGAGGGTGACAAGCTGTGGGTCTTTGGGAAGGTCACTCTGTCTGTTTGGCCTCCATTGGACCTAGACTGCTTGGGTTCAAATCTCAGCTCTGCCATTTACTAGCTGTGGGTCTTTGGGCAGTCCTGGTCTCTTGCAGAGGGCATAGGAATCACGACTGCTTCACAGGTGACCATTGTTTAGAATAGTGGTTGTCAATGTGTGTTCTTATCTATGTGGCTACTACAATGTTACTAGCAGAACAAGAGTTCATAATAGATGATGGTGATGATTTTATATAATAATGTGGATTGAATCTAGTGCTTCAGTGCATGCCAGGCAAGCTCTGCTACTGATCTATAGCTTCAGCCCTTTTTATTTTTCAAGATAGGGTTTCTCTAAGTTGCCTAGTTGAAACTTGCATTCCTCCTGCCTCAGCCTCCCAAGTAGCTAGGGTTACAAGTGTACAGCGTGCTCAGGTAAACTTTGATATTTTATAGTAGCCCTGGGTGAGTTTATTGGAGAACTTATTGTATAGAAGCTATAAATTGCTCACATTACCAGGATATATTTTGTTCTTCTCATTTTAGATTTCGAAATGACTTCCATCTGGACTTACACCTTTAAAAACCTTCCCAGTACATCAAAATGGGCCCTCGGGTTTTGTAAGTTTAATTTTTCTTTCTTTTTTTAAAGGTTAGATTTGGATTTATAAGTATTTCACACAGATATCGAAGGTATTGAAAACAATTTATTTTGTCTTTTAGGTGTAAGACCTCTGAGCTGTTCCTCCCAGCTACGAGCAGGCCCAGGTATAGAAATTTATAAAAATATTTCTCATTTAAATGCTAGATTCTGTATCTGTGAATTCTGAATAAAAACCCATTTAGAATTTTACCTTATTATGATCAATGTGAACATCTCTGTAGCTTTTGAATTAAAAACTTACGGAGCCTACCAGTAATGATACCGTATTGTTTAAGCTTGGGCTTAAGGGGTTGAGATTCTGTGTGGGCTTTGGAGCCGGGTGGAGTCAGGAAGTTTCCATATATCTACCTGGTCAGTTACCTACCTCTGGCTGTCAGTGCTAGAGTTCACAGCTGACATACGCTCTTTGAGACCTTTGTGGAACTAATAGTTAACTTTAAAGTGTGCATTTTGTGATAGGCCAGCTACTGGATGTCGTCTTCTACATGCAGGAGGACCCGTTTCTGAAATAAAAGAGAATAAGGAAATAGTATAAGAAGATTATTTAGCCAATATGAAATGAAAGAGCTAGGAAATATGTTGATTTGATAGTCATTTAGACCCTCAGTAAGCTGAATGAGGCGTCTTCACTGTTAATTACACCTTTGCAGAATCTGCTATAAGTATTTATCTTCCCTCAGTGCTAAAAATACCCAGACAAATTGTTGACATTGTTTCCTTGCCTGGATTTTGTTTTGACCTATGCCTCTTATCTTAGTTTCATGATGGTATTTCTACTTATATAATAATTTAATAGAAAATGGACCTTCCATATTTCAGAGAATTTGTACTCTGTTCCGTCTCTACCTGGGCACTGGGGCCCTGGACTAGTCACCTTACTTCTCTGTACTTCAGTCTCCTCCTCTAAAAAAGGATTCTAATTCTAGTCTTGTCATCCTCCTGTAGTAGGAGGCTATCTCAAAACCCCTTGAAAACTTACACTCGATGGAAGTTTAAGGTGCTGTTGTATTGCTTTCATGTAGCACACTGGATTCTCAGAGATCTGCTGCTTAATCCTAGCTAGCGCAGTGCATATTGTCTTGTAAGAGTTATATTTCGTATGGCCTCTGGATTCTAAAAGAATATGGATTTCTGTTAGTCCCACAGAAGGAAATTCTTGCTCCTTTCACCTTTTCCCTAATGACAGTGTTCACAGGAGTGTGACTGGCCGATTGAGCGCGGGCGGCGGGCTTGTGTTTGTCTGAGCAGGTTTGAGATTGCAATCATTTTATAACCATGTAATTCCTCTTGATATGCATGTAAATGTCCCTGCTTGAGGAAGGGATTAGAGTATGAAAGAGAGCAGGATATGTGGGTGTTTTCAGTCATCTGATGAAGTATAAGTATGCTGGAACTTTTGGCTGATGTGATGATTATATGTCTCTATACTTCTGTTTACATACACACGTACATGTACACACGCACGCAGTTAGGAGCCAGTGTGCATAGTGAAACAAGGTAAAGAGTTCTTTGGGTGACTATTGAATATATAATAACGAATATTATTTTTAAAATATAGGCTTAGAACTAATTACTTTATAATAAGCTAAATTATTTGAAATGGCCAGTTTTTGTCCTAGAGGTTGCCATAGAAGTTTAGAGGCAGAAACTATAAGTTACTGTAGTTTTGAAGGGAAGCTTACTTTTAGGAGCTAGAATGTGAAATAAACCTGAAAGTCACATAAGAAATGGGTAAATAGGGCTGGGGATTTAGCTCAGCGGCATAAGCGCCTTCCTTGCAAGTGTGCGGTCGTGAGTACGACCCCTGGTACCGATAAAAACAAAAAAGACCAAAACAAACAAACAAAAAAACCCAAAACAAAAAAAATGGGTGAAATGCGACCTCATGGACGGAAGGGCTCCTGAGTAAGGCGGAGGTTAAGTGAGCAGGGTGTGAGGACCTGAGGCTTGCTCATCTTGTTCAGTCTTAAAAGTACTGGATAGTTAGGATGGACCTAATTAGACAGGAAATTAATTAGAGGAATAAAGGGGAAGGTGTGTGTGTGTGTGTGTGTTAGTGGGAACTGACTCTCACTGAGCTACACCTCCAGGCCTTTTTTATGTTTTATTTTGAGATGGAGTCTTGCTAAATTGCCTAGGTTGGCCTCAAACTTGTGATCCTCTTGCTTCAGCCTCTTAAGAGTGCTGGGATTGAGGCCTGTCTCCTCGGGCCCAGCAAGGCTGAAGCATCTGAATTTTATCTGAAAGTTCCGTGAGAGGGATGTATGGGAAGTCCTTAGACAGCAGGACGTGATGCTGCCCCACCTGGTGTTTTCACTCCCCGCTTTATTCTCCCGAGCTCAGTCCTGGGTAAGCTGAACACTGAGGGCCTGCTTATCCTCCTCGAGGGTTGAAATGACCAGCTTGGGTTGCCTTCCTGCCGCTCTTCTGCCTCTACTGCCATACATCATGTCTTCTTTTCCCCCAGTACCGGGGTTGAACGCAGAGCTTTCCAGGAACTAGGCAAGCTGCCTACCGCTCAGCTGTGGCCCTGGCCCTGCCATGTTGCATCCAGCAGCAGCTCTAGATGTTCCCCACAGGAAGGATGGTGAGAGGATGGGGAAATAAAGAGGGACCAAAGTTGAGCTCTCTTCCAGTTGGGAGGCAAGGAACTGCTTGACCACTGTAGCATTAGCAGTTTAGTGTCACGTGACACCCCATTGCCTGGTAATCTGCATTCATGACAACCGAAGGGCTATACCAACATATAGTATTATGGGTTAAAAACAGCTTAACACCAGCTGAATGAAATTGGCACAGTGCTGAGTGTGGATGGCACACTCAGTGTGGAGAGGAGAGTGAGGCATTGTGGGTTCTCCTAAGTGTCGTTGTTTGGAGCCGTTGGTTCTCCTGGAGGAGCTTGTCACACTGGCTTCCCTGATAGGAATTTGAACATTATCTTTGGAGCAGCTCAGGACCTTGTTGCTGAGAGTGGCTGCAGTTCACTCTTAGTTTGAGCATTCCTTCCTGGCTCCGGAGGGGAAGAGGTGTGCTGTTTATCTGTAGGAGAAGCTTGTCATGCTGGCTTCCTGGCACATACTCAGCTGTTTTCATTGTGGGAAGAGCTTGGGACTTCATTGTTGCTGAGGATGGCTGTGGTACTTTTCAGGGCAGCCCTGGTCTTTATTTTGAGTGTTACTTCTTGGCTCCAGTTAGAACCCTCAGCCTAGCGGCACAGATCCTTCACCCTGCTGGCGCAGACTTTCTATCCACGGCTGACCTTTGGACCTTCCCCGTGCAGATACATAAAACAGACTTGCATGAATCCTTGTTGTGAACTCTAGACCTCTAGCTGGACTTATGCGAGGCATTGTCATGGGCTCTAGGTCTTCAGCTGGACTTGTGCAGGACACTGCTGTGAGATCCAGGACCTCAGTTGGATTTCTTTAGTGTTGTGGACAGCATTTGTGCACTTTCTTGTTTTTAACTCTGGGTGGCCATCATAAAATAATATTATAAATCCTGTGTCCTGTATGTAATTGTTCTCCTTGCAGTCACTGACTACAATAACCTGTTACATCAGGACTCATTGTTCTGACAACTTAACAAACTACTGTTAAGTTTGTTATAGTTATTTACCATAAATACTTATTTGTGACGTCAGTGGTTTTGGTAAAGTAGTAAAATTTTATTCATAACAATGTAGGATTTTTCTCTCTCTGGTAATGTAGTGGTGATAGTAGCTAAATGCCAGCATTAACAACATGAAAATGAGAGAGGTTTAGATACAGTAACACAGAAAAGTCTTCAAGTTACAGTAGTAAGTCAAAAAAGTATCCACAGCACACAAGTATATGCCGGTCTGAGTACTGGGAAGGAGGGAAGTAACAGTGCTCACCTCTGGGAAGGAAATACACGGGAAGGAAGGCGGAAGGGGAAAGTTTAGGTTTGGGTATTGTTTATTTTTTTAGGACCACATATACACATTCACATTTTATTCAATTTTTAAAAATATTAAAGGAAAGTTACTCTTTTGAGGTTAAAATTATTTAGGCAAATTGAGTCAAGCAGAGTCTGGAAGCATTCTAGGTTTTTGCAGAATAGCAGTGGTCATCAGCCAGGTGACCTGTCTTTCTGCATGGAGAGGGAAGAGCAAGCTGTTTGAAAGGCGAACACTATCAATCACGGTGACTTCTGCTAGGTTTTGTAGGTAAAAGTGTTTTTTTTTTAATACAGTAGGCTATCAAACAATTGACAAAAATAACCAATTTGTTAATGGCATAGACACCCTCATCACTGCAGATACTCTTTGTTCACCTTAAACATTATTTAGAAACTTGTAAATTCTGAATTATTTTTTGTTTGGTTTTTGAGACAGAGTCTCATTATATAATTCAGGCTGGCCTTGAACTCATAGTGATCCTCCTGCCTCAGCCTTGTAAGTGCTGAAATTACCAGCGTGTGCCGACACACCCAGCAAATCCTGAATTTTTAGCCTTTAAAAAATATTTAAATAGTTTACTAATTGACAAATGCAAGTTGACTTTGAATGATGTTATTCTTCCTAGAATGTCTATCTTTAAAAATGTAAAAACTCACCTAATGTCATATATTTTAATTAACAGTTCTTTGAATTTTGTTTTAAAGCTGTCCAGACCAAATCAAAGAAGACCTTAGCCAAACCCAACCTAAGGAATATTGTGGTAGTAGATGGTGTTCGAATTCCGTTTTTGCTGTCAGGCACTTCGTAAGTATGAAACGATCATGTTGTTTCTTCTTTGGAGGTCTAAAGTGGGCTTTGTACATTCGGCATAACCTAGGAGGTAACAATATCATTAGTGGACTAATATGTGAATAGCATCTCACTGAAATTAACATGGACTAAGTCGAGACAGTGATGAAGTACTGTCAGAATGCTTTCTATCCTTCTCATAAATAAGCCTAGCATAGTTTTAGCTTGAAACAGCCCTATTTTGGAAGCCCAGTGCAGGTAGAGATCGCTTGCTTTCAACAGAGCTACCGTTTCAACAGAGACAAGGACATTGCTTTGGGGTCTCCTCAGAAGTCAAAGGGCTGAGCACGTGAGCCTTGGGAATTCTGGGAGCCTGTGATCCACTGCTTTGGCTTTCTGGAAATTCCTGGTCTCTGGGTTACAGGGCTGGCCCAGACCCCAGCAGGTAGCACCCCAAGTATACGGGAGCAGATGATCCTAGGCCAAAGGGCTGTTCTCCTTCACCTTTTCTGTTTGTCGTTTGTCCTCAAGTGAGGCTAAGTGTGCGCACTGCGGTGTTTAGGTTCAGTTAGTTCTGTGCTGTACCATTGTTTGAAGGTTTGTAGTTTGAACCAGCAGTCCCTGTTCATGCCCTGAGCTGTGCTAGCGAGGGCGCAAGGGTGGCCTGTCGTCCGCGCTGCTTGGGGAGCTGAGTGAGAGGGTCACTTGAGCACACAGTTCGAGTCTCCTCTGGGCAACATAACAAGACCCTTTTTCAGAACAAAATAAAACAAAGTGCAAACAGTGAGATGCAGAGCATTGTATAAAATATACCGTCAGTTTTGGAAGATGCATACCTGTGCGAGTGCATACATTTACACACAGCCTTCCAACAAGGTCCATTTTAAAATAAAGGGATTCAAGCCTACAAAATGTTTTCATGGGCCGGGGATTTAGCACAGCCATTCAAGTGCTTGCCTGGTAAGTGCAAGGTTGTGAGTTCAATCCCTGGTACAAAAAAAATGTTTTCTTATAAAAGTAATGTTACGAATAATTGATGATAAGGTTTCTTCAGTCACCTTGAGGATTTTTCTTCCTTTTTTTTATCTTTTTAATTTTTTTTTTTTTGATTCAGGGTTTCACTATATGGTTCAGGCTGGCCTTGAACTCACTTTGTAGGCCAGGCTGGCCTTGAATTGGGGAGTGATCCTCCTGCCTCAGCCTCCCAAGTGCTGGTTTTACAGGCATGCACCTCTGTGCCTGGCTGTCTCCTTGTTTTTAAAGTGTAGTAGACAGCATTTCTCACTGTAATCTCCTTTATTGACATAACAGCAGTAGGATAATCTGAGGAGTAGCAGCAACAGGGTGGAAAAGAAAGTCCTATCAAGAGAAGAAAGTTCTTGGCCAGAAAGACCACTTTTATTTTATTAAAAAAAGGGTTTTTTTTTTCTTTTTCGCCTTTTTCGTTTTTATCGGTACCGGGGATTGAACTCACAACTGCCTGCTTGCAAGGCAGGTGCTTATGCCGCTGAGCTAAATCCCCAGCTCCTAAAGGAGTTTTTTTTTTTACATATTTGTGGAACATAATGAATACATCCGTCTTGGGGAGTCGGTACACACGCGTCACCTTCGCCTTTTCACGTCCTTTCCCCCCTCTCCCTCCCTGTCTCTCCATTTCACACTCCCTTGCCATTTGGAGCTGTAGCTCACTGTTTTCTATTACCTTTATATTGTTCCTTATTTATACTCTATTTCTCATGTGAGAGGAACTGTGATATTTAAGTTTCTTTGATTTATTTCACTTAGCATCATGGTCTCAAGGTGAATTCATTTTCCTAAAGATGAGTCAGATGAATCTTTCTTTATGGCAGGGTAGTACTCCATTTTGTGTAAATACCCCAGCTTCCTTGTCCATTCGTCTAGTGATGGACATGTAGGCTGGTCCGATGGCAGTGGGTTATCAGAACTTATTGACATTAGTGTCACTAAAGTTGGTATACCACCCCCCCACTGCTAAATTTGACTGGCTTAAAAAAAAAAAATAAATAAAATAAAATAAAAATAGTGATGGACATGTAGATTGCTTCCAAGTTTTAGCTATTATGGGTTATGCTGCTAGAAATAGAAATACAGATTTGCATGTGTCACAGTGATGTGATGTGTTTAACTCTTTCAGAAAGATACCTAGAAATGGAACAGGTAGGTTGAGTGGAATTTCTAAGTTCAGTTTTGAGTCTTCTCCATTCGGTACTAGCTGTTACTGGTTTATACTTGTACCAGCAGGGTGGAAGGGTTCCATTTCCCCAGCCAGCATAGTAACTGGACTGGACCCTGGAACAGAAATAGCACACGGGTGGAAAAACCGGTGAGGTCCAAAGACAGTTAGCAGCTTAGTGAGGAACATGTGCCAGGGTTCATTATCTAGTTTGAATGCATGCGTGGTGGTTATGTAAGACGGTGACATTAGAAGGAGCGGGGTAAAGGGTATGAGCAGCTCTCTTGTATCTTCTCAGGTTTCTTATAAATCTCAAATTACTTCAAAGCAAAAAGTTCCTTAAAAAGTACTAAGACAGCTGAGGATTTAGCTCAGCATTGTAAGTGTCTGCCTGATAAGCATGAGGTCGTGAGTTCGATCTCTGGTACCAAAAAAGTACTAATAATCCTCTCTATAGCCTTTAGACACTATAAAATAAATTGACAATGTACGTTAAAGTTTCAAGCCCTCAAAAGGTGGGGTTTGGTTTTAAACAAATTAATGTTAAACACATGTTGTGCTGAACAGTAGTAGTACTGTATAAAGCTTTAGTTTTTAGGTCCTTAGCAAGCTTTTTTTTTTTTGAAGCATGGCCTTACTATTCTAGTCTGGCCTTGAACTCGCTGGTAGTCCAGGGTGGCTCTGAACTTGTAGGCATCCTCCTGTCTCTGCCTCTGGAGCGCTGGGATTGCACGTATGCGCCATGGTGCCTGGACCGTGGCAAAGTTCACAGGCGTTAAAAGTGACCGATTCCTAAGGCTGCTCCACAGCAGGGCTACATTGTGGCTCCATGTTCCTTGACACGCTGCCTCGCATACCGTTCAGAGCATTTTCAGCGGCATGTGCTGGATAACCCAGGTATTTCAAACAGCGAAATAAAATTTACTGAAGCTCTGCGCTTTTGACTTAAATTATGTTTTCTTTCCTCAGATATAAAGACCTGATGCCACATGATTTGGCTAGAGCAGCACTTTTGTAAGTAAAAACAATTTTATTTTAGTTCCTACCTTATTAAAGACTTTCTTCAGTTTTTGTATTGCCATGGGTTGCTCCTTGGAATTTTCATGTCTAGGACATACTGATTATTATATAGTAAGAAAAATGCCAGTCATCTTTTACAAGATTAACTTATTCTTCATTTTTGCCCGTAGGTGCTACATGTATTTGAGCGGCTCATGGGTGTCGGGATGTTACTTTGCAGGCTAATCAGCGTCTTGGCATGGCAGTCATCAGCACTAATGAGTACCCTAACTGACCCTGGTGTTAGATTCAGCAACCTAAGCACAACACATGTATTCGTTGATTGCCTTAGAAACTCAATTACTGTGTAAGGGTAGCCAAACAGATTATTTAGATATTTTTCTAAAAAGAGTTTAGCCTAGAGATCTGAAGATTTATGTACAAACCAAGTAAAAATATAAAGTGTGATATGGTTAAATGAGATAGACATGGATGGGTTAATTTCAGTCTCAATGTGTGACTGTTTTTCGGGTGGAAGTAACTGGAAAGGCGCTATCTAATTCACTTTCCAGCCGTGCTTTGCCTCAGGGTCGCAGGGTTTCCTGCTGGGGGTGGACCTCAGGTGCCCTTTCTGCCCAGTCCGTGTTCTGTGTCTTCCGGCCCCAGCCTTGCTTTTCTCCTTCGTACTCATTACTCTAACCGCAGAGCCATTCCCACTCCCCTGCTCTATAGTGGCCATTTCTACTTTTAAAACATTTCCTGTTTTCCAATTATGGCTTTGAATTCCTAGGCTTCAGTGATCCTCCTGCCACAGCCTCCTGGGAGGCTGCGCCACCGTCGCCTGGCTTCTTCTCTGTTTTAGAAGACTGGCTCTTTTCTTTATTCCCTCCCTGTTAAAGGAATTTTTCAAGCTTTGGTGCTTAGAATTCACATTTCCCTGTATGCACATTTTCCATTAAAAAAGGCATCCTTGTAATATTTGTAAATGTGCAAGACTCCCACATCTCTAAATTTATCCTCTTTTTTTTTTGTTTTTGCCATCTCAAGCTGAAAATATTGAAACCTCAACCCTTCAGTGGTGCAGGGATCACACTCAGGGCTTTGCACATGGTAGGTGTGTCTTCACACATGTTCAGCCCTGTCTACCTGTGTGATGAAAGGCACAGATTTTAGGTGTATGCACTGATGAGTTTTGCCAAATATGGATACCATGTTCCTGCTTTTGATATGGCTCCATTTGGGTACTTCCTTACCTTGGGCCAAAAAAGGTGTTGAGATTTACTTTGTGTGTTGATCAGATGTGTCAGTCATTTCTCTGAAAGCATTTGTCTCATTGTTCAGGTGATACACACCTGTAATTCTAGCATTCAGGGAGACTGAGGCAAGAGTATCAAAAATTTGAGCACATTCTGGGCAACTTAGAAACTTGGCAAGTCCCAGTGTCAAAATAAAAGTGGGCTGGGGGTGTAGCTCAGTGCAAGAGCCAGGGTTTAATCCCAGTGCTGAAGCGTTTGTCTCTAATGGGGAAAGACGTTTAGGAACCAGGTCTGGGTTCACGGTGTGCTCATTTCCACTGAAGTGTTACTGCTTCCAGTTTCTTCCTGTGGGCGGAACATACACACATACATACATAATAAATCCTTTCTAGCCTGCGTTTATTTGATATTTCAAATTTCTATTTAATATTACCATCATTTTTCTCCATCTCTTTGATTTTGTGTCTCTTCTCTTTTTACTGAAAATTTTGCTTTTTACTAACCTTACTATGTTGATTTTATCTTATTCTAAATATTTTATTCTTTCTAATTTCTTATTGCCAATTCATTGAACATCAAACATCGAGCTTTTAAATCAGTGCTTAATTTCTTCTTCGATTAAGTGCCAGATGCTCATCAAATTGAAGAAAAGATGTGGTTCCTGCCTTCCAGATTCAAGTTTACCTTTAAATTTTCCTTGGTGCAGTGCTGGGATTGGCCAGGACCTTGTGGTGCTGGGTGAGCGCTTGCCTATTGCTGGAGCGCAGTGCTCTCTGTTAGGGTCCCTGGCTCTTCATCAGTGTGTGAAATTTTTCCGTTTTACATTTCTGCTTTCAGGGGTTTGTTACATCGGACCAGTATCCCGAAGGAAGTTGTTGATTATATCACCTTTGGCACAGTTATTCAGGAAGTGAAAACAAGCAATGTGGCTAGAGAGGTGAGTAAAGTAACCTTTGTGTTGTTTAAAAGGAGTAATTGGAGAAGCAGTTTGAATCTCAGCCAATAGAATTTACTTTTTGCCTTGCTTAAAATTTTGCTTTTCTTACTTTGCAGTGCTGGGGATTGAACCCAGGGCCTTAAGAGTAAAGCACTCTACCACAGAGCTACACCCTCAGCCCCAGAATTTACTTTTTGAAAGCCATTAAAATCTATTGAAGGGTCAAGGATGTACTTCAGTGGTAGAGCACTTGCCTAGCAAACATGAGACCCTCAGTTCAAACCCCAATACCACAAAATAAGCAAAGAATACCTGCTTAAAATTCATTAGCGAACCTTACATTTGACTTGAAGTGTAATGTTACTGCTCAAATTAAAAGCATTACTTAATATTTAAAAGAATTGTACTGCAAACCAAATAATGTACTTTATTAGTATAGTTTCTGTTTTACTGTAAGTCAAATCAGTTGGCTTGTTTTAGGAAATTTAGTCTCTTGGTTTAGAAGAGTGGAGATGTGGCAGTGCCTGGCTGCTGTGACTTTGCAGTGATGCTAGATCTAGTTTATAACTAGTTTAAGATGTGTGCTTTTCAGAGAGCTAATTTCATAGCTTGGTCTTTATAGTTGACTTAGCCTTGTTTGTTCAGTTGTTCCCACTGACTGAATGGCACATAGATTTCGAAAGAAGCATTTCAAGGCGTCTGCTTTTACCCTAGTTGGCACAGTTCCATGCAGTGCTTCTCGGGCACCCGCGATAACGACTGACCTTGGACCGCCTGTGACACAAGCCCAGGCACTCACTAGGGCAGGGCAGGCACGTCTTCTGGGCTCTGTTGCAGTCAGACGTCATGGTTTGGCGAGAGCTGGCTCCAGGGCGCGGTGTGCTAAGCCTTGTTTTGGGTCTGTACTTGTGTTTGTGCCCAGTGTCATCGGGCGGGCGCTGACCTAGGGAGGAGGGCACCCGAGCAGGCCGCGCATACTTGTTCTGCCAGCAGATGTCGAAACACTGACTGCTTGGCATGAAGTGCTCAGGCACCAGCGGCACGTCGTGGAGAGGCAGGAAGGAGTCCAGAGCACCAAGGGCTTTCTGTCTTTCTCCTCTTCCTTCACACGCACCATGTGAGAGCTTTGCAAAGTACATAAAGCCATCCAGCTGTTCACGAAAAACGTTCAGTTTTTACATTCTGAAAATAAAGTGACTTTTACAAGAGCCCTTAAAAAGTAGGTGTTAAATCTGTCTCACCGTTCTTTATACGGCTTCTCTTACCTAAACCAGAAACCATGATGTTTGGTGAATTTTTTTCTGCAAGTTTTACATCCATGTGTAAATCTCAGCTTTACAGCTTGACATGAGGTGTCCCCACTCCCCTGGTGCTCCTGTGAACACAACTTTGCTGAAGACCCTGCATAGTTCCTGCTCTCCAACTTAAGTGGGTCCTCCTCCTTTTTCCTTAATGCCGCCACAGCTATTCAGACTTCAAATAGAAGCATGTGGTCAGGGGTCGCCGTCAGCACTTCTGCTTGCAGCTCCTCCAGTCCGAGGGTCAGCTGGGGCCAAGGGCGTCACGGTAGCAGCCCCGGTGAGGATCCGGGCGCGTGACCCGGTGCCCCTGGCCTTTGCCCGACTGCAGAGCGCGTCCCCCCTGGACTGGTTTTGCCTGGGAGGTGGCCGAGCAGTGGTTTTCAGCCGAGTCGGCTGGGTGTTGAGCGTCAGTCTCGCGTGGAGGGAGCAGAATAAGGCGCTGTTGCCTGCAGGCCGCTGTGGTGGAGGGTGATAGACAGCCCAGAGTGGACGTCAGCGGGAAGCTCATTGATCTAGATGCTAGGAGTACAGTTACTTCACCAAACTATCGGGGAGTTTGGATTCTGAAGGCAATTAAATGCTCTCAGAAAAAAAGTACCAAAGATGAATTCCTCATCACAGGATTCAGATTAGGGGTCCAGGCTGAGGGTTTTTGGTGGCGAGCGTGGTGCTGGGCTGCGACCCTGAGCCTCGCTGCCGCTGAGCTACCCCCCAGCCCTGAAGCTTCACTTTTAAAGTAAAGATTTAATGTTGAAAATAGTATTTTAAAAATAAAAGACACTAGGGAACACAGAGCTAGGTCTTGTACAGAAGGGAAGGAGATCAAGAGGTGGGGGGAGAGGAAGTGAAAAAGAACAGAGGTGTGTGGGGCGCAGGGCCCCGCTCCCCACGGGGAGGGCAGCCTTTCATACTCCAACATGCACAGACAAAGTTACAGGTAAAAAATAGAAGTTTATAATCGTACCTATGCATTCTTGACATGAAAATGATTGGTGTTTTTGGCAACATAATTTCTCCAAGTTGCAGTAGAATCAAATTACCAATGTGTTTATTTTCATGCTTGATTTTTATGGTGCCAACAAAATAAAGGCTGTTTTTGCCACCTGAATGGAAAGTCCGAGTTTTCTCTGGGGCTGTCAGGATCCAAGTCACTCCCCTGCATAGCTCACATCGCTGTCCTGGCCTGCTCCCCCAGCTGTGGGCCGCCGACCAGATTCCTCAGAAGCTCGCTCCTGACTCCAGCAGGGCCCCTTGTGCAGTCTGAGTGATTCATTGGCAGGGAGGGGAGTCACGTGGGCCGGTACCTGTGTGGGAGCTGTTCCTTAATTATCAGCTTTCAGCAACATTAGTATCTTTTCAAGTTTCTTACTTTTGGTTTGCTACTAAGCTTTGAAACTGCGGGGACACAGATCATAGGAACCTCACCCTATAATACATCCCATCGTTCCATCATCTGTAATTTAAAATTTAAGTAAATTAATATTAAGTTGATATTTTTGAAGGCTCCGAGCAGAGCACTGCCAGGAAATGAGGCGAGGTGCCTTCTCTAGCACACTGGAAACCGGTCGTTGGGAATTTTGCAGCATGCCTGTCAGTTAACGGCTAAGCGAAACATTGGCAAACCATTTCTGCAAAGGCGTTAATTTTGTTTTCAACTTTGTCCTGTAGAACATAAAATAAAGTCCCTTCCTGATTCTGTAAGCAAAGTAGTGGTACTCAGAGTGTCATGTCATGCAGCGTATGTCTTCCTGAGTGACTGACTCATTCACTGTGTTTGCTACAGGCTGCCCTCGGAGCTGGCTTCTCTGACAAGACTCCTGCTCACACCGTCACCATGGCTTGCATCTCCTCAAACCAGGCCATGACCACAGGTGTGTCTGTTTTTAATTTTACTCACAGAAATGTTTGTGTAGCACATTAATTTTTATCCTTTGTCTCTGGTATCATTAAAAGTAACCTTAGCCAGGTGTGGTGTTGCGTGGCTGTATCCCGGCTACCCAGGAGCATGGGGGGAGGATGACAAATTTGAGGCCAACCTGAGCAACTTAGTAAGGTCCTGTCTCAAAAGGAAAACAATTAAAAAGACTGGGAGAATGCACCCCTGGGTTCGTTTGCAAGCACAAGAAATAAAGACAAACTTCACAGAAATAAACAATTAGTATAGATCTCTTCATTTATGTTTTTTAAAAATAAAGTTACACCATAGATTTTGGTCTTTGACAGATAGTTGCAAGCTTTTTCTTGATTTCTATACACAAGGGCCCAGCAATAGGGCATTTCCTCCACCAGTAATGTTGCTGGCCGCAGCAAGAGGACCATGTCTAGGGGAGGATGCTTGAGATCCAGGAGCATGCGCTGTTTACACCCTGCTGGTTTTCTGGAGCTGGTTCTGATCCAGTGATGCCTGGAGAGAGAGAAGGTCCTGAACCTCTGTCCTCGCTTGGGCTATAAATCTGTTTTGGATGGTGCCAGGCTTCCTCCCACATCCTTGTCACTTCTACAAATCATTGCAACTTCTAACAGTCTTGAGTAATATTGTGGGACGTTTTATAGCCTTTGGTCTGCAGACAGAAAACGTGAAAGGGCTGGTGCTCCTGTGCTGTCTTAGTAACATCAAGGCCAGGTTGGGCAGCCAGCTGGTGCAGGCAGGAAATGAACGCGGAGGCAGAGACCAAGATGCTCGCTCTCTCCCAGCATGTGCTCGGCTTCCAGGCGAAGTAACAGAATACTTGTCAGTGGCTTAGAGAGGGAGAGGGAGAAGGGCTGCCTTCATCTCAAAAGCTGGAATTTCTCCAGTGTGTAGTAGAAATGGACATTCTCTGTAGGGAAAATGTTCAGAAAACTGATGCCTGGAGCTATAAAATACCCTCCTTCCCTGGGAGTTGTGGTTGTAACCTAGCCTGCAGAAGCTGAGCACAGTCACAGGTTTGAAGTCAGCCCGGGGAACACAGTGAGTTCAGGGCCAGCCTAAGCTACACACAAGGGCCTCTTTCAGACAAATAAAACAAAAACAGTGATACGCAAGCTAGCCAGCCTTGGTGGTATTGCTCTAGTCACAGCTACCTGAGAGACTAGGGCAGGATGATCTTGAGTTCAAGGCCAGCCTTGGTAGTATAGTAAAGTCCTGTCTCAAAAAACAAAGCAAAACTCCCATAAAAATGTGCGATGTTCTGGTTTAGAATATAGTTTGAAAGTGGGTGTGGTAGCTCACACATAAAATCCAGCACTCTGGAGGCTGAAGCAGGAGAATCCCCAGGAGTATATGGTGAGACCCTGTCTTGAATAAGTAAAAGGATATAGTTTGAGAGTTGGCCCAGTGGTTACATCCAGCAGTTGATGTTCACGTGACTTGAGGGATACTTGTTTTTCTGCCATATTGTTGAATATTTTGGGTCATTTACAAAATTATGTCAGCCTCTTTAGAAATGTAATTACTGAGATTGTAAAACCCGATAGCTATTATCAGCTTTTGAATTAAGAAGCTTACGTTTCAGTGGCTTGGTATTTTCCGCCAGAGGTGCTCATGTGCTTATACCTGTGCCTTGTAGCTGTTGGCCTGATTGCTTCCGGCCAGTACGACGTGGTGGTGGCGGGTGGCGTCGAGTTGATGTCGGACGTCCCTATCCGTCACTCAAGGAAAATGAGGAAGATGATGCTTGACTTCAATAAAGCCAAGACTCTGGGCCAGAGACTGTCTTTGCTCTCTAAATTCAGACTGAATTTCCTGTCACCTGAGGTAAGACTTAGGAGCATACGTAAATAAAGACCCAGAGATTTAGCATTAGATTTAATAGTCATAGATTGTCCTGGTTACCGAGAAGGTAACTAAGATGCAAAAAAGAAGAATAAAGTGGGTTAGAAGTTAAATATTTGAGCATTTTTTGGCAGTGGTCTGTGCACAGAGAGCTTCCTTTGTCTTAGCCTTGATTGATAGATGGTAAATAAATAGATGTTAAGTTTTCCAGAGGCACCAAGCAATCCTAGGTGTTGCACAGCGAACCTGCTCCCTGTGCCTCCCTCCCAGCTGCCCGCGGTGGCCGAGTTCTCCACCAGTGAGACCATGGGCCACTCTGCGGACCGCCTGGCCGCTGCCTTTGCCGTTTCCCGTCGGGAGCAGGATGAGTATGCGCTGCGTTCGCACAGTCTGGCCAAGAAAGCGCAGGACGAAGGACTCCTTTCCGACGTTGTCCCCTTCAAGGTACCAGGTAGGATGGAGTGCTCGGTGATCTTTGCTGGGGAGCACTGTGGTAGCTCCTAAAACTAAAAATCTTACATGCATGGCTTTCCTATAATATGTTGATTCTGTCTCCAAATAGTCTATATTCTTAAACACAGACTTAAACACAGTTTTGATTCAGGTTGTAACACAGGTAAACGTTTGTTCTTTTGATTTTTAAAGCGTGTTTCTCTGGAGAAGATATGTAATGCTTATAGTTCCTTAGAGTGAAAATGTTCCTGTTTTTATAGGGAAAGATACAGTTAGCAAAGACAACGGCATCCGTCCTTCCTCCTTGGAGCAGATGGCCAAACTGAAACCTGCCTTCATCAAGCCCTATGGTACAGTGACAGCCGCAAACTCCTCTTTCCTGGTAATCGCATGGCTTTGTGTTTAGTAATGACTTTCCTATTTCTACGCACTCAATACAAAAGCCTAACATAGGTTTATGTGTGTATATATTATTTAGAGGCTATAAGATAAATTTATTCATTTTGAAGATAATATAAATAGAATCATTTTAAAGCAACATCATGGGTTTTTTTTTCTTTTTAAATTGAGTATAATTGACAAAAGTCACATGGATTTAAGATGTACAGCATCATGTTTTGAGATGCCTATACATTGTGAAAAGGTCACACAGTCAAGCTATTAACTTAGCTATCACCTCTCATACTTACAGGAATTCTTTATTTACTCTGCTTCAAAATGTTTTATAGTAGCGCAGTCAAAGAATAGTCTTAGACAAAGAGAAAAATGTGTTTGGCATCTCACACCCAGGGGCAGAATTAAGGAACACTTAATTCTGATTAAGAATTCAGAAGAATTAAGAATTAAGTTAAGGAACACTATTCTAGATGATTTCTAGATTAATATAGAGATTAATGAATTTCTCTAGATTAATGCAGTTTTGAAATGAAAAGTCGGCAGTGCTGTGCGTCCTGCTGTGCAGCCCACTGTGGGTCCCTCTTCACTCCAGTAAATCCATGTTGACCTCGCGCTCTCCTAATGACACAGTAACTTTTTTATTCCCCAGTACCTGCCTTGACACCTCCACTCCTCTGCTTGCTTCCTCTTCGTAGTAAGAGTCTCCCTCCTATATTCGTGGCATCCTTTTAAGAGTCCACATAGTGGAGAAAACATGCAGTGCTTGTCTTTGACTCCGGCTTATTTTGCTTGTGATGCTCTCCAGTTCCACCCATTTTTGCTCTCCTGATGACTGAAAGTCCGTTTTGTGTATATACCACAATCTCTTCGTCCGTTCGTCTGTCGAGGGGCACCTGGGCCGTTGAGAACGGTGCTGCAGTGAGCGCAGGCGTGCAGGTGTCCCCGGGTGTGCCGACTTCCGTTTCTCCGGGTACTTGCACGGAGTGGTGTGACTGAGTCCTGGTGCTTCCCATTTTAGTTTTTTTAAGGGGCCTCTGTGCTGATTTCCGTTGTGACTGCAGTGTTTGCGTTCCCATCAGCGGTGGAGAAGGTTCCTTTCCCTGCCTTGTCACCAGTGTTTACTATTCTGTATTCTTGATGACAGCTGTCCTGACTGGGATGAGATGGAGTTTGGTTTTTTTCCAGAACTGGGACTGAGTCCAGGCCTGCACGCTGAGCTCCGTCCCAGCCCTTTTCTGTCTGGTGAGACAGGGTCTTCTTGCTCAGTCCCTAGATTGCCCAGGCTGAACCTGAACTTGCAGTCCGCCTGCCTCAGCCTCCCAGAATGCTGGAATTACAAGCGTATGCCTTCGTGCCAGGCTTTCCATGTACTTTTAAGTTGTATTTCCCTAGTGGCCAAGGGTGCTCATGTACTCACCATCTTCATATACTGAGCTTCGCATTTCTGTTGAGAATTGTCTGTTCAACTTATTCGCCCATTTATTGATTGGGCAGTTTCGTTTTTTTGGCATTTTCTGAGTTCTTCATGTATTCTAGACATTTACCCTCTGTCAGATGATAGCAGGCGAAGGCTTTCTCTAATTCTTTGGGCTGCCTCCTCAGGGGCTTGGTTCTTTCCCTTGTTGCACAGAGCCTTTTATTTTAATGTAGTTTGATGGTTTTACAGGTAATTCCTGTGATACTGGAGTCCCATTCAGGAAGCTTTGCCTGTGGTTTTAAGTGTTTACCTTTTGGGTCCCCCCGACCCCCAGTAGTTTCAAAGCTTCCGGTCTTATTCCTAGGTCTCTGATCTATTTTGAATTGGTTTTTCTACAGGTTGAAAGACAGAGATCTAGTTTCAATCTTTTACGTGTGAGTATCCAATTTTCCCAGAGGCTGTCTTTCTCCAGTGTATGCTTTTGGCTTCTTTGTTGTCTTAATTACTTTCCTTGTTGCTGAGACAAAGTACCCCATACCCAAAGTTAAAGGAGGAAAGGCTTATTTAGCTCACAGTTTATGGAGGTTTCAGGTCACAGTTGGCAGGCTCCAACACAGGGTGGCAGGCAGGCAGGCCTCACAGAGGAGACAGTCCGCGCTGGCGGAGGGCAGCAAAGCAAGCAACAATAGCAGCTTCTTTTTGTCACTTTTACATTCTATCTAGGCTACCTTCCTTCTGCCCTTAGTGTGTGTAGCACGTATACTCGGAACTATTCCAAACTAATCAGGGACTGATTTAGTAATCACACACCCTTAACCCCAGCATCATTCACTCTGGATCCTACTATCTCTGAAAAAGCCCCACCTGTGGCCACATGAGGCTTTGGAGGGGCGTCTAGACACAGCCATAATGTTTGTCAAGAATCATACGGCTGTGGTTGTGTCACCTGGCACAGTTCCAGCAGTGTTAGTGTCCCACATCAAGCCTGAATAGTGAAAGATCTGACTAGATGCTTGTTTCCAAAACCAAATGAGATAACAGGGCCAGGCGTGCAAGGGCCGGACTTGCCATAGCTGAGTGTCCCTGAGTATTTCCGTGGTGTGCTACAGGCCCAGTTTATTCAGTGAAAACCAATCACAGACATCATCAGAAGCAACACATCACAGACCCATGGATTTTTAGAAATACGTTAATGTGCCACATTTATTGCAGTTTACACAATGGGACACTGAGCACATTTAATCTGTAAACCATATGCTAAGAACGTTACCTGTGTTTCCAGACTTTCTGGCACCTTACCGGAGCCCACAGGCTCTCTTTGGTGTGGCTCACTTGTAAAACACAGGGTGAAATGTGACCTCCCCTCCCCCAAATTAACAGAGTAGTTTCCTTTTCTTTCCTTGAAATTGTGGGTTTGGGTGGGAGCTCTTTTTTTGAAGTAGAAGTAAAGGACTTTTCCCCTAGTGGTGCTTCTTTGTCTGCTAATTTCTTGATCATTATTTGGGACAGAAATGTGTGGAGTGTGTCCAGAGGGGAAAGCCATGGCACCAGTGTTGTCTCATCCGCCGCCTCATTCTTCTTCCCTTGGGTTGCTTGTTACAGATCCTCTACATAGAGTAAAACCACCCGGAAGCTGTGCGAAGGACGTAGCTGAGGAACAGCACAAAAATACAAAAACAAATAAGTCGATTAAATAATGGGTTGTTTTAACTCATAAACTTCTTCCTTTTCTGTACCCAAAACTTTGGCTGAATGTATTATGGACACTTGCATTTCTAAAGTTCTTCTGATTCATTTTGATGATTATGAGACTTTCTTCTTTTGTGCTCCGAAGCTGGTCAGTCTTTGTATTTGAATTGTGATGTAAGGATAGATACAGTGAAATTTGTGATGTTAGTACACCCAGGGGCAGCCCTGAGAAATGGCTGCCAAAGGATCGCAGCAGCCAGAGCATTTAGCGCTGCTCCTCTGGTTGATGTTTCAGACCGACGGTGCCTCTGCGATGCTGATTATGTCCGAGGACAAAGCTCTGGCCATGGGCTATAAGCCAAAGGCGTATTTGAGGTGAGCCGATTTTCCCGGGAATGGCCTCTGAATATTTTATTACTGGAGCTGACTTCTGTGGTTTTCACCTAGGGATTTTGTGTATGTGTCCCAGGACCCGAAAGATCAGCTTTTACTGGGGTGAGTATAGTGTGTATTTCCGGGCTTAAATCAAAAGTATTTCATTACCACCATTATTATAGATTTCCAGGTGCCTTAAGTGCTGAGTTTATAATCAGCTTGGGAGGTAGATTTTAGAGCAAATACTAATAATCCTTTTTGGATAATCATTTTCCAGCTTTGAGTTTTTTCCCATTTTTCCTACATATTTTCTGTTTAAAGTTATTCATACAAACTGGCTGTGGTTGCACGTGCCTTAATCTCGGCACTCTGGCAAGCTGAGGCGAGGACACTACAAGCTTGAGCCCAGCTTAGGTAGCCTAGTGATATAGCAAGACCGTGTCTCGAGATACGGAAAGAAAGGCTGAAGATTCGGCTCGGTGTGGAGACCCTAGGTTCAATCCCAAAAGAATTTTTATTTTGGGGCTGGGGATTTAGCTCAGTGGCATAAGTGCCTGCCTTGCAAGCAGGCAGTCCTGAGTTCGATTCCCGGTACCGATAAAAAGGAAAAAGACCAAAAAAAAAAAAAAAAAAAAGAATTTTTATTTTTTTTTAAAAATGCTTTTGTTCTATAAATATATACAAACCTGTATGTATTTACACAGACAACTGTACATTTTTTCATTTTGCTACACCCTGTTTCAGAAAAGCCGCCTGGTACTTCGGTTCTCTCTGTCTGCCTCGTAGAGCGCTGGCCTCCCTGGCCTCCTCCTGATACTGTTCTGTCTTTCCTTGTCCGTTATGATTTTGAGGTTAGCTAGGCCCATTTGCATACCTTGCCCTGACACTGTCATCTTCTCCTAACTCTCATTGTTAGCTTAGGTTTGCTTGTTTATTACCTGTCAGCTTCTTGTTTGTTTATTACCTGTTTCCTCAACTCTACAACATAAACTTCACAAGGACAGAATTCAGTTCATTATTGTCTCCCTGGCACTTAATCAGTGTTTGTATAGTAGAATCAATAAGTGTACAGCCCCGTGTAAGGAGTGTGAAGAAACTCTTAGGTTAAAAATCAAAGTTTTAATGCAGGGGATTTAGCTCAGTGGCATAAGCGCCTGCCTACCTGGCAAGCGCGAAGTCATGAGTTCAATTCCCGGTACCAAAAAAAAAAAATTTAAAGTTTTTAAGATTCTACCTGTTTTCTTTTCAGACCAACGTATGCTACTCCAAAAGTTCTAGAAAAGGCTGGATTAACCATGAATGATATTGATGTTTTTGAATTTCATGAAGCCTTCTCAGTAAGTCATTTAAAAAACATACCTGAAGGAACTGGTCATTAAGAATGCAGTCACATTTATGGGCAAGAGCAAGGCTTGGCTTATAAGTCCTGCAGGAGTGCGGCCTGGTGTTTCAGTACTGACTTGCATTGTGGGGAGGAGCTCGGGAGAGAATGGAGGGCCGCAGCCAGGGGCTTGAAAACATACCTTCTGAGGCCCTCAGAGGCCCTTTGGAAGAACAAAATTGTTTCTCTGGGACATTTTCACTAAAAGTTGATGTAAAGATGTGCCTAACTTTAAAGTTACAAAAGCTCAAGCCTAAAGGAGTCTAGAGGAACACTAATAAGGAGGTCCTTTATGGGTTCTTTTCCCTCCTAGGGTCAGATTTTGGCTAATTTTAAAGCCATGGATTCTGATTGGTTTGCGCAAAACTACATGGGTCGGAAAACCAAGGTAAGCTTCGCACTGAAAATGTTTGCTTGTCCACGGCACGTTCATCTTTGGAGCTGAGCTGCCCTCTAAGAAGAATATGAAGGGGAAAGCTTTCTCTTGTAAAGAACTGTGTATTTTATTCAGTGTACTGTATTTGTGTCTTAGTTTAAAAATAGTTTCTAGGAAATCTTTGGCAAAAATAGAATTTGGCCGGGGATTTAGCTCAGTCACATAAGCGCCTGCCTGGCAAGCGTGAGGTCGTGAGTTCGATCTCTGGTACCAAAAAAAAAAAAAAAGGTAGAATTTTATGTTACCTTTTGTTCTTCTCATTCAAACATTAAATAAAATGTAGATCAACCCTGGCCTTTCAGTACTGGCCTCGACTTGATTTCTTTGCAGTATAATTACTTGTGATAGGTCTAACCTTGGTTATCTCTACTTTTCCCTGTTACTGAGAGCTTGGCTTGCATCCTGTCTGTAAGTAAACGTGCCATTACACTGTGTCTTTATTTTTGTGGGACTCAGGTTGGATCGCTTCCTTTAGAGAAGTTTAACACCTGGGGTGGATCGCTGTCCCTGGGACACCCATTTGGAGCCACTGGCTGCCGCTTGGTGATGGCAGCTGCCAACAGGTTACGGAAGGAGGGAGGCCAGTACGCCTTGGTGGCCGCCTGTGCAGCGGGAGGGCAGGTACGTGTGGGGCGGCTTCGCAGGGCCTCCAGAAAGTCACTTTCTTGGAAGCAAAATCAATTCATCTCGAAAAGGTGTGATTTAGTTTGAAACATTCTTGAAACAGTATTCTAAGGACAGGCAACTGGGGGGAAAATTTGCAGCTTATTTTGGTGAGAGTTAAGGGGAGGAGGAGTAACAACTTTAATTCTGACAGTGCTTTGAAAGGAGGATGCTACTTAAATCCAAGCTGTTTTTTCCCCTGAAGTAATGTTACCTTTTTAATTTACAAAATTAATATCTGGCCATTATGGGAAACATAAAGAATATATAGAAAGCAGGTAGAACCTTTTAAACTCCTTACCAGAAGCCATCAGGTTGACATGTTTTCTTCCTTAGTGATAAAGTTACTCGTTATCTAATCAGCATGAAGTCCTGTCTATAAAATCTTTCTAAGTGGTAAACTGTCTTTCTGGAGATCTGAATTACACCCTAGTTAGGGAACTAATTTACTTCTAGATAACTTTTTGCTGTTCAGCGAGAAAAGTATTAGTCCAACAGATTTTTTTCCCTGCCTACTCTGCTTCTATCTAGACCTAACTTCCTTTCTGCTACGGCATTGCACTCTGGGGATAAAACCCAGAAGGAAGACTGACTCTAGTTTTTTAATCTTGATGTGAACAAGTTTTGTTTTTGTCCAGATTATAGAAACTTGCTATTACTGATCAAGATGAAGAAATAAGATATTTAAAAGTATAAACATCTTACTGTAAGGAACAGCATAAGTCAGAGAGCAGCAGAGACACCAGGCTTGTGTAAAGGCAATATGGTGTAAAATTTATTGTGCTTGGTTATAGGCAGACAGGGCAGAAAGGCCGTTTGTATGATATAAAGAATGGAGCCTTTTTTATAGGGCTTGGACAAAGGGTGACAAGTGGGGAGATCAGATAGGGTATCTGGTGGGGGTCAGGGAGTTCAGGTAAGGAGATCTGAGCAAACAGCCGTGGTCAGTGTTCTGTGTCCAGTGCCTAGAGTCCTGAGTGTCTGGTGTAGATGTACGGGTGTTTCCAGATGTCCCGGTGCTTGGAAGATTCTGTTGCGTTCTGTCTTACCTCTTCTTCATGACATCCTGTGCTGTGTTTGCTGAGGGCAGCACTCCCGTGGCTTATAGTTTTTGCTGAGAACAATTGCGGCTGCTAAAACCAGGTTGGGTGCTGGGCGAGTCATGCCCGAATCGAGCCTGACACAGTTTAGTCTTCTTACGTGGCTCTTCCTCAGAGACTTGGGAAATAAGGGGCCAGTTGTTTATTAATTGGAACATTTTGGACTTCATGATCTGTTTTCAATCAGTGTAACTTCGTCTGCAGAAGCCCTGGTCAGTTCGGACCTGAGCCCTCTCTCATCACCCTGTGCCAGGCCCCCAGGACGGGAGCAGCTGCCATGTGGCACTGTGCGGCCCACAGAGGGCGCTGTCCTTTGCATTCAGCACCTGTTCCTTAATTCTTTATGGCACCTGTGGCATGAACTACAGTAGATGCTTTTGTGAATGAAGAACAATGCCCAGTGTCTGCTTTCTGGAAGCTCACAGTATAGCACAGAGTGTGAGGATGATGCATCTTAGAAATTAGGCATTGGGAATAAAACCCAGGCCCTCGCGCATGCTGGCCAAGTGCTCTACCACGGTGCTGTTCCCCAGGCCAAAGGGGCTGCTGTTAAAACGAGGAAGCAGAGAGGCCTTTTTGCCACACAAAGATAAACGTGACATAGTGAATACCAAGGACATCTCTACATGATAAAACCGAGGCTGTGAGAGGCCTCGTTTGTGTGGAGATAGCTCAACACTATCTCCTCAAGAGCCAGACAGCTGACACCAGATTCATCAGGTGGCAGAAGAATTCATCCTGGTGGAGCTGCAGCAGGATTTCTCAGCACTGGCACTGACAGTTTATCCAGATAATGCTCTGCAGTAGAACACTTTTTAGTGGAGAAGTTTAGCGTCTCCTAGATTCCAGTAGCAATAAACTCCTCCCCACTCCTGACCCGTCGGTCCTGTCTGCATGTGCCCACACAGTTGAACAGGAGCTCTACAGGCACTGCCTCTGTTCTCTGGAAAGAGCAAGGGATAAAACCTCCCCAAGCTGAGAGTGACTGGTGACAGTGGGACATGAAAACAGTGCATTTTTAAATAAAGCTGGAGAAGGACTGTTCTACCCTATTACGGGTCCTTGCAAGACAACTCCCAGCCAGTCAGATGTCCCGTCCCTGATCTTTGTTGTTTGTTTGCTTGTGTGTTGTCAGAGCACTTAGGTTTGCGCTGCTGTGTACGCTAGATGGAGGATGGAGGCCATGTAGCAAATCCGTGTTCAGCTTGACACCTTATAAGTAATTGTTTCCTGAATAGTTGTGAGGATGGAATTGAGCTCAGAGGCCAGGAGGCTCATTGGGCTGCTTATTGGCTGATGGCAGACTAAGGCTGGAATGACATGACAGCCAGCTAGGCTGCAGACGCTTGGAGTCGCAGCTCTCTGCCAGGTTTAAAGAGGGCCGTGACCGGTGTATAGCTTGTGCACGGTGACGGAGAAGGGACAGTCTCACTGCTTCGCCTCGTGGCCGGCCCTTCAGTCATCTCCTTAATCTGTGTAAAGTAGTGAAGAAGAGAACAGCTGTGGAATCACCTGGATGTGGTTTCAAGCTCTGGCCTTCGGACTTTGTGTTAGCTTCGTGGTTTTAGATGAGTCACTTGGCCTCTCAGAGCCTCGGTTTTATGATGTAGAGATGTCCTTGGTATTCACAATGTCACGTTTATCTTTGTGTGGCAAAAAGGCCTCTCTGCTTCCTGGTTTTAACAGCAGCCCCTTTGGCCTGGGGAACAGCACCGTGGTAGAGCACTTGCCCAGCATGCGCGAGGGCCTGGGTTTTATTCCCAATGCCGAGAGCATGCGGGTACCCAAATCAGTGACTTACAGAGTGTCTACCGAGAGTGAGACTCTGTGCTGGAAAGTCTGGTGCAGACGTGAATGTGTATGTGTGTAAATGCCCTGGAACGCTCACAACAGCTTCCTGGAGTAGGCCCCGTAAGCCTCGTCAGAGAGGACATTGAGGTTCAGAGGGCTGCTGACTTCCTGTGATCACACGTGTTTAAAGGGCAGAGCCGGGATCAAACGTCAAAGCCTGTGCTTCACGCTGTCCTCGCTGTCCTCTGTGCCGGCTGAGCTCGTCCCCTTTCACTGCTCTGACTGCGCTTCTCTTTCCCTTCACAGGGCCACGGAATGATAGTGGAAACTTACCCGAAGTGAGCAGCCCGCAGGAGGTACCAGTCTTCTGTGCAGCACCTGCACTGGCAATGCCATTTCAATGCATTACGAAGCAGCGCTGTAGTCCCAGCTCCTCTTAGGAAAACATTTGCGACTTTCTGTTAAATACATAGCAACTAAGCCTTTCTGGTGTTCTCAGCTTTCTAACAACCACAGCTTACTGTTCGTTCAGGGATTTCTAAGTGACAGATAGATTTAAGCAGTAGCTTTTGATCTCTGTTGTCATCAAGACTAAATGAATGGTTGCATTTTAGGAAAGATGTTAACTGAGATCTAAAGTCATCTTTGTAATACTTGCAAATTAATTTGTTCCTATTTGTGTGCTAAGAATAAGTATTTTCTCTGAAATACGAACCAATGTGCCTAAATAACTAATTATGGAAAAATAACCTAAATATCTTTAAGAACTTAAATATTTAGATATACAGATACCTTGTTAGTCAACCTTAATAAAGTGGAGAAGTACCGGGGAACAGTTTGCCTTAATTTGATATGGAGGAGAAGGTGCTTCTCCTGGGTTAGGTGTAGGGTTTCCCTTTAAGTGTTTGTGACTTTCAGTCATGCAGCCACCAGGAATAGGAGTGGCCTGCTTTAGAATAACACCCCACCACCATTGCTATGATTGAAGTGTGTTTATTTCATTATTTAGAGTTTCTAGAGTTTGCCAGGATTTAAATGAATATAAAGTAAGCTTTTTCTTTGGATCAATTGCTATAAGCCCTCTTGGACTTTTGATAACCATACTATACTAAATAACATGTATGCTGGTACTTTGAAGAAGCAAAATGGTCCATCATGGCCATTTTTGTGAACATATATATTTGAAGCCACCACAGTGGCACCTCCTTAATCTCAGCCACTTGGGAGGTTACCAAGGTAGGATGATTGCAGGCGCAAGGCCAGCTAAGCAGTGTAGTGAGATCCTGTCTAAAAAGCATTGCTGGTCCTGGTGGTGCACAGCGGTTATCCCAGCACCCAGAAGGCGGAGGCGGGAGTGAGCCTGGGCTTCAGAGCGAGTCCTTGTCTCACAAAACAAGAGGGTGGGAAAGCTCAGTGATGGGGCACCAGCCTAGAAGCATGAGGGCTTGTGTTCAGTCCCCAACACCAAAAAGCCCCAAAAAACCCAACAAAAACCCAACAATAAAAAGGGTATCTGAGTTCCAGGGTCATTTGCTTGTGACTTCCTTGGTAATTTAAACACAGTGTGAGTTTTAAGAACTGAAAACCATTGTATTTACATATGACATAAATAAGTTCTAGATGAAATAAAATATGCCAAATGAAAATTTCTTAAATTTATGACAAAATGCTGCTGTGTCCTTAGGTTAAAGAAGAGAATTTCTTAAAACATTTCTTTAATCATAAAAGAAAAGAAATATTAAAGTTAGAATTTTTACTCTCATGTGATACGAAGTGGTGGAGAAGCAGGCAGCAGCGGACAGAGGGGCGTCCAGGGGCTCCGGCTCTCAGAGCAGGAGTAACAGCAGCACAGCAGGAGGACGGCGGAGACTCCGACGTCGTGGACGATGATACATAACTGGTGAGGAGCATCCACTAAGATGCTCAGCAGCAATCAGAAAATTAAAGTTACGAGGAGATACTGTGTACACCTACATCTCTGCAGAGGGTGGGACTGAGGACTCCGGAGTTGGTGAGGATGCGGAGCCGTGAGAACTGCGGGCACAGATGCTGGATGGTCGGCCCAGCCGCTTCAGGAAGGACTGATGTTCTCCGGTGCATTTGAGGAGAGCAAAGTTCTGCGACCCAGCGTTTTTATTCTCTGGGGTATTCCCTAAGGAGGCTTTCTTGTGAGCCCAGGAACACGCACAAGGTTGTTCACAGCAGCGTTAATAGCAGTCTTAATAGCAAAGTGCCGTAAATAACTTACATTGACAGGAAGCTTTTAAAAATAAGCAAAACTAAGTAATTTCTAGGATACCTACAGATGAGCTTTAAATAGTTTCTACACCAACAAGGGAAGGAAAAACACCTGCCTCCCAGAAATCCGAATAATGTGTGTAGATACATCCAGCTCCAGGAGGTGGAGCCCTCTGAGCTGGGGCTGGACTTGGTGATTCCAGAGAACAGAGCCCGGGAAGGTGGAAGAGACAGCTTTACAGTGGGGAAGCCAGGCGGTCACGGTTTACACAGCGTGGCCACGGTCCTTCTGATAACCCATGGTCAGAGGGGCACTGCAGCTCTGGTATCTTTCCACATACCTAGCATTGGGTTCACTCATGGGAAAGATCAAGCAAACGCAACCCAGGGGACTGTCTGCAAGGTACTCAGCCAACATCAAAAACTATCAAGGTCATGAAAATCCTAGAAGTTGTCAGAGACAAAAGGAGGCTAGGGAGACACGATGATTAAATGGTTGGATTCTATAACAAAAGGACAGTAATGGTAAAACTGGTGAAATTGGAGTAAAGTCTGAAGCTGAGTTAGTACGTATTTTTTTAAGCTGAGAGGTGAGGATATGTCTGTGTTGTGGTTCTCACTTTGTATGCATGAGGCCCTGGGTCTGATCCCTAGCCCTGCAAGACATACTCCGTCTTCTCCACCCAAAAAAACCCAAACAGCAACAGCAGAACACCACAGAAGTAGAGCCACACGCACCATGCACGTGTATAATCAAACTGTTTGACATGAAGCTGAAACTTGCACCGTAACTAGAAATTTAACTAAAAATGGGTCAAAAGCATAAAAGCTAAAATGATAGAACTCTTAGAAGGAAATGCATGGAATTGGATTTGGCAGTAATTTCATGGATGTGCCACCAAAAGCACAGGCAGCAAGAAATGTTAGATAAACTGGACTTCTTCAAAATTAAAACTTACCAAAAGACACAATCAACTGAGTGAAGAAGCGACTGAGAAAATAAAAAAATGTTTGCAGATCATACAGCCCAGGAGGCTAACAGAAGAAAGAACTTTTACATTTCACAACCAGAGAAACCCCATTTTTGAAATGCCTTTTTTTTTTTTTTTTTTTTTTTGTGAGTATTGGGAATTGAACTCAAGACCAAGCTAGCCAGGCAAGTTCTGTGCCACTGAGCTGTATCCCAGACCCAACAACCTCGTTTTACAAAAATGGACAAGCTCAGTGGTAGCACATGCCTGTAACCTCAGCTACTTAGAAGGCTGAGGTAGAAGATTAGAAGTTAAAGCCCAGCCTGGACGACACAGTGAGGCCCAGTCCCAAAATCTAAAAGGCCAGGGGTGTAGCTCGGTGGTAGAGCACTTGCCTAGAATGCACAAAGCCCTGGAACCCCCAATCCCTCCATCGCCACACACACAATCCAAATAGACATCTTCAAAAGGAGATATGCAGAGAACGCACATGTAAACGCACAGAAGCCTGCTCAGCACCACTAGTCATCAGGAAAATGCAAGTCAAAACCAAAGTGAGAAACCACCACATCTCTTAGGATGGCTGCTCTCAGAAAACAAAAGGACTGGTGGGGATGCATCAAAAACGGAGCGTTTGTGTCCTGAATGTGCAGCTGCCGTAGAAAACAACGGTAGTTCCTCAGGAAGAAACAGTGAAGCGTAGAGTTGCCGTATGATCCAGCAAGTCCCCTGTTGGGTTTGGATCCCAGAAAATTGAAAGCGTTTTGGAGAATCTTCGTATACCCACGCTTGCAGTTTTATTCAAGAGCCAAAATGTGGGAGGCGGCTCAGAGTCCGTGGACAGAGAGATGAATGAACCCCATCACCCCAAACCTAGAATAGAATAAGATACTTGGCAGCCTTAGAGGATGGCGATCTTGGATAAGCCTTGAGTCCATTGTGCCAAGTGGAATAAGCCTGTCACAAAAAGGACAAAAACAGTGTGATTCCACTTACATGAGCTGTCGGATTCCTGGAGACAGACGGCACTGCTGTGGGTGGGGGCGCTGAGCTTGATGGGGTGCTGTTGGTGGGGATTCATTAAACCCCGATATGAATGTAGTTTACTGAATGATACACTTAAAAACGTTTAAGATTTAGCCACAGTTTGAAAGTTCTTTCTGTAAAAGATAACGGGACACATGATCAGGGTAGAGGTCACCTCTGGGTGGGGGACAGCGGAACCTGGCCTCCTCCGGGGCGCACAGCCAGCTTCATGTTTCTCGTTCTGCGGTTGTCCTAGGTTGACCCAAGTCGACGTGATTTACATATTAGTTCTCAGCACCCTCGCACGAGAGAAAGCCGGAGTGTTTTTTTAGCTTGTTTCTGAAGGTCCCCCTGGGCTGATGTGGCTTGGCGTGACCTCCATCTGCATCACTCCTGATGTTCGTTCTTAGACACCTTAAACTGCGCCCTGTTCTTCAGGATTACAATTTGAGTGTTTCTATGGTCTCCCCTCCTACCTGCTCTGTCCCACCCCAGGGACTGCACCAGGGGGTTTTACTGAGTTACATTCTTTGTTATTTTGAAACTGGATCTCTCAGGCACCAGTTTGCCTAGGCTGGGATTGAGTTTGTGATGCTCCTGCCTCAACCTTTTAGAGGGCTGGGATTACACACATGCACAGCCGTGCTTGGCCTGTGTGAAACTTCGGTTAGAGGTTAGATGCTGTGCTCCACCAAATAGCCATTTGGAAGGGGACTGGTTATTTGCCCTGTCTTCTGTCACTTAACTTTTAAAAGGTTTGCCGCATCTCAGCAGTTTGCTCGTGACAGCCTCTGGCTCTGCACCACAGCTTTGGTTCCATGGTTGGGCGCTGACTCTGAATGTTCAGGCCGCAACAACCAATAAAGCAGGAAATCTCCTGTCTTCTCTGTGGGAAAAAGAATCCTGGTTCTTTGCAGCCGTCTTCTCCCAGCCTTTCTCAGTTTTGTCTACTTTCTCCTGGCTTCTCCAGGGCTGGTCTTCCTGTGGGGAGGAGAAGCAGAGGGAGGATTCCAACCTCTCCTTCAAATTTTACTGGGTGGCTCCCAGGAGCCTGGTTTCTCTGGGACTTAACTGATAAACTCTGCTACTTCAATAAAGGGAGTCACTTTCTGGCAGGACAAGCATAGTGAGGAGCAATCGTATTTTTAAAAGAAGTACATTATTGTCACACAGAAAGCATGTGGCCATATTGGCAACGTTTGCAGCTGCAGCGAACCCCACTGGGGAGGTCTTTTCCCTCCACAGCGAAAGGACTGAGACCCCAAAGAACCGATTCCCAAAGCAGAACTCCAGGTAGGGGCTCAGAGCTCCCTCAGGGAGCCCTGCTGTAGCCGGCCCATCTGTAAGACCAAAATTCCAGGGGGGGTTTTCTTTGTGTGTCAGGTTTGTGTGTTTAATATGCAAAATGTTCAGAACTTTTTCAAAATAATTTTATATTTTCTAATCTAAAAGTACTCCACATGTTTGCTGCAGTTCTATAGGATAAATCCAGAAATCTAACACAGCAGGAAACTATAGTTAATACTGTTTTATATGCTTCAAATTTGTTAAAAAGAATAGATTTTAGGTGCTATTACACTTCCCCAACACATGTCAACTGTGAGGTGATGGCTGTGTTATTTGTCTTGACTTTAAAAATTATTTCAGGCTGAGGATTTAGCTCAGTGGCTAAGCACCTGCCTGGCAAGTTGTGAGTTTGATCCCCAGTACCAAAAAAAAAAAAAAATCATTTCATTATGTATATGTGTATCAAAACACACAGTTTATACATAAATGTATAATGCAAGAAAAACGTAGAAAGTTCAAAAACATGAGATTAGGAAGAAGGTGAAAAATCCAGTCGTGGTACCCGATGTTTTGCGAGCTCCTCCTTTCCGTGCATGTTTGCATGGACTAGCGCTGCCCAGGAGAAGCTGCCTGGACCCTCTCGTCAGCACTAACACTGTCCCCGTGGCAGTAGGGTAGCCACATGTCACTATTTAATGACCACCCAGCTCTCCTCATAGGGCTGTCGCTAATTCATTTTACCAGGGAGTGTAAGCACACCGGAGTGCGCAGCTTTGGTCCGTGTGTCTATTCACTTCTCTCTCTCTAATTTTTTTCTTTGAGACAAGGTCTCCCCGTGTAGTCCAGGCCAGTGTTGGGTCACCGGGCAGCCTGTAGTGTGTGGGCTGCGGTAGCTTTGTGAAAAGGAGCTGCTGTCAGGAATGTTCCCCGGAGGCCTTTTCCACCTCACGCTCACATGCTCCTGAGAAAGCTGGTTCTCACCTGGCATGTGGGCTTCTCCCTCTTTGTAGGTTTCATTTGTGGCCTAAAAAGAAATGGAAAGTCCTCATGGCGACTGTCCTGCCTCAGCCTCCCGAAGCTGGGGTTACAGCCGCGTACCTCTTTAAGCTACCTTGGCTGCAGTTGCTGCTTACCGTCAGTCTGTCCCGCAGAGCCTCCTTCATGGTCCGTGGTGTGTGTGGATGTATGTGTGTCTATGTATGTTATTTTTACGGTGCAAGCCAAACCAAGACAATGCCATCTTGTTCGCCAGTTGTAAATGTGCTTTACCAGCAGAGCACGCCTTGAGTCCGCTCGTGTGAAGGGAAAGGACAACGCAGAGCCCACTCAGAAAAGGAGCCTGCTGCGTGGAGGGCGAAGGGATGCATAATTTGGATTTGTCACCAAAAATAGTTTTAATGATCTTAAAAATGCAGACTGTCACCACTAGTGAGGGGACAGCACAGGGTGCCTGTCTCAGCAGCTCGCTTCCCTTCTGGGGGGTGAGCGAGGCCGGCGGGTCACGGTGGCCCTCCCCCTTAGCTACCTGCTGCTCGGAAGTTTAACACAACCCACTTACAGAAATACTTGGATCAGCTTATCTGTAATTAAGATAGATACATCAAACACTGAGTACAGATACGGCAATGGTACGAAAAGTATTTTCAAGCACATGTGATAGTGTATTCATTTTTATTTTAACAGAAAATGTTCCCATTCTTTTATAAAAATCGCATGCATCATGTAATTTAAAAACACCGATTCTTCAGAATTTTTTCATTGATGTAGTCTAAATGTTCCTCAGAAGCTCGTCGTCTTCTGCTTGTGCATTTTGTAAGTTAATTCCACAGCAGAGACCCAGTGTCCTCTGAAAGCTTTTCTTGCATCTGGCTGCCCTGGATATCTAGTCTTAGCTTCTTCTTGTCACACTCCAATGTCACTGCTTGTAATCTTCGCCCCATACGTCTTGCCAGTCTATTGGATCCTTCTGCTGTAAGCTTTTATAAAGAATTCTTTAAAATGTGAACATGCGTATGTCCCTGCAACGTATTTTATATTGATTTTTTTAAGGTAAAGGAAGGGGGACCCAGAAATTTCGCCTTTTCTAAACTTGGAAAAGAATCAAAGTTCTACCCTTCATCTCCGGTGACAGGGAAGATCAAAGTTCCTATCAATTAGTGGGTCCTTTTTTCATGACCATTAAAAAGGGACACCAGAAAAGAGATCACTGAGGAGCTAGAATCACTTTCACCCTTTGGTTTTGTAAAATGGCCTGTTGATAATTTTAAAACCGGCTGAGACAGTTTACTTGCCATTCTTTGGAACTTTGCTATCTGACAATGAGTCTGGCCGGAAAAGCAGGTGTGTCTATGTGTGAGGTCGCTGCGTCGCGTTAAGCTGTGTTTTCAAACTTTTGCTTGAATAAGTTAGAGTGGGGCCCAGTGAGCTGCAGGAGAACCATGTGTGACTGCTGGACACAGCCTGCCTTTCCCAGGGTGAAAAAGAGCTCTACCCCTTCCCCACTAACCCTGGGAAAGGCGTGGCGCCTTTTAAAAGGATAATTTGGAGTTCTGAAGTGTGAAGAGGACGCTGCACCCTGAGGCTCCTCTCGAGGCGAGGCGGCCTCCCTAGAAAAGCCTGCTTCCCCCCCTTTGGGCCGCGTAGCTTCTGAAAAGCTGCGTCAGGAATCTTCCCTGCCCTCATTCCTCAGCACGCGCTCACGTGCTCCCGAGAAAGCTGGTCCTCACCTGGCGCTTGGGCTTCATCTCTTGCTTTATTCAGAGATGTAGGTTTCATTTGTGGCCTAGGAAGAGATGGAAAGGCCCAGCTAACTGCAGGGGGTCAGACAGTCCACCCTTCGGCACCGATTTGGCGTCCACTGTGACAAGCTTGTCCGCCCCTGGCCTGGGATGCAGTAACCCCCAGAACTGCGCTCGGCTCATCATCCTGTGTGCACCGATTCTGCCTTTTCCGGCAGATCCTAAGCCGGGGCTGATTTCTACATGGGGGAAACCAGGGCGAAGAGCCCAGCAGGATCCAGGTACACTAACCTGGACTCTCACTGCTCTGGCTCACACCTCCTGTCACAGGAGCTCGAACCTGAAACCTACGTGTGCTAAAGAGCAGCCCCATTTTCCTGGCATCTAGCTGTGCCCATCTCGGGAAGGTTGTGGGTCCCCTCTGACCTTCTCGGAAGGCACCTGGGACCTTGGAGCCAGCAACTCACCAGGGAGGAGGCAGAGCTGGGGGATCGGGCGTGGCAGAAGTATTTGCGTAAGGCTTCCTGCACCTGCCCAGGAGAAGTAAGTCCCCGAGTTACGGCAGTCGAGCCCCTGCCTTCCGGCTGCCAGGTAGGGGCTGGCCAGGCAGACCTACCTTCTTGTCCATGAGGCAACCGAACAATAAGATGAAGACCCCCTGCAAAGGGAGAAGGAGAAAAGGCTCGTTGACTGGAATTAGCTCGCTCCCTGACCTCTTCCTGCAGCTTCTGGTCTTAATGCAATCCTGTGGCGTCCTGTCTCGATTTGTCTGCATAGCACATCTCAGGTGTCTTTCTCATTGTCATGGTTACAAAATGGCTACCAGAGGATTGGGTACTGGCAGTTCCCTTGCTGTCCAGCAAAGTCAGATATTATTTCACACACAAAACCAGAGTTCAGAGAGAATGTGTCATTTGCCTGAAGTCACTCAGCTTGCCCGTGGAGGACTGGGCCCTGCACCTAGGCCTCCTGAAACTGCTCAGCTGGTTTCTCCTGCTGCACTGCGTGGTCTCCCTGAGAACAGGTGGGCAGCGGTGCGGGCCGTGGGAAGGGGCTGTGAGCACAGGCCGCACCCACCTACCTGGAAGGTGTTGAGGGTGACAAAGATGTAATGAGGGACCACGGAGGTTTCCTCCGTCATTGTCACCAGGCCCAGCCCCCAAGTGATGCCGAAGATGGGCGTGAGAATGAGCAGGGCTTTGAGCACCCCCGTGAGAGCCTGGCGCTTCTCCGCCGGGGGCCCTTCGGACAGGGACGGTCTCAGCAGCTTTAGCACAGTCGTGGCGAGCACCAGCCCGTTCACACCCACGATGGTCAGCACTGGCCCCACGAAGGTGTAGATGGCCCCACTCTTCCAGTCCAGCCAGCATGTGTCTTCACTCAGGTATTGCCCTCGAGGCAGGTAGAGGCCCAGGGTGACACCTGCAAGCCCCAGGGGGCACAGGTAGCCAAGGGTCACCATCAGGGAGAGGACGAGGGACTTGGATAGGTGATGGAAGACAAAGAGCAGCTGGTGAGCCAGCAGGAGGGCCTGCGCCAGCATCCAGAAAAAGGTGGCCAGGTAGAAGAAGTGACACAGGAAGGCAATGGCCAGGCAGAGCACGTCCTGAGTCCCTGCAAGAAAGACTGAGGAGACCAGGAACCAAGTATCTGCAATCAGCAAACAGATCGCCATGTTGAACAGGGCAGCGTGGCGGAAGAAGGCGACTTTATTCTGCACCACGGCTCTCCACACCAGCCTGTACACACCCAGGCACACGAGCAGGGCCAGGATGGAGGTACTCAAGCCCACCCGACTCAGGTGCTTCAGCACAGGGCATTCTGGAACAGGATACCTGGACATGAGGACAGAGAAGGCAGTGAGGTGCTGGCAGATGCACTGAGTGGCAATGCTGCCATCAGCTGCCCGTGCCTGGCATCCCTTATCTGACCAGCCTCCGGCATGCTGGAAGAGGTGATAGTCCCAGAAGACACAGCGCAGGGTACCACCTGTCTGCCCGAAGTCCATGATGACCTCTGTTTGGGTGAAGGCTTTGCCACCTGCCATGATGGCGATGACGAGAACCAGGCCAGGAGTGGCATGCTGGAGGTCCCCCAGCACTTGCTCGTAGTTGTAGGGCAAACGTTGGTCCAATTTTTGCAGCACCAGACTGGTCACACTGACATTGGTTCCATTATGGACCAGTGGGCTCAGTGAATTCCTAGGAATCCAGGCCTTTAGTGGGGGCTGAGTAGAGAAGGAGGTGTGGTAGTCACCAGCAGATGTGGGGTCCAGGAGCTGAGCCTGAAGCAGCACATTGGAGGAGCTGAAGGAGAAGGGCTGATCCTTGGGAGACAGGCTGCACACCAGGGTCTCCAAAGCCTGCAGGAAATATGAGCCCATCTCGGGCTCCTGGGCCTGGGCCCGGGTCCACAGAGAGCTGGTGTTCGTGTCTAGGACCTTGTCTGTGAGTGTCAGGAGATCCTGTGGTACCCGAGAGAGAGAGAGAAGCCTGGTCTGCTGGAGCCCCTGATGCTGATTCCTGGGGAGCTAGACCTACAGACCCGATCCTATTCTTCCAATACCACGGCAAGACCTAGGGCTGGAGAACAAAGGACAGACTGGCCCACGAAGTGGGAAGACTGGGAGACTGTTCCCTCAGCCACCTGGACATCTTCAGATACGTGGTCTCCTGATCACATACAGGCCTTCTGTCTTACAACCCCTTGGGGATACCCAAGTCTTATAAAGAGGTGCCTTTTCCAATTCCTTACCCCTTCCAGGTCTGCACAGCTAGGAATGGTGGCCAGCTGCAGGGGCACAGCTCCTGAAGTCAGGGGCCACATTTATGTCTGTGCAGCACATACACTAAACAGTCTCAGACATGCACAGTGTGTGACGTCACTGCCCTTGGTATTCATTTGCAGTTTCTGGGCCACCAACTGCATCCCTACTGAGAGTGATTTAGGTGGGTCCAGAAAAAACAAGTGTGTTCGAGCGTCTTCATGCAGGACCGTGCGTATGTGCACATGTGAGCATGTGCAGGTGTGAGAGCCCCATGTGTGTGTGTACACGGACACCTCCACACTCACGCCTCTTACCTTCCTTCCCATTTCCGTGTGTTTCTAGCACTGCACGCTCCCCAGGCATGGCGCCTGGCTGCCCAGGGTGATGGCAGACGGGCGGGAGGGCCCACAGCGAGGAGTCTCCACCCCCGCTGCTCAGCTGGCATCTGCTGAGGCTCGGAGCTCTCACCTTAAGGGCACTGGGCTTAAGCGCTGTTCCAGCCTCTGCCACCACCTCGGCCAGTATTTTCACGGTGCTCAGCAGTTTCCGGAAGTCGGAGGGCGAGGCCGTCTCCTCTGCGTAGTCTTGCAGCTTTGCCAGGATCTGGGGCACCTTGTTATTCGGCTTTCCCTGGCCGCCCTGCAGCAGCTGGGACAGACAAGGCAACGGGAAGGGGGTGGCGGGAGAGTCCCCACAGAGGGGCCGCCGCCTCCTCCTGCCTGTGCCCCCCCCCCCCCGCCGTCCCTTCTGTCCTTGTCGCTGTGTACCCACACCTGATCTGGGGGGCAGGAAGCAGAGGTGTCTGAGGGAACCTGGAGGGTGGGACCCACGCCGATGTTAGGGAACACTTGGTGGGACCGTGGCTTGAGAACACCATCCCACCCTGGAGGCCCCGCGCCTACTGCCAGGCTCTGCTAGAGCGCCCCATGATAGAAGCCGAGTGACTTGCAGGCTGGCCTGGAGACAGGACCCTGAAGCTAGGTCTGAGAGGGCAGCTGCTTTACCCTGGCTTCTTCGTACAAGGCCAGGATCCTCGTGTCTGTACAGCTGTTCCAGACGGGCCCCCAGACCCCATCAGGCCCACAGGGCCTCGCCACCATGCCTGTCTTGTCCATGGGACATGGGACCTGGGCCACATGGCCAGCTTTAGTAACTTTCCAGGCAGCCTCCGAGAAGTCGTCAGGGCAGACGATGTCTCCGTCTGAAGAAAGGTAAGCAGGGGGAGGACTCAGAAGTCGCAGCCCAGCCTGGGCCTTTTCCTGGGCCCTAACCTGAGCCTTGGAGCCCGGCCCGCTTGGCAAAGCCGCACCAAGGAGGAGGCTGCTGGTCTGAAGGCAAGCAGCTCGCAGACAGTTTGGTGACCCCCATCTCCATGTACCCTGGATGATGGTGACAGCGACAGATCTCCTAAGAGGAGCCAGGCCCGGACTCTCCAGCACACAGGTGTACATGGTGTTGGCTTCCGGGCAGCGCTGGACGTCCAGCAGTAGGCACCTAGAGTCTTTCCTGTTGACCAAGGACACTGAGGGGAGAGAGAGGAGCCCTGAGACCCTCACTCGCTGGAGCAGCCCAGGCCAGCAGTGGGGAGGGGCTGAGCGCACCATGGGCACCCAACTACTGCGGGCAGGACTGGGGTTTTGCTGAGAAGTTCCCTGGTCTCCAGCAGGCTCTAGGACTCAATTTCCTCATTTCTAAAATGAGAGCCACCATCAAAGTAAACAGAGATCATCACAACAGTTAAATGAGATCCTGTGGATGGGAGCATATTGCAGTGTTGTGTGTGTCTGTGTTACGTCAACTGAATTGCGACTGCTCTGATGGGGAGAGGACAGTGCTGGCCTAGGACCCCCGACTCCCAGCTTCTTTGGCAGCGTCCACTTGGCAGCCCTGGAAACCCAGCTGCCCTCTTCCTGCTCTGACCCCAGTGTCATCCCCCGTCTACCTTGGCTGTCCTCCCTGGGGCTCCAGGCAGCGGTGTAGTCCAGGTTTGTGCTTGGAAAGCAGCAGCTCAGCTGGAAGCCAGGGGAGGCATCGCAGGAGATGGACAGCTGGTCTGGGAACAGAACCACTTCCGTCGTCTGCAGGGGCACCTTCACCACCTGTTGCAGCCTCCAGGTAAATCCCTGGGCCTCGAAGTAGATTATGTACTCACCTGCAGACACACACGTGCCATGCCCTGGGGCACTTCTGGCCCGCTCCCTCACCCCCAGAATCTGCAGCTCCCCAGCCATCGCCCAGGCCCGTCTGCTTGCTTCTCTCCTCTGCTGACTCCCAGAGCTTAGCCACTGCCAGACAGGTCCCAAGACGGCCCTCTGAAGACAGAGACCGTCGCTTGCTGGAACAGCTCGGAGCCAGCAGGCCCACAGTCTTCCTGGGACTTTTAGAACATGGAAGCTATGGGGAGGAGCCGAGTGGTAACTGGCACCGACCTACGGAAGGTAGAACTCGGCACTGCTGACTGCCCGGGGTCTCTAACTAGTTCTAAGACTCAGTTTCCAGAGTTTTAACAGCAAACTCCACACAGAGTTTATCATAAGAGTTAAACGAGATTGTGGGGCCCTGGCTTCAAGGATTGGTAGAAGAGGAGAGCTCTGCAGAAGAGGCTCCTGACACCTCCTTCTCAGCTGTGGCCACAGAGGTTAGGTGAATCTTTACCTCTGTGGTCATGGCCTTCCTCTGTCACCTCTGTCACCTAACATGCGACAAACACCGTCTGTTCTCAGCTGAAAGTGAGACATTTTCAGCATACTCCACATTATAAATTTCTCTCTCTCTCTTTTTCTTTTGAGACAGGATCTCACTATGCAGTTCAGGCTGACCTTGAACTCACAATGTGCCCCCAGCTTGCTTCCAATGTGCAGAAACCCTCCTGCCTCAGCTTCCTGAGTGCTGGAATTACAGGCGTGTCTCACCACGCTCAGCTTTCTTTTGTTAACAGAGATGTTTGATGAGAAATAATTGTATTTTCCAAAACGAAACGTAACTAGAAGAATGACCCTGTTCTTCATTTTTGCATGTCTGGCTAGAGGGGGCTTTCTCTTCTCCAGTGTCTGTGACAGCCTGGTAGCACTGCAAGATGCTACCGTATAATGTCAAGGCAGTGAGACTGAGATAGATGACACCTTTCTATGCTAAGCAATTGTGACTTTGTGAAGCCTGAAAGGTCCCAGAAGTCCCCAGACAGTGCGCACCACTGACTTGTTTTAAAGACTTTTCCATGTTACAATGCGTCTTTTGGTCTCTGTTTTCCCAAAATCATGGAAAGGCCGAGAAGGAAGTAAAAAAGTGAGGTGAGGGACGAGAGAGGAAGAGGTGAAGGGACGCAGAGAAGAAAATGGGAAGAAGAAGAAGAAAAGGGAAAGAAAGAAAACGAGGAGCAGAGAACCGAGGGCGGGAGGAGGGAGTGGCCACCTGCCCAGGAGGAGGACGTGCAGGTGACACTGAGGCTGGCCTGGCCCTGGCCGGAGCTCAGGGACACCTGCGCCCCCGAGCGCAGGGGGATGCGTTTGCCATTGTCTGTACGTCTCAGGAACCATTTCAGGTTGGTGGCATTGTGGGTCACAAGCAGAGTCAGGTTCAGCTTGTCACCTGGCAGCTGCGGCTCGGAGTTCAGGGTCAGGTTCCCGGGCACTGTGGGGGCGGAGGACAGGGCTGGAGGGGGAACGCAAGGCTCTCTTGCGGCTAAGCCACTCCTCCCTCCTCCCCAGGCCGGCCTCACACTCGTGGTGATCGTCCTGCCTCAGCCTCCCTAGTGCAGGGACTACAGGTGTGGTTCTTTCCCTGTCTTCTGAAGTCCATCCTGTCCCTGCTCCTGGCTTTGCTCTTGCCCTGGGTGGGTATCTGAGCGAGGCTGCTGCAGTTCAGTCTGGAAGACCCATCTTTGGGAACTGAAGGTGGAACCTTCTGGCTTGGCTTCTCTGCAGGCAAGCCGGTGCTCACGCAGCTGCTCCGGCTTCCTGCGCTAGACAGCACGGTTACTGTAGAACTTTCTCTCCTTGTCTGCTTAGCTCTGGGGCCTCATTCATCAGTCTTGCTCCTCAGGTCCCAAACTGGGGCCTGAAATCTGCTATGACACTTGGCTTTCCTGCCCACCCAGAGGAGCAGGATGCCTCAGGCCAGCTGGCAGAAATACAGGCTCAGAGAACAAGACAGAAAGCTCCTCTTCCACGGGTTCCCAGCCCTCCTCACCAGGTGGCAGCCACTGGCAGTAGCCGGGGACAGAACCGCTGAAGATTCGACAGTCACAGGGCTGACTGTTGTGGTGGTGGGAGGGGCAGGACATGGTACGAGAGCAGTGGCGGTCGCTCCACTGGTACCCAGGGCGGCAAGCACAGTGGCTGTGCCCCTTGCGGGTGACGTTACACTCTGTGACAGACACAAGGGGACACAGAAATGAGCAGCCTGTCCGAGGAAGTCAGGAGGCAGGACCAGCAACCGCCTTGTGCCTGGGAGCTTCTGGGCTGCAGCAGGAGCCACCCTGCAGGGCCAGGGGTGACCTCCCTCGCCGGTCAGCACTGCCCCTCACCAGGGCTCAGAGGAGAGGCTGTGGTGGGCATCGGGGTGGGGTGGGAAAGGCGGGGCCCACCCTGCCTGCTCCTTAGGGTGGGAACGGGAAGGGAGGAGCCTGTCTGGTAGAGCGGTGAGGAAAGAACTGGACCAGGGACCAAGAACGGGGAGTCGGAGGGGCTCCCAGCAACCTGGGCTCATTCGCTGTGGGCCCCCTCTCCGCGACGGCTACCTGTGCTGATGCTGAGGCTCGTGAGGTTTCTTGGGGAGGAAGTAGCCGAGGTGGGAGGAAGAGTCAGGGCCCCGTGGTGTGCCAGTGGCCAGGTCTTGTCTGAGAATTCCAGTTGCACGTAGACAGAGACCAGGACTGAATGTACAGAGGAGAGGACAGCTGGAAAGGGGCGGCGGCCAGGCCTCCCATCCCAGCTGGCCATCGCCGGGACCCGGAGCAGATCTTCCTGTCCAGTCCCTGTGGGTGCAGAGGGCAGTAATTCCTGCCCTCGCTGGGCTACGTGGCACGCTCCCGGCCCCCCACGCTGCACAGAGGGGGCTCCCAGAGATGAACGTGTTTCTCAAGGCCTCGAGCCAGAGAACTGGTGTGGGGACTCGTCTGAGGCGGAGCCTGCCCTTCCTCGGTTCCACTCCCTTGGGGCCCTGCATCCCAGCCTTCGTTTGTACCCCCGTCCATCCTCATCAACTTTCTCCTCCTGCTCATCTGTCACTCACACCCTGCTCCACTCCCATGGTCCAGCTGCTGTCCAGGTCCCTCTCCAGCCTGACCCTGCACCTGGAAGAGAGCACAGAAGAGAAGTCCAGGGAGAGGCCGCCCCGAGTTCCTCCTGCGGTCACCTCACGGACTGGCCCGCCCAGTCCAGCATGACTGGTGCCTCGGAAGCTCTGCTTTTTGCCTGAAATCAAGAGTACACATTGGAACAGGAAAGCGGCTTCCTGGAGGAGCTGCAGGGACGCGCTCAGGACAGGGCCATCTCACCTGCATCAGGAACCAGGCACACCCTGGGAGTCAACATGCTTTGCTTAGCTCCTTCCTGAATTTACCTGTCCCCGGGCCTCTGCCTAACTGCAGTGGCTGGGTCTGGAGCTCTATCAGGCAGGCTGGGCAGAGCTGGCTGGGGGACTTGGGATCTGGGGACTGCATTTTTGTTCATGGAATTTGACACGAGGATGAGCCTTTGGTCTCAGGCTCCTGTAAATCACGTCCTCATGGACTCCTTCCTTTCTCCAAACTGCATGTGCAAACCTCTCAGTAATACGCTTCTAAAACCAGGTTGGTGCAGAGTCATGGATAAGATACAGAGTCAGAGACTGGTAAAGACACAGTTGTATATGAAAATGGATGCAGATACAGATTTAGATTCAGAGACAGACTTAGAGATACAGATGTTGGTCTCTTCAGAGGAGAAGCTGGATTAAAAAGTACTGATTCGGTTTCTGTTGGCTTCCCTGGATTCTCTCATACTCTTTGCAAGGGATTCCCAAATCTGGAAAGTTTTTCCTTTTATTTTTCGTTTTCAAATTGCGGGTGTGATCGGGAGAGTTTTCATCTTCATCAGGGGTCATCGGAGCTCACGGGACTCAGATGAAGAAAAGAAAGCTATACCCCACTCCCTGGACAGGGGGACACAACACTCTGAAACCCCGTGACACGCTCAGAGAGCCTACAGCAAGTGCAGAGATCTGTCACCAGCTGGCCCTCCCCTTCCCCTGTCCTGTCTCCCATCTCCTGCTGCCTCTTACACCTGGACGCCCTTGTTGGGACCTCTGGAGACCCCGTCCTCACCGTAGTCATACTCACAGTCTGGGGTACGGGGGCCACCGCTGACCCCAGCAGGAGAATCGCGGCCAGGAGCAGCCAGGGAGCAGCCAGACAGACCATGTCTCAGTGGAGTGTCCTGAGGGGCCCTCCCACTGTTGCACGATGCAAATTGCTTTTCAGAAGGGCTGGCACAGACCAGTGGGTGGGAAGAGGGGAGCCAGGCCCAGCAGACAGAGGAGACGCTTTAGCCTGTGACATGCTCAGTGGGGATCCAGTTCACCAGGGCCAGCTGGAGCCCAGGCGCCCCTTGGTGTCTGGGCCAAGGACTCAGGGAGAGGGGTCGGATGGAGGGGTCACAGGTCATAACCAGCAATGAGTCAGGAAGCCAGGTTTAGTCATGCTCCAACCCGAAGATCTGGGATTGTTCCGGGGGCCGGATCACTCACGGGCCAAAGAACCAAAGCTAGGGAAGGAGATAGCGACAACCACGTGACAATGAAACTTGAGCTGTTGCTGCATAAAATAATTTCCAGATCATCTTTTTTTAAATGGTAGCAAAGTTTTATTAAAGGTAGGAAAAGAAGCAGCCTCTGCAGAGCGAGCTTGGGCCAAGCAAAAGTAAGAAATGAAGTGGGCCCTACGGGGTGAGGGTGGCCACCATGCGAGACGGCCCTGGGGGTTCCAGACGCCTCTGTATTCATTTTTATTTTTACCAATACAGGATCGTAGTGCACACATTCGTTCTGAGCAGCTGGTACCGCACATCTTGCTTTGTTGTTCATCCCTGCCTCTCCCCTCTCTCTCCCCTTTTGAGCGCTTTCCCATTTGCAAAAGATCCAGCCTCCTTCTTCCTATCTTTGCTCCTTTGCTCCTTAATTTATTTCTATTTTGGGTTTCTCATATAAAGAGAAACCACGCAATATTTAAGCTTGTGCGTCTGATTTATTTCATTAACGTGATCTCAAAGCACATCCATTTTCCTATGAATGATGCAAATTTATTCTCCTTTCTGGCAGAGCAGGACTCCATGGTGGATAAACACCACCTCCCATCCATTCATGTGTGTGTACATGTAGGTTGCTTCTAAGATTTAGCTATCATGAGCTGTAAACACAGACAGCATGTGTCACTGTAAAATGATTCTTTACTCTTTCAAGAAGACACCCTAGAAGAGAATTAGCTGGGTCAGATGGAATTCACAGTTTTTGCTTTTTGAGTGATCTCTATAGTGATTTTCACAGTGGTTGTACTAGTTTAGCTTTCCACTAAAAATATATAAGGGTTCTTTTCTCACACAGTCATGTTAGTATTTGTTGTTATTTGATTTCTTGAAGATAACTATGTTTCTGGAGTCAAATGCAATCTCAAAGTTGTTTTAATTTGCATTTGTCTTGGGCTAGAGATATTGAATATTTTTTCATGTATTTACTGGGCACTTACACTTTTTTTGGGTGAGGTATCTGTTCATTTCAGTTGCTCATTTTTATTGGATCATTTATGTTGGGGGGGATCTTTTTTTTTTCTTTTGGAACTGGGACTCGAACTCATGACCTCGCACTTGCCAGGCAGATGCTTGCGCTGCTGCGCAAAATCCCCAGCCCCTCATTTTTGGGACTATTTTATGTATTCTAGATATTAGTCCTGTGTATGCAGTGTAGCTGGCAAAGTAGTTCTCTGTTCTGTAAGTCACATCTCCATTCTGTTGGTTGTGTCCTTTGCATTTGATGTGACCCTATTTATTTTTGATGTTATTTAATGTGCAGCTGGGGTTCTGTTCAAAAAGCACTTGCCTGCATCTGTGTTATCAAGAGTCTTTATCAATTAAGTTCCAGGAGATCAAGTGTTTCTGTTTTAATATTTAGGTTTTGATCCATTTTGATTTTAGTTTATTTCATGGTACAAGACGTAGGTCTAGATTCGGTCTTCTTCACGTGCATAGCTGGGTATCCAGGACGACTTGCTAATGAGGCTGTCTTTCCTCCAGTGTTTTTTCTTGGCTCTTTTGCCAAGGTTAAGATGGCCAAGTGTGTCTGGGTTGTCTCTGTATCTTCTGTTCTGTTCCACTGATCCACATGTCTGTTTTTTGTGCCAGTACCATACTGTTTTTTAAAAATCACTGTAGCTTTGAGAAAATTTTCCAAGGATGGGGAAAGAATTTAACAGGTGAGTGGGACACATAGAACCTCAAATAACCAAAACTAGAAAATAAATTCTCACCAGATGTGGTGGTTCATGCCTGTACACTTGGGAGGCTGAGACAGGAGGCTTGCTGTGAGTTTGAGGCTAGTCTAAGCTCCATAGTGAGGCCAGCCTGGACTACATGGTGAGACTTTGTTTCCAAAAAAAAAAGAAAAGAAAACAAATTCTTCACAACACATCACAGACAAAGCCCTAGAAGTCCAACACAAGGACAGCTTTTTTTTGTACCAAGAATCAAACTCAGGACCTTGCACTCAGGCCACTGCACTGTACACCCGGCTTTTTTTCCCTTTGCAGGGTTGGAATTCCCAGGCAAGGCACAGGCTCACTGTCATGGCTGCCTGTGCTTCCACGCTCGCGTCTGGTGTGTGAATGCTGAACCTTGCCCTGCCTTTCCCCCGGCATCGAGGTCCTCCTGTTTCTGTATCTCCTCTGCAGTTTCTGGTTTTTCGGTCAGCTCTCTCCCTGTTCCTGGAGTGCCACCTCTGTTCTGTCCACCAAGTTATTGTTTTCCAGGTTTGTGGATTCCAGGTCCCGGGGAGACTGTATTTTGCTGGAGCCTCTGTCAGTTTGATGGCTCTCCATGTAGAGTCTTAAATATCAAAAAGAAACTTAAAAATGTACTAGGAGAAATTATGTCATTTCACAAAATAATTTTCAAGCAAGGAAGGTATATATGTATTTATTTATTTGAAACAGGGTCTCACTACACAGTTGAGGCTGGCCTTGAATTTACTATGTAGCCCAGGCTGGCATCAAATTCCTCCTGCCTCAGCCTTCCAAGTACTGGAATTACAGGTATGTGTCACCATGCCTGTTGCGAGAAAGGTTTTAAAAACAAGATATAAAACTGAGAAGTCAAAAAGAAAATACATTTGTTTAAAGAATTTTAAATTTGGCATGAAAATAATAACTTTATTTCTTCTCCTCCTCCTCTTCCTTTTTTTTTAGTATTGGGGATAGAGACCAGGGGTTCTCCACCACTGAGCTATACCTTGAGTCCTATTTATTTTTTGT